AACAATACGAAATTAAAAATTTAAATAATAGTTTAAGGTTAGGTATTAGGTAACCGTTTATCTGCCAATGTGGTTTATGTAAAACGATGGTAATTGGTATAATATGATAATTTATTGTCCATGTATAATAGGACACTATTAAAAATTAAGATACACAAGATATCGAATAAACGTTTGATAACTGAAGCGCGAACTTTCTCACTTTTGGTAAGGCTACTAACACCATCTAGTGTCCTCTATACAAACTATATCAATATGTATTTTATAATTTATTACATACCCTACTCCTGTCGAAGTTTTAAACTGGTTTTAGTTGATTTTTATACCAATTTTGTCTTAAAGCGCTAGCTGTCATGACAAACAGTGAGAATCGGGCGGACTCAGAAAAACATTGATAAGATCTTTTTGTTCGTTGTTCTCATAGACATAATAACTATAAAAAATAGTTATAATTATCTTAATACGTGGACATGGATAATAATGAATGGATATTTTCATTATATTCTACATCGTGGAACAGTCGAAGTATCACGAAGTGGGCGTAGTTTCGAAGACCGTGACATTATAATAGACCTCTGAATATCACTATAATTATTTATATTAGTATCATAAATAATTATATACAGACGTTTTGTGACATAAATTTTATTGACACTACGACTTTTAACGTTTATTTAGTATTTTTTCAAGCAGTTTGTGAATTAAATATTATATTTGATATTATAATATTTAATTAATATTTTATTGATTTTATATTTAATTTATTTTCAGCCAGTAATATTTTTGTTATCGAGCAAGGTAAATATCTCGTAAATATTTAATTTTTAAATGTGTTATTTTACAAACTATTATGTCACATAGGGTCAACTGGTTAGGAATATAGTATACGAGTATTATAGTATTATTATGCCATTACACACTTTTATTAATTTATTATTTTATGATATAGATACCAGGTACTGTAGCTTTGTGTTCTAACAGTTTGCAAGTGACTAAGAAAAAGACCTTTACAATTTTGTATCATACATTTCCTAAAGATAAACAATTGTGTCATTTTTGGATTAATGGTTGGCGACGAGAAGATACATGAAATTCCAAAACTAGTACAGTTTGTAGTATTCATTTTTTAGAAGATGATTTTGATAAACATTGAAACTAAAAGAAAATTAAAATCTCAAGGTAATGATCATTTTTCGATATTAAAACTTCATTATTTTTTAACTTGACAATTTTTTTAGAATTTTATCTAAAATACAGTAATAACTAGAGCACGGATTTACATGTATTAAAAATCAACCAAATATGCGATACAAATTTTAAATATGCATAAATATATTCACTCAAATGTTGAAATATGCATAAAAAGAATATTCAAAGCCAAGGAAGACTCCATGATCATTCAATGCCATTAAATACAATGTATAAAATAATAATATCGTTTTTGGCAATAATCCTGGAGTTGTATAAAATAAATTTAATACTGAAATGGAACATAATAACACAAATGTAGAAGATTACTTAGTAGCAAACGTTATAGCAAGTGCTGGTATTAAAATAAATGAAAATAAAAATGATGATGAATTATCAGATAGTAGTTTATAATCATGTGAATCATATCAACATAATTTTGAAACATCAAACGAAGAAGATTGATTTATTTATGTTTGTGGTTGGTTCACTAGGAAATTAAAAAGTAAATATCCCCATTTAAAAAATTATACTTGAGACAACAAATTTGATCATTTCTATAGTATACTAAGCCAGGTTACAACATTTATCATATGGAGAATTAACAGAACCAACGGCAAATTGGGTTGAAAAACCTAAGATTTTTAAAAATATGTTTAAAAAGTTTCATTGTAAATTAATCCTGATAATAATATGGTCAAAAGATTAACAAAGCTTAATAAGAAAAAATGTTAAGACATGCTTGAAGATTTGATTAAATCATTAATTGTCCTTCAAATAACTTATATTAATAAAACAAATAACTAGTAAATTAATTGATACACAGAAAAATTGTACAATGATGCAGATAGGAAGTCAAAAAAAATTACTGCTTAGATAAATAAATTAATAATTATGACATTGTAATTTTTTTTTTTTATACAATATAATAGATTAAAGTGTATATATAATTATTCATAATTTATTTTATAGTTATACCTAATAAATATTTTGTACAATACGTTTTTCTTTTTTATCATGAACTTTTTTATCTTTTTCATCATAGTATAATCAAATAGTATAATTTTTTTCACAATTATTGAAAACTCAATTAGTTACATTATATTGTTTAATATAATTATTATAAAACATATATTATTAAATTGCATAAAATTATCTTTTAAAGTAAAAAAATAATACACGTCTAATTATATAACCTTATAATGAATAGCCTCAAATATTAAATTTTTTCTAGTGGACATTGATCAATATATTATATTGAAATGTAATTTCCTTTTACATAAATGGAAAATGGTAGATAAACCACTCTGCGAGTGTGAGCAGGTCCAAACCATCAAACACGTTGCAAAGGTATGCCCTCTAACAAAGTATAAAGGAGGGATAGTAGGGCTTCACAAAGGAGACAGCGAGGCACAAGATTGGCTTAGTACCCAGAAAGTTCACCTCTAGAGCAAGAGATGTGTTGCAGTCACTCTATTGTATTTATATGTTATGTTCATATTTATTTTATAGTTTATAGTCTTTTTCTTTTGTTTATAGTTTTATATATGTTTATTTAAAAGTTTCACCAATTAATAATAATATGCCATATGAATTAAAAAAATATATATTATATTAATGATATATATTATATTTGTATAATATATTTATATGTTATAAAATATCAATTAATATTGAGAATAATTTCGATAATTAATAAATTTATATAGTTATTTGAATATCATAGAATCAGGAATGAGTGGTCTAGTGCAAAGGTGGGAAGCATTAATTTGTTAAAAAGTTATTTTTTTTTTTTAACTTTTAGTTATAATTTGTATTGTTTTAACTTAATTTTTTATAGTTCACTATCATTATTGTGCAGNATAGACAGATTATTTTGTTTTCGAGTTTTATTTACTGATCTTCTCGTTATTGAATAATTTGAAATCTGCTTTTACTTAAACATAACAAATATCTTATTTGTTAATTTTTAATTTTAATAATATTGCAATTCTTAGCTTATTTTATTTCTATCAAAAGTATAATATTCCCTGTTGTAATTTGCTGGTTGTAAATGTTAAGTTCATAATTTTTAATCATGAATTGTTTTTATTGTTATTGTTATTTTTTATTATAATTTTTATCAACTTTACAACCTTACAGCCTATAGGTAGTATATTACAGTAAGTAAGTGTCTGACTGATTAATGCTATGAATAAATTAACATTTTAATATTAAATATTATTTATTTTTGGTATGTTTTAAAAAAAATATTAATTTGGCATGTGGCTACTTTAGATACTAGGTACTCATTACTCTATCAGTACCTACTAAGTATGTATTATTTTCCTTAATTAATACTCCAGAATAATTTTTCTTAAAAACATTTTAATATTTTATACAGTGTATTTTCACTTTATAGGTTTTTTACAATTTATGATTTGATTTATACTAGTTAATCAAACAATTTTTTTTAGATTTTTAAGGATAATTATCATTATGGTGATTTTTAAGTTTTAAAATTCTCTAAATCTTAATGTATATTATAAAATATAACAAATCTAACTAAGATAGTAGACTTATAGTAAAATGTATACTAATATCTTCTTAAATAAGTTATAACTCTAAACTAGGTAGATATCTTAAATAGTTAATTGCCATTAAATAAATAAGATATTTTAACATTATTGATTTAGCATCTGATAACAACAATTAACATGTGAATATTTTTGGGTAATAATTGTATATTATTTATTTTGCGGTTCAGCTGAAATTATTAATCTTAAAATAATAAATTATGTATAGATGTAGTCTATAAGTTTCTGGTAACAATATACTATAATAACAATTTAATGTTTCATGTTTGCACAGTGTTAAACGTATTGGTAAATGCTTATATAAATCAAAATATTAGGGCAATGTATAATTTATGAATATTGTAACTTGAAAAAAAAAATTAACTTTTATTTTGTTAATTTACAACTTTCACTGAAGACAATTTAATTGAATTAACTTGCCACAATGAATTATTTTTATTAACTTGACCACTTTCAGTATAGTGTGACGTGATTTATCAATAAATGTTTTTGATTGGCTAACAGCGCTTGGCTTCGGCCGTTCATTATAATTAGGGCTGTAAATTTAATGCAGTGGAAAAACCTTAAAAATGTCAAAAATTGTAATTTAAAATTGTTTTTTATTTAATTTTTGTATTTATTTAATAAAATATTTTTCTTTCAAAAAAATTCTAAACATTATTTGTCAAATTTGAATATTGAATAAGTTAATATTTGAAATATTGCCTTATTTTATCAAATCATTATCTTTACCTAACCTATATACAGTTTGTGTGAAATATTATTTTATAAAATAAATTATTATTTGACATATATACAGCCTGGGTATTACAAAAAATATATGTGAAAAGATGTTTATGACAAAATGAACTAAAAAGGAAAATATGACTTAAAAAGCCCAAAGAATGACCTTAAAACTAAAAACCTCAAAAAATATTTTTTTCTGTTATTATATTTTTCTGTTTCCTTGTCTTTTCTAAAAATACGTTTTCAATTTTCTCCATTAAATAACTTAAGTCTTAACGGAAACTATAAAATTATATTAGGTACTTACTACTAATTTTATCAAATATCAAAATACTTTTCAATAGACAATAATTATTACTATTAACTGTAACGTTGCAAAAATGAATGCGGTATATTCTTATGTAAACACTACATAATGTATAAAATATAAATGGCATACATGTATAGTTATAATTAATGTATAATTTATATTAAAAGTTGCGTACATTAAAATGTATAAATACTTAGGTAGGTGTATTATTCTTTTGGATTAGTTGTAGGCAATCTCGGAGATTTTTTTATTACAATATTTCCAATGAAAAATAGTAGAGTCATACGTTAATATATATGCTTTGCAGATGGAGCATTTCCAGTAGTATTTAATGGGTTGGCCTCGTATCTTGTACTCAATGTTTCCGCAACGATATTTGACCAGATTACGGGATTTCACCGTACGCAATTGCATTCCTTTAAAGTTTTCCGTGCTCATTGTTAAGCTTCTTTAATATTTTAAAGAATACACCTGTTTTACACGAAAATATATTATTATTATTGAATCTGAATAATACTGATATAAGTGATTTATTTATTTTAGCATACTAACGCCTGAGGTCAATTTTTTTAAAAATAAATATTATTAATATTATTATTTTAATGTAATATTACAATCATAATATTATTTATTATAAGTAGGTGTAGAGTTTCGACGAACGGCGGTTTTTTTTGTGATACTTTACACAGCGAACGATAACCTGACACTGCAGGAACGATACTGAAAGTCTACGTGTAGGTCTGGAACAAGTCTGACGACTGCGCATCGCAAAAATGTCCAAACATTTGACAAAGGATGTATGTATTGATTATTATTTCAACCGAAAGTGATTTGTTCTATTCCCCCTCTTACCTATCGAGCTTATATAGGTAAAACTTTATATCTGTAGGACTTAGATTCCGAGGCCCCACCACCATACGCACACAAGAAAATCTCTACTGCGCCGCCGCATGCTATATCGCTATTATTACGGGGTAGAAAAACGATCAATAACTAACTATAGTTCACCCCTAACAATCCCAACGGCCCACTCTAAACAATTTAAAAAAGTAACACCCTTTACAAATATAATATTTCACGTCGTGTTCTTAAATTATATGCTTGCATTACAGGATTATTATGAGCAAAATAATATACACAGTGGCCTACAGTGTTATCCTTATGCTATATAACTCTGTCAACATTCATTTTTTTTTTCAATCAGGTTTTGTGTGAGGGAGACATACATTTAAAGAAAAATAAATTTTTATTTTTACCCCTTAATCATTGAATAAATAGAAGAAATACGTTACGCGTAACATATTATTCTATTGAATATAATATGTTTCCATACCTATTTTTATATGTTACATTAACATTTTTAGATGAATATCTTCTACAAAATGGCTATTTTAAAAATTTCAAAAAATGGCAAAATAAAAAGATATTTTTCAGTGATTAAGGTATGAAAATAAAAATTTAATTTCTCTCTACACGTGTCCCTCTTATATAAAACCCGGTTGGAAAAAAAAAATTAATATTGATAGAATTATTAGCATAAAAATAATACTGTCGGACACTCTGTATACCTATACTATTTTTCACGAAAGAACGGTAAAGATTCTCGACAAAAACCAATCATTCTTATGCATCCACACGCCGCACCTCGCCAAGGGCTCCCACCACTCTCGGGCCAGGTGTAATCCGGCAGCAATCCGTAGCTCAGTCTGCGTGCGCGAAATACAACCTTTCTCTCGTAAAAAATAGTTTAGGTACAATATTAATACTTGTAACAGAAAATAAACATAAAAAAAATGTTTTTATTTTTATGGGTAAGATTTAGTGGCTAGGTACTGTAGGTTTATATTTTTAAAATATCGTCGGCTTTTTTTTGTTTACATATAAAATAAAAGGATATAAAATGTATATACATATAATAGATGTCTCAATTTAAAATTTGAACTAATACGTACGTAAACTCGGAGTTCATGTAAGTACTCGTGAATGAAAAATTTGTATTCACGTATAATTAATACACGTAAATTTAATATTCGTGTTCACATGTTATACTGTTTTCACGTATTCACGGATATAATAGGATGGTCGGTCCTAACGTACTGTTAATTTCGAGTCAATAAATTGATTATTAATATCATTAATATTATATGTTAGGAATTAATTATACTTGTTTATACTAAAATACATGAATACGTAAATACATGTGTACACGTGAAATAATTATTACTTTATTAAATAACCAGGATAATCACACTTCAGGTAAAAAATGTTATTATTTAATATGTACAGTTTTTATTAAAAACATGTTTTTAAACTTCAAGAAACCAATTTTATTAACATTTAGTGGCTTTAGACTATAGATAAGGTAAATTTCATAATTAGATAATCCGGAGATTATTTTTTAAAATATTTTATGACGGGATCTATGCCTCAATGAACGTACAAAACGTCCAAGCACTGTGCGTATTAAACAGGCATATTTTAATTATTACTTCCAGCTTCCACGAAAGAAAAGAAGCTAACTGATACTGTTGATGGGTGCACCACTGTTGTAGATGAAAAGTTGGATAGGTAGCAAAGTTATTTAATTTATATCTGTAAGTAACAATAAACTATTTCTAACAAAAAACGATTCTGAGCAAAGTTCGTTAATATGTGGTTTGTAAGCAGGTAATATTTACAATATTCTTTAAAATTTGATCTAAAACAATTATAAAAAATATTACTACATTACAGTCTACTTTTTTTTTACAACTAAGTATAGCTCATAATGAACATCCCGTTTAATTTTCAAACATTACTGTTCGGTCAAAAATAATTTTCGCGTAATACCTACCAATTAAAAAACAAACTAGCAAACATAAAATTATTATAAATAGCTCAACAATTTTGAATTTAAAACAAAGAAATCATAACCAAGCCATATCTCTGGATCTAAAACAAACATAGTAAAACCAATAGATCCTTCACTCCACGCCGAATTTTTAGGTTAGGTTTAACTATTATGTTTAGGCAAATCAACTCAAGTGACAATAGGGCTCGATAAGTGCCTACGTTAAGATATTATCAGATTGGATCATTTTGGTTCTAAACAATTTTATAGTCCCATTAAAAACATGCATAATATTTTTTTAAACGATTGTGTTGCATTAAAGAATGAGTATGTACTTACCCAGATTCGTCCTGGTTATTGATTTTAAATAAGAGTTTGTGGTTTAAGCAATAAAATAAATATCTAAGTACTTAAAATGTAGAATTTAAGAATTTTTTAGTTACTTTACACAACATTTATACTAGTTTGAACAAAGTTATAGTTTTCAGAAACTTGATAAAAGACCTTTCAAAATATTTCAATGTTGCCAATCTATAAACTTTTTTTTTAAAACTGTTGTACGGTTTATTCATAACTGCCAACCGATCTCTCCTATAGTATCATATTTTCGTATTTTTCGATAACCGTATTTTCACAATAACAGATAAGTACCAAATACCAATACGGCTGAACATGAATAAGTTATAGTATTATGCCAATTAAAGGAACTTCCACCTATGCTTATCACTTTTTCATATTATCAACTCGATGTGGTTTTGCACAACAAATCGAGGGTTATTTTCGATTAAAATTGTCAGAGTGAACGCAGTGAGCGAGTGACCACCTTAGGTTTCTAATTCCACCTATAATGCTTTATCAATTTTCCCTACTACTTACCCAACGAGGTTTTGCATAAAACACGTTATCATGAATACATAATTTGAAACAATATTTTTTCTGCGTTGTTGATGTAACTACATTATTAATATAACTTTTCTTTCTTAACGTTGGTGTGTTTGTGCAGACCGTTATGGCTACAATTTCTTATCATTTTTTCTGAAAACTATACTACCCATATATCTCATACTAAGGTTAGTTTAGGTTAGGTATAGTATAAGGTCTATTCCAAACACAAATAATTGCACTGAATGTCAGATAATATTATACAGTGTAACACGAAGTTCTTATGTTTGTCAATGGGAAGGAGACCTTTGGGACGTCTAAGAAAGAGATCAAATCAGATATAGGTTTTAAAGATTCTTTCCAGATTTACTGAAGAAGAAAAGGTTACAGATTCCATGCTTAATACACGGTGAACATATAATAGAAATGAAAACAAGGTAAAAAGAAATAAAAAAAGTTTTGTAAAACTAGCAGAAATTAATTTATACCAAACAGTAATTTTATACTGTTTAGTATAATGTTTTGATCAGTTTTATAAATTAATTTCTGTTAGTTTTACAAAACTTGGCAATTTTTTTTTATTTCTATTTACCTTGTTTTCATTTCTGTTTTCTTGGAAGGCAAATTGTTTCATATGTATACTAATGTAATTCATAATACCTACTATATGTTATTATCTGTTCATGGAAAACTTAATGGTGTAACTTTCATCAAATTAACTGTTATAGGTCAAAAACGTTTTCTGATCAACAGTTTTTAGCAAACTTTCTTCTGTTTTTTTCATAATTTAAAAAAGCATATTTTAAGGTGTATCAATCCATCTCTTGTTTTCATATTCACCAAAGTAGCAGGAAACTGTTGATAATATACTTGTAATACTATAACAAAAGATTTACAGGTATCACAATCTTTGGTATATTTCAGCAACTACTTTAATAAATATCTTATAAAATGAAAAATGTACATTCTCATATTGGGTTCTTTTTGGAGAAAAATAAAAAATTGTACAATACATATCAGTTAAACAGTACATAAAGCAGTCTAAAACCTCAGCCTTTGTGTAATTATGTTCAATTACATCAGTTAATTCCCATTCTTTTTGCTTTATTATTGTATTTAATTTAACTTTTCAGGATGATAAAATATTCTTTAAATCTGATATGAAAATTAACAAATTTAATGTGAAATCGTCACTTATACTAAAATTTCTACTTTTGGGTAGTTTCAGTATACTATAAGTTAATAATACCATAACTCGTACACTTGGAGGAATGTTGGCGCTGATGAGTGATGATTCAATCCTGCAGCCTGATGGGTTATTCCAAAAGACATCTTGGTAAAATTAATAATTTGATTGATTATGATTTCCATATATTTAATTTTTTGTATGTTCTTCTAATTTATCTTTTCAGTTAATAAATATTTGAAATTCAAACAAAAATTGAAGTATTTGGACAGATAAAGTGTAGACTGGATTGTCACTTTCAAACAATAAGCAGTACTTTTTGTTAGGATACAGTATTTTTTTATGTTGCCATCAATATATTTTTCCCAATCATTCATTCAAATAAAAAATTATTGAAGAAACAAAAGTTTAAAAATAAATTAATCATAGTTGAAAAAATAAAAGTAAAATAAATATGATGAACAATTTTGGTATTATATATTATTGATTATGTTTTATATACAACCAGTTTTGAAAATCATAATCAGCGAATGACTAATAAATAATGATTCATTTTATACCCTTATGATTTTTAAAATTGAAATTGATCATAAATAAATAAATAGACACTAACGAGGACATTATGCTGATTTTTTTTTTTAGTATTAATTACAAACAATTTTTTGTTATTTGATTTTTAAAAATATATTTATATTAACTGGTATATGAGTTATAAATTTACATGATAATCTTTGCCATACACACTGAGTCCTTCATCACCAAATTTCCTCTTGAGGCCCAGCTCGAGCTTTTAAAAACACTCGCCACCACTTATACATGTAAATACTAAGTAAGGAATTTTAAATGTCACCTCTGAAAAATGCTCTAGATCACTCTAGATGTGAGACAATATCACCTACCAATTAAATCAGAACTAAGAGTATCAAAGTAATCATTATATTTATGACAGAATATGGCAGTTGGTTTATATTCTTTGAAACTAGAAATGTTATAACTTTTATAAAATAACCACCTATTTGCCACTGAATTACTTAAGATCTATAAATATAATTAAACAATAAGGTAATTTAAAAATAAATATTTATGCTTGCATTAATTTGTCATATTTTGAATTATATTTATTTATAGATATAATATCATACTTGAATGGCCAATTGAATCATCATTTTATCAGAAACATTAAGTTGAATATGATTGGGCAAAACTGACTTGTACGCAACAGTGGATTTTGGATAACTTTAGGCATACTCTCAAATCTCCTGTTAATTTTACATTCTTTTCATATAAACGTTTGATATGTTACCATTAAATATATTGTCCATAAATCTATATTTTATATAATTAAAAGAGTAAATTAAAGATATATTTTCTTTATTCTGTTTAGAATAATATAATAATGATATTTAAAATATCTAACATTTAACAATTTTTACATTATTTCAAATTTTAATATTGAAACACAACGTACCACATATAATAATAACATTATATAACACATTCAAATTAGAAATTATAGTATTACATTGCATTTAGGTTTACCATAAGCAAATTCTAAGTATTAGTACACACGCAATTTTTTTATACCTTTGTTGGAGAATAATAAATCCTAAACACAATACATATAAATTATTTTGATATACTAACACATTAGCATTTAATTAATAACAAATTTGCATTTGCATAAGTGTTTTAATATTGTATAATAATTTATTCCTAATATGTTTTAATGATGTGGTGTATCTATAAAGGCGTATATTTTTCTGTCATTATCGATTGGATGATGAAACCAATTTTAAAAAGAATCATTATGTCCGCTAACACCTAATTCAGTCGATATATTTCTATTCGTCTGAACAACATCAGACACAGTACCACAAATAAATGCACTTGCCTGTTATAGAAGAACTATTCACTTGTTTATGCGTTTAACCAATTTAGTTCCAATTAAAGGACCTCTCTAAAGGTAAAAATATTCACTAATTGTGAATAACAATAGCAATCAGCAAGTGGCTGAAACATAAAAAACTAAACCACTAGTTACCTTCTTATTGATGTCTGTTCCCTTATAGTCTTCTCTATGATCAATTATCTCACTAATATTTCATCAACTAGGAGAATGCCATATTTTTGAAACTCTGTCCAAATATTTTTTAACAAGGCAAACAAATTTGAATCAAAACCACAAGTCATATTTATGAATCCCAGATATAAACCTTATAGAGTTAATACTTGGTAATGACAATTTATTATTTTTATTTAAAAAATTATAGCCACTTGGTTATCTTATGTGTAGCAACATGTATAGCATTATCCATTCATCTGAATACCTTCTGCCTTTTAAATTACTAACCTAATTCAAGTTAAATGTGCATTTAATTTATTTTAGTATTTATTTGGTATGACTTGGTATAATTGGTAATTACTTTCTTTGTTGCTCTAAATATTATTTTATAATTATTTTTTTTCATATCCTGAACATAACTGTAATATTATCATTAATATCATTCATTCATTTTTTGCTCAATACTATATTGAGTTGAGCTTTTTAATTTTTCTTATAATTTATCAATATTCTTTTTTAATTAGTCGATTTTATTACTAAAATGATTTTATTATTTTCTTTGCAGTTCTTTGCATTGTTCTTACACAAGTTTTAAGAATTGTTTTGCTTTTTGAAGTTGTTTTTATTATTATACGTTTTAGAGAAGATATTAAAAATTGTTATGCTCTCTATGGATTTATAGATGTGTTTGCTCTTGTGCAAAATGAACAATGATAGAACTATTTAATAGTTATAGGACAATTTAAATGACATTTTATCATAATAGTATTAACAGTCAAATTGTTATTTCTTAAAAACACAGTCATATACACACAAAAAAAAAAAAAATGCAAGCAAAATAAATTAAAATCTTATGGCCAAAAGTTTACTTTTTTTCAAATGAACTGATTTTCATGGCGTCATTTCATTAATTAAATCTATGAAATGCTGATAAATTTCAAGTTTATAGAAGGAATCTGTTAACTTATCTCTGCTTGTATTTTTGACCAAAGCGTTGAGTTGAGTGACCAAAGTGAGTTCTAAATCTTAAAAACAATAATAATTTTTCGCAATTTTTAGAAGAATACTTTTGCCAATTTGATTGCAAGTTTAAGTTTAATATGTATCTAGTTTTCTAAACAAAATACTGACGGTATCAAATTATAATTTAGATGTTTGATTCAATTTATTCTATAAATTAAGGTGAAACATTAAGTATGTTTTTATAAATATTTTAAAAATCAATTTTGAACTAATTATAATACTTTTACATGTTTATTGTACTGTGTGTTTAGTGTTTAATGAACTAGTACTATTTTTATAATAACAATAATATTTTCATCTGTACAGTGATTAATATCTTTTAGCTTGGCTCGATTCCTTGTTACTTATACTAAAAACTTGTTTAATTTTTAACTAAATAATTAAATCTCAGCTATATTGATAAATAAATACTAATTATTTAAAAATCCAAATTTACTACTTCATCGTGTTAAAGGTGTTCTCTTAGTGGTAGTACAAATAGTGTCTAATGTATTTCACAGTTGAATTAAATCTTCCACCTATTATTAAAATTGGTAAAGATTAGAATTAGTTTCATACTATACCTATTATCTATAAATATTATGACTATTGACTACCTTATTTTCAGAAAATTAAAATCATTTAGGAGTTGTAAATGGTACTGCATTTGGTTTGAAACAAAGCCGTACTAATGTAGTCTAAACATTTTATTGATTAGAATAATGTTATAATTACTTAAACAATGCATTTTACTTTTAAAATAAAGTTGATTAGTAATGTGAGAGATTAAATAATGTGAAAAAAAATTGTGATTTTACTTACATTTCCTACTTTATCCACCATATTATTTTATTTTTTAACGGCATCAGCCGAAAAATGTTTTTCATAAATAACATCATTTGTGTCCAAGCAATCAATATTTAAAGCACTCAACTATTCAAACTTTAATTTTTGAACTTTTGATGTTACAAATACATATAGTTTTTTTATTTTGTTAGTAAATTGCAGCACCGTCAAATACTATATGTTGTCTTGGTCAGCTAAATCTATTGATAAACGGAATCCAAAGGTTCCGCGAACCAGCGCCAAGGATACCGTGAGGGATATGGGAAAAATTAATTAGTTAACAACATTTTCGATTTGTATTGTATAATTAAAATTGAGAAGTTCTAGAATACCATGGAAAGGGATTACAAAAATTATACACATACACATTAATTGTTACAATTTATTACTTAAAGCTTAATATTTACTACTACAACTAAACAGGTATTATATAAAAAAATTCAAAAGAAATGAAGGGTCAACATTAACATTCGTCATCATACGTCCGAAAGGTTCATTTTTAAGATAATTGGTGGAGGCAAAAGGAACATAAAAAGGTGCAATAGATTGGGAGGAAAGTTGAGATACTCTGAAGCAGATTAAAGAAAGTAATTCAAGGGAGGCAGTATTACCTCGTGCCAAACTATTACAAAAACTTAATGTCTGAGATACGTCAACGCTCAGCCAAGGAAATCAAACCAAAGTGCGAATCAACAGATTCATAGTTATAGGGTTCACAAGGGATATTCAATTTAAATCTTGCGTACCTCAAGAATTTTTGTTGGACCCTTTCCAGCTTCAAGAAATAAGGATCCCAAATAACGAAACAATAATAGGGATAACCCTAGTAAATTGAACCACTCAATAAATCGATCAAAATCATTCTGTAACAAGATACAGTCATCCAAAGAAGATATACGAAAGTAAAGTTTTATATCGTCGGTAAAACATAAAATATGCTTGTAGAGAGAACACTGAGACACTATTGATAAATGAGGATAACAGGTGAAAGGAGTAAGGTGTTCTTCTTGAGGAACACCAGACGTTGCAAGATAAATATTCGATTTCACTACAAGCAAATTGACTCATTGATAACGGTGTGAGAAGTAAGACGAAAACCAAGACAGGAGTAGTTCACCAATACCAGTTACATTGAATACCTGAACAAGGGCATTATAACCAACAAAATTAAGAACCAATTTGTGTAAGGCATCAAAGAAAATATTAAACGCTCCATCCACATTATATAATTGGAAAGTTGAGTACTAGTCAAAAGACGATAGGAACAAATGGGCTTTCTCAAAATTTGCTTTATGAAAATTGTAGAATGTGTGACTGCGATTATAGTAAGTAGTAGAGTGATTCATTGGGAGAGAGATGTTTAACGCAAGATGATAAAGATCAGCTGGAAAAACAGATTCATATGAGTTTTCAACGGATAAAAGTTTATTATTGGAAAACATAGTCAAGTATTGAATTAAAATAATTATTTATACTGGTTTCCTAAATAAAGCAGTACGTAGCGAACGCTTCAGGAATGCAAGCAGCCCAGGAAGAAGATAAGGAAGAATAAGTAGGACCACTATCGTCATTGTCCCAAGGTATTTTAGATAAATTATAGTCACCACGTACAATGAAATTGTGTGAAGGAAAGCTCATTCTTATGTGCTCAATAGAGTTAATATGTGATTCATAAATGAGAGGTGAAGAGTTAGGGAGAAAATAGACACCACCTAGAACAAAACTAGATTGACCAATGGTAAAGTAAACAAAAATGTGCTCAACATTAGGGTCAAGGATAAAAATAAGAAAAGCTGGAAAATCTTTACAAATACCAATGAGAACGCTTCCACCCCGAAAAAACACACTAGTATCAGTACATCTGTCGTATCTAAAAATATTATAGTTTTATATACCAAGTTCGCTATTAGTAAAGTTATTATTTAACCAGGCTTCGTTTAATAAAATAAATAAATGGTTAAAAGCAAATACATTACACACTAATTTAGTTAATTTTGTTCTGAGTCCACGACAATTTTGTAAAAATCACAAGATTTTATCAGGGAGAGGTAAAGAAGTTATGATAGGCCAACATGACGGTGGGATTGATCATTCCCGGTTTTTAACATAGCTGAACCAACCGTTGTCGTGAACGGGTTTCCGTTCACGAAAACTACACGCGAGCCATTTTCACTAACACTGACTCTCCTATTAAGGTCCTCAAAGCATAACCGCAAGAGCTTACGCTACAAGACAGTTCTGGCCCTCATCATCCGAGAACCTTCAGGAAAAAGTTTCCCAGAACGATTAGCAGAACTATATGCAGTGTATACGTTGAAAGCAGCATCTTTGGATTCACAAATAAATTTTATTGGAGGCGTAGTCAACACGAGATCTACCAAGACGAATTAGCTGACATTTGGTAGGAATAGCATTTTCAAGTGAGTCAAGAGCATTACAAATGGTAAGTTTGTCATGTTCAATCCTTGAAGAGGTATCCGGTGAAGTAGATTCAGAAACACCATATAAAATTAAGTTGAAAAGACATCTTTTATGCTCAAACGTTTCCCGGAGAACTTGAGAAATTATGGATTGAGATTGCTCTAAGGGATTTCTACTCCACCATGGAGGGTGGCGTACGAAGCTTTAAGCTCAGAAACTTAATTGGAGACCCGTTTCAATTCCACTTTAAGCTCATTAAATTTCGTAGCCAATTTGTCAAAAAGTGACTTATTGGAGGAGCAAATATTCGCCTTAAGAGTCATAATGACAGCCATTATATCGTCATTGGAAGCAGAGATATTAGAAGAAGGTTGTTGCTGGAAGTAGTCCGAGTGATAGGCATAACAGAAAATTGTCAAAAACGTACCTTCGTTAAAGTTAATGAGGTAAGCAACTAAATTGACACAAATCGCCCTGTAAGTCACAGTTAGACAACAGTATACAACAAGTTTAGTTGAACGACGAACGACTGATGTTCGGATAAACGATAACGCCGATAAAAACGTCGGGTAAGGATAGGTATAATATTAAGAACAAAAATTGAATGGCTAAACACTGATAAAAGCACAACGGTAACGATAACGACACAACTACCCGAGATGAGCAATTAGAGACGCACGATAATAAAAAAAAAAGAAGCGATAAGACACAACACAGCGACAGACGTCCGACCGTCAGAGGATAAAACTTTATTTTAATTTAAACAGTATTTTAATTATATCGGCACAAAATAACGAACTATTCAAATAGTTTTTAATCTATTTGAATAGTTCGAATATGATCAACTATCGAATAGTCCGATAGCAACTATTCAATAATGTCCATCACTAATAAACACTTATGTGTAGGGCTGGGATTTCGATGTACTCTTCATTTTTTTCCAGAGGTTGCTGTACGATGCTCGCCTGGTCACAAATCCATAGCATGTACTTTTGAATGAGAATAAGAAAATATTTATGTATTTTGCATTCTTTTGCATACATTGATAATTTTCGTTTTTAACGTCATTTTCTTCGTTGCTTAGGGCATTATAGGTTTTTATGGTATTATTGGAGTTTTTGGGTGCAAAATTCAAACTTGAAATTCTATTTTAAGATTTTACACGCAAACGCGAGTCTTATAAAAATTTACATATTTTTTTTTTGGTATAACTAACATTAGAGTAGGTACCTACTCGTATCTCGTATCGTAGAAAAACATAGATAACGAATTTGCGATTGGCGCCGCGGCAAAGTATATTTAGAATTACTATAATAATCTGTTTAATAATACGTCAGTGCGACAAAATCGATACTGACGTCTGACGGTATCGTTCATTACAAGTTTGTTCTCGTAAGTGTTAACACTCGTGCATTTGGTTTCGATCATTTCATTTAAAATGCCGAAAGTAAAATGTTCATCGGCCAGTCGATTGCGTACGTTTGTTGAAGAGTTTGGCCAAAGTATTTTTTCTACCGACGGAACGGTATTATTGTGTGAGATATGCAACGTAAAAGTTTCTATACAAAAACATTTATCAAGAGACAAACATATACTTTGAGTAAAACAACGGTGTGAATTACAAAAAGAAGTAGAAGAAAAAAAAAACTGCACGTAGTTTTATTACAGACACACCAAACAGGTCGGAATATTTTTAACTCGTACATTATTGTCGTATAATGTTCCATAAAACAAGCTCGAAAATCCTATGTTTTGTACATTGTTGGAAAAATATACAAACGAACAAACGCCCGATCGTTTTACATTACGAAAATATTACATCAGTATTTGTTACGATGAAACTATACAAAAGATATGGTCGTACAATGACAACAAAAAAAATTTGGATTTCCATCGACGAAACGACGGACGCCTGAGGTCGTTATGTTGCCAATGTCATCTCATAGGTACATTAGAATTAGGAAACAAATGTAAAACATTTTTTCTAAACTCAAAAGTATTCAAAAAACTAATCATAGCACAATCGCCAAATTTTTTGAAAAGTCGTTATCAATTTCATGGCCTCGAAGAATAATCCATTATAGTGTCCTGTTATTTCCAAGCGATTTGTTGCTGCTCCTTTTATGATAAAAGCAGATATTGCGATCCAAACTTTTTACTCAAAAACGATACATGTTACATGCTCAGCACACGCATTGTATAGAATTGCCGAAGAAATAAAAAATAGTTTTACAGATGTTGATGCATTAATAAATAACGTGAAAAAGATATTTTTGAAAGCGCCATCGCGAGTCCAAATATTTTAAAACAATGGCACAAGATGTCCCACTACCTCCTAAACTTGTATTAACGTTTTGGAGAACTTGGTTAAATGCTTCGATCTATTATTTTGAACGTTTTGAACATATTAAAGAAATTATCGATAAATTAGACGAAAAAGACGCAGTTGCAGTTTCCAAAGCTGAACATTTATTTTTACGGTTAATTTGAAACATAACTTAGTACATAATAAGGCAAATGTTTATACCTTGGCAACATCTATTACGCAACTAGAGACTTCCGGTATGACTTTAGCTGATTCTATAAACGTTAGTCAAAAAATTAAAGCTGAAATTTAAAATGCCCCAAATGAAATCGGAAAAACCATTTATAAAAAAGTGACCCAGGTTTTAAATAAAAATAAAGGATTTAAAATTCTTTCTAATATATCAGTTATTTTGAATGGGTAAGAAGGCACAACAAATAAAATTCCGGATGATATAACAGTAAATGATTTGACGTTCTTTAAATATTCACCCATCACTTTGATAGACGTTGAATGTAGCTTCTCTATCTACGAAAATTTACTGGTGGATAACAGAAGGTCGTTTTTATTCAAAAATCTTAAACAATCTCTGGTAATTCAGTGAACAGTTCAGAGTGTACAAGTTGAAGTTTAGCCTATAGAAAAATTATTTTAATCACTTTCATTTCAATTTGATTAATTTAATCAAATATTATTTAGAATTTTTAGGGCATTAAAGCATTTTTTTTAAGGGCATTGTTTAGAGTTTTATAGGGCATTATATTTCCAATCCTACTTGTGTGTAATGTGTTTGTGTAGAAGAAATTATCATGCAATTCTGTGCTTCAAATTCAAAAGGCTTAATGTTGTCTGCGTTTAAACTCTAACTTCATCCTAAGCACTACTCATTAATATTCTACGTAACATAATTGCGATGTGAGAGTAACACATCACAATTACATAATAATTGTGCCTATTAGTTAGATTGAGACAGTTATAATATCCATATTCCCAATTAAACACATTCACAATAACATAAAGTAATAAACACATAATATGTTTAATAGATAGTTAATATTTCAATGTTATAAATGAAAAATAAAAAATGTATTTCATACTATTCCATTTCTTACATAAATTAAATAAGAATACATTTTCATGTAACGTGTATAAATTAATTACAATTATTATTATATTCATTTCAGTCTATAATTTAAAAATTAGAAAAAAAAAATATAGCTAATAAATTAAATTAATACAATATGTGTATCAACAATTAAAAAAAAATATTTGTATTTATTTAAATAGGTACTGGCCAAGTCGTATTGGTTAACAACAGTAGCCTAAACAAATCAAACAAATAATAATAACTATAAAATTTATTCATACATGCCTAATACATTTTAAAAGCGAGTAGATAAATAATGATAAAAGAGTACATGATGAATGTAAGTATATTAACAAGTTCCCCTTTTTAATCATTGTTTACCCGATCATATTTATAAATATTAAGGTTGTGTGTGGACACAGAACGTTTATATAGTTGAATCATTTAAAATCATAGATGTGCTACCGTGGCATAATAATGGCTACAAAAAAAAAAAAAAATACTTGCAAAATAATCGGGTCATGTGAAAAAATATTAAAAATAAAATAAAAAAAACCATTAATATTATTTAGTTATGTATACATAAGGGATATATACATCCCTGTGTACATATATATGTACACACTAATCTAATTCAATTAATTCAGGATTATCATTATTATTAATGGAATGAGAACTAGTGACTCGTGAACTGCGAATTGGTTTTTTAGATGTATCTATCATTTGATGAGTTGGTTGCGATTGGTGAACTGATTGCTGAACCATAGTAGTTGTAGTCATCATAGTTTGCTGTAAAAAAAAATTAATTAAAAATTCAGATAGTCAAGGACAAAATATTTTTAGATGTACCCTTGCAAATATATACCATATTTCAATGTATTATCTTAGGTGAAGATTTGAGGAACATTAGTGAACAGAAATCGTTATAATTTATAATTAATACAATAGTAGTTATAACTAGATATTTGTAGCAATTAAGTAAATATAATCATAGAAACAATGCAATTTTCAAAGCATCTGAATATGTAATTCACCCACAAAATCCAGTGCATCAAAAAATCCCCAGTAATATTATCCCTTGTCATATTTATTTATTTTTTTATTGTTATTTATTCTATTGAAAATATTTCATGATGTAAATATATAAGCAATATTTCTAGTAGAAAATGGCGTGCGTATTTATTTAAAATAATGAAATTGCATGTTTTTTTTCAATTAATCACTTGTATTTCAAATACCACTTCGAAAATCAGAAAAATGATCTTCAGAATGGAAAATCGGTACATTAAAAAAAATATTATTGAAGATAATATATAATGTCTATTTAATTATTTACTAATAATATAATATAAATTGTTGACAAAGCATCACTATCAACTAAGATCCGCTCAGAATCGTTTTTTTGTTAGCAATGGTTTATCGTTACTCACAGATATACATTAAATTCTCTTCTGTATCCTACCTTCCCAACTTTCTACTAAAAATAGTGGCTGCACCCATCCTTCTATTATCCTAAGATAGTGTTTTTTCTTTTTTAAACTATTTAAGAGTATACACAGTATACCCTTAATTTTTCAACAAAATGTTGAGAGTATATAATGTATACGTAGTATACTGTATGTACCCTACCTTCTCAAGTTCTCACATACAACAGTGACACATCTGTTAGTATAAAATCTTTTTAAAATAGTAATTTTTTGAATTTATTATTATTAATGAGAGAATTACAGACAATTTACCATTCCAAAATTTTTCTGTGGATCCTTTTTGTTGAAGGGACCTGGGCTATGGCCCTCTATATCCCCCCATAATCTGGCTCTGAAGATGAATCATTTAAAGATTTCAATTTTTTTTAATTCCCTATAGTTGTTTTTAAATTTAATTCTTAACTTTTATGGTGAACTTGAAATGATATAAAATGTACAGTAAAATAATAATTTGTTAGTTAAACACGACTAAAACTCTAGATATGTTTAGTATATATTTTGAATGGAAACAGAATAGACTTATTATAAATGGCAATCATTATTTAATCTTAGTATGGATATATTGTTTAATAATTAAGTTATTAATTGTCCAAAAATGCATTTATCAGTTTTCATCAGTCTGGATTTGTCCACTTAAGATGAACATCAATGTTAATAGGTGTATCTACAATTCTTTTGGGACTTATCATTCTTGTGTATTCAAAAATATGATTATCTCGTAAAAGAACCAAACATTATTATCTAAAAATGACGTTATTCTAATAGATTTTGGACGCTTAATTTGACAGGATCGTAAAGAGAATGTAGTTTACTCGATTAGACTCATTAAACCCATTTTTGAAAATGTAGATAAAGCCATTAAGATTTATTATATTAGATATATAGATGTAAAAAGCACAGAGTATTGATAAGGATAAATACATTATTCGGTTTTTTTTAATCAATAAACAAACAAAAAAACATAATATATACATAATACAATACCTGTTGCACTCTAGATCGATTATTTGAAAAATTATGTCTGTTCTGAACTCTAGTTTGTGTATTATAATGTTTAGTAACATTTTTACCTCTTTGTGCCATTGAATTTCGAACCATAGGTGTAGACTGCATTCTAGGGGTCATCTGATGCCTGATAATAAAATAAATTATTTAACATAGGAATATTTGAATTTGTATTAAAGGAAGGGGTGATTAGTGTGACAAGCTAACCCCCCCTCCCAAAAAAAAATTATTTGAAAAACATACAAAATATCAAAGTATTAATATTACACTACACAACTGGTCAGTATTGTTTAGCCTTGTCTACTTAAAACCAGAATATCCAATCTGTTGTTTAACAATGTATTAGTTTTACTATGTGTGCTTTTCTTTTTTTTCTGTTATCATTTTTACCACAAATTTTGTTTTAATCATGAACTTCAGGAGTGGTTTTGGTAGCCAATATTGTCTATTTGAAGAATTAGAAAGATTATTTTTGTGATTTGCATTAGCTTTCATAATGAAGAAAAAAGTAATATTTACAGATTACACAATAACAGTTGCTCTTTGTAAGAATATTCTTATTGAAATATTAAATTGTAATTAGTTATCAACCTGTAGAATTTAGTCATAAGTTATTATGTTAACATTGTAAGTTAAATATATATAGTTATACATTTATACAGAAGTACAAAAATGCTGATAGGAAACATACCAATATTATAATATGAATATGAGTGAATAGGCGATTTTTTAGTCGAGCTACCCAATACATTGCCGATACATGTGGGCATTTTAATTACATAATATTTACAGTATTATTATATTTCTTTATTAATTTAACTTAACACTGTCTAGATTACTTCTAAAACCACTTCTAATCAATAGTTTTACTTCATCTTCCATTAATATAACTGTAGAACTTAAACACTGTTAAACTACAAAGTTAGCCATTGCTAATTTAATTTAATGATCTCAGTAACTTTCTTTGAAAATTCTTAACATAAATTAAAATCAATATTAGGAAGTTCTAATTGCTCAATATTTTGCTTAATTATCACCACTTATATTATCTGTAATTTTTGTAAAATGTTCATTTGTTTTTTATAAATATAAATAAAATAAATAAATAATCAGTTATTAAATTTTAAAATGGTAAATAGAAAATTGTGATGTGTTCAGTGCTAACGATTTTCTTTTGTCATTGAAATTAAAAACTAAATGTTGCCATTATATGTTTAATAACTATCAATAACTATTATATACTATGGGCCCATTTAATTATTTTGTATTATAAATTATTGTAAATTAAGAAATGGTTAATTTAATTATTAAAGTCTAAACATTTATTTCAGCACCATTGATTATTTTATAATTTTTAAAAGAATAGAATTGTCCACACATACAGATTTAATGCAACATGTCTATGTAACAGTTCACGAAGACTTTTGGAAAATATTAAGTTTAGTGCATACTTCTTACAATCAAAATTACAATCAATAGGAAATTTGCAATCTAATATAGGCCCAAGACTTAAATTATATCTCCGTATACCTTAACCACCAACCCAAATTTAATTTTACTAATTTTAATTAACTAAAATTATTTTCAATAAACTATACATTTAAAATTGATTTAAAATATATAAAATTGAAATTCTGTATGTATATCTGTATATCTATTATACAAATGTAAGATAAAGATGGAAATAGGAAGATGTTCTTTCAAATATTTTTATTTTTGGAAACAGAGACTGAGCAATACTGGATACATTAGTTTAATATAAATACAAGTTATAAGTTTGAATGCATATAAGTTATACATTTTTATTATTGAATGAGATTATTAAACCCAATAGTTAAAATTTAAAAAAATGTTATAAACATTTAAAACATTTACTTACAGCCTACTATAATTAGAATTTGTCTGTCGTATGTTGTTGGTTGGTCGTGGGTTTTTTGATCTTGGTGATTGTACATTATGAGTATTATTCATAACCCAACAATTGACTAAATTCTTCTCTAAATTCATACTTGAAGAATTTGGGTTAACAGAACGTTGATGTTGAAATTCCTATAGTATTCAAAATAAAGAAAAAACATTGTTTTCATTTTTTTAGTTGGTGTATTTATATGAAAAATATAATTAATCAAAACTATGTTTATGTCAGCAATTTTGATGGGTTGCTATCTCATTTTTTAAAATTTAGTAATGTAATTTTAGTAGCTCATGTACAAGTGGCTTATTGCACTCATGCATATTGTGTCCTAGAGAGCATTCAAAAATATGTGATATATATATATATATATGTATTTATTTTTAGCTAAATACACAATTAAAAATATAAAATTTGTAAAAAAAAAAAAATATTTTTCTTAATACAAATTATAAAACTAATACATATGTACATATAGATATAAAATAAAATAATATATATATATCATATAATTTTTATAAAAATTATATATTTATTCATTTGAATATAGGATCCTCATCAACAAAACAATGGATGATTATCATATACATTTTTAAGTTATCAACATCGATTGAGACGCAATACATTTTTGTAGCGGCTAAAAAATCTTTCCATGTCGACAGGAAATATTTGTTTAAAATATTACTAAATGAAAAATATAAATAATTAAATTTAAATGAGATATATCTGAGCCTGAGATGAATGTAATTAAATAGAAGGGATCTGCTGATTACTGACAAAAGGGAGAAGGGGTTTTAAAATCCCATAAATGTATTTAAGAACTACTGAAATACTTCGTGTTATGAACTCACTTAAATATTATTAGTTATACTTACACGGGATGACCCGGAATTTGAATGGTTTGGTCTTGGAACATGCGGATCCCAATTATATGGCTTATCAAAATTCACTAAAAATTAATCAATAACATAACATTATAAAAAAGAAAAACTATAAAGTATAACTCAGTAGTTATCTAACTTACTAGATTTTATAACAGAATAAAGATTTTGTTTAACTGGAACTTTAGGTGAATCACAAGAAGTAATTTCTATATCTGAATCATCGTTATCATTAATTTCAATTATATCTTTTGGCTGAATTTCCTCTTGATGTATAGTCACTCTGGGCTCCGTAATATTGCAATTTTCTAAACCACCTTTCCCATTACCAGTTGCATTGTTAATATTTGTATCATTACCAATATCATTATTTACACCATCAATAGTTATAGTACTGATATTTGTACTATTATTACTACTCCCATCTTTCATAACTTCATTTGTTGATTTTTTATTTTCAATTATTTCATCAGTTTTATAATCAACATTAATATCTTTATCTATTGTACGTATACAATATCCTTCATTATCCTCAATAGATTTACCTTCAACTGCATTGCTAATTGCTAAGTTTCCATCACTGTCATTACATTTTTGAATACTAATACTAATATTTTTATTGATTACTTCATTACTATTTTCTTTTACTATTTTACCAGGAACTTTTTTGTTTTCAATACTTATTTTTTCTTCCTGATTACTTACAACATTCGGTTCATTTAATGTAATTACACGAGGTATTAAATCAAGGTTCTTCATATGAATAGATTTCTTATTTTTTTTCGAAGATTTATCATTGTTTTTGCTATTTGAAAATTGCCTTTTACATTCAACTGATACAGGGTTAGTTATTTTGAATTTTTTATTGCAATGTGGATTCTTATTAATACACTCATCTTCTGATGATATAGTGTTAGGTTTATCATTTTCTGTGTTATTTGATAATAGCCTTTTACGTCTGATAGATATAATGTTAGAGGATTTTAACTTTTCATTAAAATATTGACTATCATTAATAAATTCATCTTCTAAACTTTTTTCACAATCAGTACTACTAGAACTACTAGAATCTTCTGTTTCAACAACATAATCTTGTTTATTAATAAACTCTTCTGTTAACTAAAAAATAAAAAAGTATTAATAATATATACATTATATAATATTAATTACATAAAATATAATTAATTTAAATAGTTAAAATTAATATTTAAACAATTCTATTGAGTACAGTAAAAATAACTAATACAATTATCTAATTAGTATCTTATTATAATATTCTCAATGTGACAAACCCAAATTGCATGGTTCATATTTTAAATTAAAAATAAAACTCTACATTTTATAAAACAACATGTATGAACCAAACATGAAACAGTAAAATTATCTAATTCCCTAAATGTAATCAAACTAAAACTTCATCTTCCTCTCTTTTGCCCCACTATTGTTGAGTTGACCACTATTGTTCTAAACTCCACTTCATAAAGACCTGAAATTTGCATTACATTCTAGCAATTCCTGAACTATTTATAAGCACTTGACATTTTCAATATTTCCTATTTAATAGGGATTATGTGGATAAAATTGTTTAACCAAATAGAAATGATTGAAAAATAACACTTCGTTTTAAGTGTATTATTCAAAAGTTGTATTAAGTGATAAAAAAAAAAATTATAAGATTAGTTTTTGTAAGCATTTTAAAGAAAATCGTAAAAAAAAATGATGTATTAAAAAACATGTATAACCCTTATGATAGCAAGGGTTCGGTTTTTAATTTAATATTTATTTTTTTGTTCAGACTTTGTTTAGTATTTTTTTTTTGTGTTATTTTAGTATATATAAAAAAGTTACAAGGTTACAAGTTGAAAAAACAAAGAAAAAGACAGACAAACTTTGCACATTGGTGGGACATTATTGTAGGTGGGAAGTTGGAAAAGTAAAGATAAAATTTAATGTATATCTGTAAGCAAGGATTAATCCAATTGGGTGATTAATCTATCATAAGACACTCATTATCCTGGAAACTGTTAACTTTTTTCAACATTTATTTTAAAGAAACAAGCTGTTCTAAATTTTAACATTTACATTAATTTTTGTTATCCTTTTGGGGGTGAAACAACAACCTACTATTGATTTTCATATAGCAACCTATATTAAAAATTCCATAAGTAAATGGAATAGTACCTAGTTAAAATAAATTTTTAATTTCCGTTAATCTGTTAACAAGGTATTCCATTTTTAAGTTTAGGTTGGGGGAGAACAGTAGAGCATAATTTGTGTGGCGGCACAGTGCGTGGCGTTTTAAAAATGTACTACTATTTTCCACCGACCCAAATTTAAAATATCTCGTCAACTCAATTGATGGAAATTAAAAATGTTAACATTAAAATTTATTCTAACTACCACTCCATCTATTTATGAAATTTTTAATAATAAATTGCTATTTGGAAATCAAAAGTGGATAGTACTTTCAATTCCAAAAATTAAAATAAATGTAAAATTGTAGAGCTGCATGTTTCTAGAATTTTCTATAAAACAAATGTCAAAAGAAGTTAATACTTTCCGAGATAATGAGTGTCTTATGATAGATTGATCACCCTGTATATTTTCTTTAATAATAATTGTTTAATATTGTTTATAAATACATTTATTGGGAACTCTTAGGAAAATCAAAAAATGACCTTTCTAAAGTACCACTCCAGTTAGATTTCCTTTCAGAATAGTGTTATCATTATAAATCGGAGCAAAATTGCTGGTAGAAAAGTTGTTCACTGGAAAAAAAAGGCCATAATATTTTTTGACTATTACATAAATTTCGTAAATTTTCCTGTTTTTCTAACATTTTATCCTGGTTTTTCCCAATTATTATGAAAATTGCTTGGAAAATCAAAAAAATAACTACTCAAATAAACCATGTAGATAAAATTTCCTTTTGAGAATATATATTGGATACAATATACAATACACTTTATTTATTGGAGCCAGATTTCTCATAGAAAAGTTTACACAACAAATCGAGGGGTATTTTACAATTAAAATAGTCCGATCGACCGATGACTTGGGTTTCTACGTATACCCAAAATGTATTTGTTTTTTCCCTGTTTATATAACAGGAGAAAAAAATACAAATATTTTTTATCGGAATTTAGGTTTGAATTTGCTATCTCGAGGGTAACAACAGATGTGTACCACCACTAGACTACTACAGACATAATATATAATTGACAAAATTAAGCGATTTGACATAACACATAATATTCACATAATATAAGAACTTCAAAAAGCTATAATTTCGAAACTAAGCTCAGTTCTAATTTCACCATCATTCATATATCGGCAATATACTTATGTTCAAAACAATTAAATTTAATTCATATGATTTTCGTTAAAAATTTGATAATAAAATTCCTTTAGAAAAAAAATAGTCCACTAAATACAAATTTTTTTTTTGCCCACAAAGCACAAATTTTAATGAATTTCTTGTTAAATTTTCAAGCATTTCTGTTTAGTCTAACAATTTTACTACAGAGTACTTGTCAAATAAAAATTATGTATTAAACTCGCAAAATTTTAATGTCTATAAGCACCTCAAAAATGGCCAAAATGTTTTGAAAATTTTACCACGTCCAGAAAATGAAAATATAAGTTTCTGTCCAAATTTTAAGTCTCTAAGAATATGTTTAACTGAATTACAAAAAAAAAAAATCTGATATTAGAGACAGGTCACGAGTTATTATACTATGTCTATTCATATTGGAAAAGCTAAATTTTTTTTTATAAAACTTACCGCATTCAAATCTTCATTTAATTTAATTTGACTTTCATCAAGCTTCTTTTGAAGTTCTATATCATCTACAGCTGGATCTTTTTCTGTAATTTCTTGCTCTAAACGGCCAAAATATTCATTTAATCGTTTAATCTTTAATTGTTTACCCAGCTTAAGAAACGCATCTTGTGCTAAAAAAACATACTTTAGTAATCACTCTTACATATAATAATCAAATAACATTTTAATAGTTTAACTTACATATGTTTTTCAATTGAGCTTCTGTCCAGTTAAGGTTTTTTTTAGTTTTTAACATTTTTAATAAAGTATAGATTTCAAAATAATCTGGAAATATTTTTTTTTCATTGTAATATTTCTCAATAGTTCTATTAACCAATTTATTAGATGTTTGTTTAAAATGCATTCGAGGTTCATCCAAAAAACTTGGTTCATCGGTAAGACTACATATCCTTTTGTATATTTCAACAATTTTTTTCTCAAATCTAAAATGTTAATAAAACACGAAAAATCATGAGATGGATTATAAATTATTTGAATAATTGACTTTCTTAATAAAAGTATTTACATTTAAATATAATGTAAAAACTTACTTATCCTTTAATAAATATGCTGAATCTGAATTAAATTGATCTTCATCATTAATATCCATTTCTTTTTCATTAAGAATTTTTATATGTTTACGAATTTTCTAAAAAAAATTGCAATACAATTTAAAAATAGTATTAATTGTTTAAAAAAAAAAAAATAGTTATATATTTATAGGACCATCCAAGCCAAAAAAAATGTATTTAGCTCAAATTATAGTACATAATATAACAAAAAAAATTATGCCACTTATATTGTTCATGACACTATGTTCACGAGTTACAGACATTTTTAACTGAATTAAATATGAATTATTTAAATTTATGGTTATTAAATAATAAAGTAAAAACAAAATAATTAAATGGTTAATACTCGTAAATAAATATATTAATTAATTTAAGTGTCGCACGAGTATTATGAAATGGTTAGGTAATACTAAGTTAGGCAACATTCATTCATTCATTAATTTATTTATTGATGGATATATTTAAATTTATAGTTGAATATTTTAGTTGGATATCATTCAATGTTGATTCAAAATTATATGGTTGAGGGAATATAGTGTAAGTAAATCATACACTACAATAACAGAACATAGAAACTATATTTACACTGTTACCAATAATTCAAAATATTAAATAGGTGCAAGATAATATTATTATTTTATCTTGTTATTTATAATTTTAATAAGATGGTAAAACTATATTTTTGTTAAGAAAAATTGATATCAATGTTTCTTTAGAAACATTTTAATTTTATAGATAAAATTAAAAATAAATCCAAAGGCCAGTTTGCCAGGGTACAGTAAATTCATAATAATACAAGTACATTTTCATATAATATTTCAATGTCTGTGCCATGTTTTACTAAAATATTAAACCAAAATGTAACATAAATATGAAAAATAGATATATTATGAGGTACTCTTTTATATATTTGATTAAATCATTTGTAAAGATCTTTTACACAGTTATTCTATGTTAAAACACAAATGAAAAAATGATTACACAGTGTTAGTACCTACCATTTTTTTCATTATACTATGCACTATAATGTAAGTCAATAAAAAAATAAAAAACCGTTTAAGTATTCAGGTTCTTTAATGAAAAATTAAACAGTTTAAATAAAAAACTATTTACCTTCAATGCTATTATAAGTTTCTGCAGCTTAATATATTTCTTTTTATCCATTTTATTATTCTCCCCTGACACTTTCTTATCTTGAATCTAAAACAAATAAAACATAGATATGAACCTAAAGAAGCAACATTTTTTTTATTTTTATGTTTAATTGAACTAAAAATATTATTTACCATAATATAAATAGGTAATTAAATAAAAATAGAGATATTATAAAATTATAAAACATGATACATGATAAGTTCCCATTAATTATAAATATAGTAAAATATAGTATTTATAATTAATGCGTTATATTCCAAACATATAACATATATTAATATTTACCTACCAAATCTAATAAATTCTGGTATTATAATTGATTAATTTGTATGTTTTAACAGTAGGTAGATAGTTATTATTTTATTAGGTAATTTAAAGTAAAATATAAAAAATAATCTTTATAGTTTACCTCCATCGATGAATGAAACTGCAATAATTGATTATAAACATGTTCCACGTGTATGTATAAACTGACACTACTATCAGGCCAAATCGCTTGATTTGCTTCCTTCAGCAACAATAAAAAATACTTAGATTCAACAAACTCTGGTGCCAAGGATCTGTACAACTTATCAACTAATTGAATATTTTGATTTGGAAAATTTGCATTTTGATAGCATTTTTCTATAAACTAAACCATACAACAAACAAATAATATTATGGTATAATATGTTAAAATGTATTGGCAATATCAAATTATTAAATATTGATTTGTAATTACATATTTTATAGTTTACATATATTTAAAATACATTAATTAAAATGTATTTTGATCACAGAAAGAGGATTATAAAATAATTATGATATAATATAATATAATATCATAATGTTATAACATGACCTTTTTTAAAATTGATTATGTATTTATACATTAGTATAAATAAATAACTAATAAAAAAAAACCTTCAAGTACATCAATTATGATTTACCTACCTCATTAAATATTTTGTTGCTCATACTTATATTATTTTTTTCACTTTCTAATTCAATGTTAATATTTGAAAAACCTTTTGATGTACCAGCAACATTATTTTCATTCTAAAAACACGTAAAATTAAAATGTTTATTACCTACATTCATACATTAATATCATAAAAACACAACAATTGTGTAACCATATAATAGGTATTAGACAAGCTTAAGGTACTATCAATCAGTTATAATAAGTTAGGTTGATACACAGGTTAAGTGTACTTGAAGCCACAAACCAAATAAAAATTCAAAACATAAAAAGAGAAGCAAACTTGCTAACTAAACTGCTACAGAAAGTACAGACCACTACTTAATAAGCTTCCCCTAATAACATTAAGGTAAGATGTAAACTGATTGAGAGTGATACCCTCAAAAAATTCTATTTTTACATTTTTTTAAATGTCATTATTGACTGATAAATTTCTGATTGAGATTAAATTTCATATTTTATACTTTTGTATAATTTTCCACGGTATGGAAATCACAATACACAAGTTCAACTCACATTTGTCCAGTTATTATACATTAATATTTTTATGTTAGAAAATTATTTTATTATATAAAATAATTAATAATAATTAGTACCTACAAAATTAGATAACCATAATTGTATGATCATTTAATAATTAAAAAATACTAACTTTTAAACTATCCATTTTAGACAATTGAAGTAATTCATTATATACATTAGCAGCATACTGAAAAGAATTTTCACTCTTTGAAGTAATATTTTCTGTTCCTTTAACAATTAAATTACACAATTTTTTTGAACTTCTTTGTTTATCACTGCATTGTTTGTACATTTTATTCATATCATCAATATACTTCTGTGGAATCCATTTGTTTTTCTTACACAATTTTATCATCTACAGAAAAAATATAATAATGTTGTACTTCATTCTAAAATATTAAATTTTTGTTAATACTATAACACACACAAGTATTAATATAGAAGAAAAACACGTATAATATTATGACTGTATTATTTTATTATAGTCGACCAATATTTGCACTTTCTCAGATGGTTTTCTTTTTTGCCGAGGACTAATAAATTTAAAATTTAGATGGATCACAGTCTATACTTTGACATTTAATTTGCTAGCTCATAATATATAAATAAATTGATTTTATAAAAATGAACAAATTATTAAATACAAATTAAATAAATACATAGGAAAATTAAATTCCACAGGGGTCTTCATTACCTTTTCTATTTTTCGGCGTACAAATTAATGATATTAATTTACTTATTTCTAATAGAAGTGGAAAAAAGCATAAGATGTTTTATATAATAAAATAATTCAAATGAAACTAAAAGATAAATTCTGCAAGAATGTAGTGAGACTGGCGATATTGGAAGGTTCAGTGGCAGACAAAAGAAAAACAGAGAATGAATGTAGAAGAGATGGTTATGAGGAAAGAGAAATTAGAAACAGTAAGAATTATAATTAAAATAAACATAGGAAGAAAGAGTGGAGAGGAAAAATTGGTAAAAAGGTGGTTACATGCAACTGAGAATGATACGAGGACAATGGGTATATGAGAGTATGATGTAAGGAATCAGACCAAGTGAAAATTTAGGACAAAGATACAAATAGTTGGGATAAAGGCGAAGGAGAAAAAAAAAATTTACCTGTTGAAAATGTTCCATGTTGCCTGTTTTACCATTGATACTTCCCTGAAATTAGATAAAATAAAATGTTAAAGATTTAAATAAAGTGACATCAAAAAGAATTTATGTACCTTCCTATTATATTAAGAATATCCTAAATAAGACATATTAATATAATTTTTACTATCTACTAATGTGAACTTTTATTGAAATACATTAATAACAAATTATAACAAATAATATATGTTTTTAAAGTTATACAGTCAAATTATTGAAAGATTGAACAATGACTTTCCAGTCATTATACGTTTAATAATAATTTGACTATTTTGATACCTAAGCTTAAAAAAACTATCAGGAAAATTAGATAATAATCTCTCTAAGCACAATATTTTCTAGCAAAAAACTGTATAGACTGTAAAATATCAAAACTTTTACTTGAATCTATAAAATCTAGATTAATCAATTAAAATAAATAAATAAACAGATTATTTTTCATCATTCAAACATTATTTTCCTCACTATCATTAAAATTTTAAAATACTATTAAATAAATAGGTACCAGTATAATTTACTATGCCAAAATAAGTAGGAATGAATTATGGTTTCTGATATGCACACCCTACTCAAATATTTCTTCATTTCACCTATTATTGTAGATCCCTATTAAGAACTAGTTCTTAATGGATAACATTAGCATTGCCTATAGTAGTGTAGAACCATGATATAGCCTAATGGAGAGAAAATATTCATACTGAACGAATATGTGACAAACTGTGGTCATACCTACCTAGCTGCTTTGCTATGTCAAAATTGATCAAAAAGTTATTTTTGATAACTTTTAACTTAAATAGAGTTAAAAAATAACTTGGATAGTTCTTATAATAATTAAATAAATTTAACTTCACTTAGTAGTTTTGTTAAAATTTAAGTTATTTCTAAAAGATAATGGTTTTTTTTTGCATATATATTTGAACAAAAATGATGTATTTTTATGTGAAAATCATTATCCCGCAACAAGATGGGAACACAGCCTTTGGTATACCGACACGAATCTTGTATAGTAAATATATATTTAAATTTAAGTATAACAGTAAAAATATGTTTATGAGTGTAGTTAAGAATAATTTTAAAAAAGAAACTTTTTAGTTGTTTAGTAGTTTTATTTTATTTTATTATTATGGGATGAGTAACTGAACTAAAAGTTAATTAAAAATAATGGTTAACTTGCTCAGCTTTGCAACTTAAATATAACAGCTCAGTTCAAAATTAAAATATATTGTATTCTGCTGTTACAATTTGTTGTTCACAACAAATTAAAAGTAAGTAATAAAATATAACATACATCAGATTCAATTGTATCGTTCTCGTGTTCATCCGATGAAATATCAATATGCAACATGGTAACAAAATCAAACGTACCCGACGTTAGATAAAAACTACACAAATAAATAAAACTTATGCTTCACTTAAAATTTATGTCAGCTTAGCCCAAGAATGAACTTGATATTAACTAATTAACTTAGGAAATACAAAAATAAATAATATGCAACTATTTTATAGATACAAAAGTTACGCGGCTTATCATAATTCACAACATCAACGATTCGCACGAAACAAAATAAAAATTGATAAAAACTGATTTCCAAAATGTGTACACTTATGGAGTATCGACATACATATTATGTAGGAATCGCATATTTTATATGAAACGGGCGAGTCCGTGCACGTTATTCTGAAGTTCACTTATACATACATATATGAATCTATAAATTATACTTAGTTCATGAATCATGATTAAGAACCATTACATGACTCGAGTCACAAAGAGTGGAGGATCACACTCCGGACGTTACTAAGCCTACAGACAGTGGTTCTCATTAACTGCAGCACTGCAGCTTATTATCTATGGTCGCATCACAGGAACTAAGGTTTAAATACAAGAATGCACCGCTTATAGTACGCATGCGCATTGTATAAAACGTAATCTTGCATGTAACGTAGATAACATATTGAATATTGACAAACTAAAATTTCGAATAAATATTATTTAGTATTCAAAACTTAATAACTCTGGCCCAAAACAAGTTCTAAGCTATCTTTATGATACTATTTAATTCAAGGGGATTGATAAAACACACTTTGTCTATACAGGCATCATATTTGAGGCATGATATCAGAATTTAGACATGTTCTATTTTAACAAATTAATTGAAGCAAAATTATGAAAATAAAATTTTACAGATAGTACGATTTTCTGGATATTCACTGATGATATTATATAAAAATCTGATCAGTATTAATTGGCATATAATTCTATTAAATTTACGATCTATTTCTTTTTTCAAATTAATTTTCCTTGTGATATTTGTAATAAAACCTTTTCGAAAAAAATGTACATAAGGTAGAAAACATTATTCTTGAAAAATATGATTTTTTTAAATTAAAATAATTGCGTTGATCTTTTTTTTAAAAAAAAACTATCGATTAATCATTAAAATTCTTAGCGTGGCATGTCGATAAATAGGGAATTTTACAATTTAATAATATTACAGGAATATTCTGAGTTTTTTTACTAAAATATTTGCTAAAATCGCTTTTATTTTGGTCTAGGACACTTCGCCGACGGACCGTTTCGTTAATGGACCTATTCACCGCTAAACTTTATTATAAGTTTTGGTTAGTGGTTTGAAAAATACATTTGAGTTGAATACTATATTTTGATAAGCGGTTTAAGATCAAATTACGGCATTTCAAAATTTGTTTGACCGAATCGCGCTCTGAATCATTTTTCGTTAGCATTTGATAGTTTAACACGGTCTTAGAAATTTTAATAAATACATAAATAATAAATAAATATGAAGGCCTTGGTTTTAACGATTCATTGACCATTATCGGCAATATTTGGCTTAATGCAATAATCTGCAATTGTAAAATATCGTTAGAATATAAGACCTATGTGATCATGTTGACATATTGACTTTTTAAAGATCTAAAAGTACCCAATTACTTATTTAATTTTGTTAGAGTACTTTGTAGTATAATATATTATTTGAATCATTAACTTTCCCGTGTGCAGAACATAAAGATTATATTATTTCTTATTCAATAACATATTACATTTGTATGCAAATGTGACAGTACACGATACAAACAAATCAAGATTAATCTAAAGAAAACATAAAAAAAAATTATTCAAATTTGGTATAACATAATAATTGTATACTACTAATTTATCAATAAGATCAGAATTCCGGACATTTTCAATTTTTTTGCTTTGCTTTTTTTTTCTTGCAATTATTTTTAATTATTATTTTTTGGTTTTAATGTTTTCTACTTCTATATCAATAAATATAACAATCAAGTACAAATGATGGAAAAACGTTTATTTTGTTTATCTATGTTTTATCTTTAAATGAGTTATAAATTATTAAATACAAATTACTACTAGAGCGCGACACCAGAGCGGGACCAAACAATAAGAACACTACTGATTTGTATAAATTGGTTGGTGAATTGCATAGGCCTGCCACGCGATCAAAAGTTGAATATATTCAACTATGTGGCATCATGTGATAAAATAACAATATACCATATGGTATACCTAAATGTAATCATGTGGTTCAGTTAATCAGAAAATAATATTTTATATGGCACAACACGGCACAGTGTAGTGTGAATCCGTCTATTTCATTATTTGTGTTAGTTACGTATGGTTATAACAGCTTGCTCAGTTATCAATATAAATATTTCATCCATATCAAATTATAACGTGATAATACAATATCAAGTTTTTTATTATGCATTCTTAAATTGTATTCTTACATTTATTATTCTTCTTTACTTATATATTATTCTTATTTATTTATTTATTTTTTTTTTCTATTTAAAAATGGCAAATGAAATAAAAAGGGGTAGAAACTTCACTGAAACGGAAAAATGCCTATTAATTGATTTAGTTTTAGAGGACGATGTTGACATTTTTACAACAATAAAACAGTAAGAACAGTAACTAGTAACTATTTATAACTGTAAATAGTCGCACAGAATTAGGAAATTAGTCACAAGAAAATTGAATTACGTTCTTTTCGTTATAACAAAATTATAATTACCTAAATGAAAGTTAAACAGTTCTGCAAATTTTACTGAACTGAAATCGGTTCTACAACTACTATCAATTCAATAACTGTTTTTGATAAGAATTATCAAATTTATGGAACCGGTAGCCAGCTATAAGTATAGTTTTTTGCAACCCGGCATTAGTATAAGTAAGTAATGAACATATTTTGAAAGTACAAACATATTAAATATATTCAAATTAGTTAAATAATTTAAATACTTGATATATTATATATTGTTTTGTATATTATAAACGTATTCCTCGAAAATCCGATACATTGATAGGTACTATAGAAGTTAAAAATTTCAATATACAAATAATTTTGCCTATTTCTTATTTAAATACCATTATTCGCGTTCATCTTATTTATAGAAAAGTTTGCTTATACAACATGAGTTGTTGCTTTTCGAATGTAATATGTCTCCATATCAGAATGATAAAGTGACTGTTAATCAATAAATCTATTTTAAAATAGGTTGTTATAAAGGGGTTTATATTTTTTCACCGCCGTTCATTTTTCCACAGTTTATTTCGTCACGAGATATTTTTTTTCTTTTGAAAACTAGCTCTGTTTTTCTATACACGTTGGTGGGATTTTCACTATATTATGCATAGATCTATTACACCAGAGGCATTTTATAATAAATATCCCTCCTGATTTTAGCATAAAGTATACCTCAGTGGGATTTAGTGATAATAAAGTGATTTTAATGCCAACAAATTTGGCTTGGAACCCTATACAAGTCCCCTTCGTAGTTTGACACCATAAAATGCCTTTAAAAAAACATTTATGGCACAATCCCCTTTACATGACTTACAATAGTTAACTACACATTTCATATACAATTTTGTATGTACAAATTTATTAAAATTATTTTAATATTATTTTTAATAAACACATGTCTATGGTAAACCTGTATTTTGTTCTGTTCATGAACTATGAAATACATGGATTTGTAGAATTGTAAAGATTTTGCGACGAAAAGATCACGGCGAGGCGCTCTAGTAGAGCCGTGTCGTTTTGATTTTGCACCCGGACATAAGGTTAAAAATGTCGACCCCCCCCCCTTCATTTAATTATTTACATGATAATTTAGATTTTAGACAGTAATAGTGTAATTATTATTATTAAAAAAAAAAAATATTTAATAAATTGAGTATTTATTTATTAAGTTATTATTAAGTATTTATATGTTTTAAAATTAATGTTTTCTGGATTTGATAGAAGCAAAATCTTCTATGAAGTCTCCAAAGTCGATTTTTTCGGGTTATTTTATTCTCAATTGATAATAATGTCGAATGTGTCAATATTTCTTGGGACATGGTTGATCGTAAGTACGTCTAATTAATTTTTATTTACTAAAGAATCGTTTTGCGAATTTTGCAGCAACTGACATAATATTTTGACTGAGCCGATCTTTATGTAAAACGTCCGAAGTAGAATCAAAAATTGTGGAAAAATATTTTAGTTTTTTATTTTATACATTATTTCTTTTCTTACTTTTGAACCTAATAAATTTATAACTTCATTTTGAATTTTATTTGATAAATATATAGTTTAACCATGATATTTTAAATAACTCGATAAACAGAATTATAATTGATAATAAGACTAATTAAATTCAAGAATATTCTATATCCAGGCTCATTCTTTATATTTTCCATAAATTTGAGAGGGAGTTTAACCTCGACCTCTTTGGTTTGTTTATTAAATTAAGTAGTTATCATTTTTTACTTTTAAAATAGTTTCAAGGGGAAGGGTGGTGCTTCGATAAATAATGAGCCAACGACCATTTTTAAACTTTTTCGATTATCATTTTGTGAGGATGACCTAAGAACCATTTTCAAAGTTTGGTGACGATCAGACGAATTTCAGGCTAGTTCCCATGGAAGGAATTTTATTGTATCAAACTATGGAGAGAACTTGTGTAGAGTACCAACCCAAAGTATTAGGCATTATCCTATCACCAAATCCCACAGAGATATTCTAATCCAAAAATTAAAAGGGGGTGGGGTACATTTAATATAAAATGCCCCTAATAGATCGATGTATCATAGTAATGATCACATCAACGTACGTTAAAAAACAACGACGCTAGTTTTAAATTATTAATATGAAAACATTCATAAAAAAAATGGAAATTGTCTAATTTTTAGAATATTAAAAAAAAAAATAACAATACGTATATTTCAATTATTATACTGAAGTTCATCGATTGCTTCAATTTTTCATTTAACAATAATATGTAAAACCAAAGACTAACATAGTGTGTAGCAGCTATATTATGATATTTATTTGTATTCGTTTTTAATTTTACAGCTTTTTGCACCTTTAATATGTATCATTTTGATTGGAGAACCAAAATTCAAAAATATATCTTTATTAATATTTTAAACATTAACACGTTGACTCTGTAAAACATTGACGGATGGTTATCACATTTTTATGAAAATAATGATGAAGGCACAGAATAGATTAAAAATATTTTTATAATCGATGTTTAAATTCACAGGTTATATCAAATAAAGAATCAACACTGATCATATGTGAATTTAATATTTATTATATTCATGATGAGCAGATTGTATTTTTTTGTTTAACCCTTTCAAACCCAAGGTATACGGTTAGGTATACCCTACGGCGTACCTTTTGTTTTTAACATTATTATCAATTAACGATTAAAAGTAGATATATTATATAATAGTGCATTTAACATAGATAGATCGAGGAATTTAAAAATGTTGGTGAAATAGCTGTACGGTAAGATTTCTTGATAGATTCTATTACTTTTTAAAACAAATTTGATAACCACATTTTGAACTTTTTAAGTGATATTATCTTCAAGAAATATTTTAGAAAATGTATTATTCCCCACCCCCCGTTACTAGGTTAAGTTACATTGTATTATAGCCAACCCGTTCTTTTGAATTATTCACTTGTAAGTGGGTGGTTAAAATATAGGTACACTAAAATGTATCCTGGGTCACCGTGGCCGCTATTATTCGTGCACGTGCCACATTCACAGAAAACTGGCATGCGCTATTATTATTATAATATTATAGGTATTTTAAAAATGATTTGAAACCATACTTTATAATATTTAGTAATAACCTATAGCATAGTGTACAGTTCTGTTTTAAACCATGAACGATAAGGTTTAAACAACAAAACACAGTGATTACGAAATCTAATTGTTTTTTTTTTTTTTTTTTTTTGACAGTTATTTTATAAAAACAACAATATGCTCAGTGAGGATATTTTAGAATTATTGGACGATGGAAGTGTTACAGAAATTGTTAGTGTGCAAAGTGAAGAAGACGTTGAATTGTTTCTGTTCAAAAAATTTAAATCTTTGTTGGATAAATATGTAAAGAGCGATTTCTTTTTCGTCAAATCCCGTGGTAAACATGGTTTAAAATACTCGGGAATGAGTGCTAATAAAGAATTAATAAAAATACCACAAAAGTCATGTCTGAAAGAGTTAATTTATATATACACAAAAAAAAAAAAAAAAAAACAAATATACTAATTTAGACCCTTTGAGAAAATCTAAAATAACGTCTTTAAGATTAGTACTACCTATATTAGTTTAGAATCCAGTCTTTAAAAAAAAAAAAAAAATTGGCTATTTATTCTTGTATGATAATTGAACATAGAGGAAAATGTAAATTGATATTTGTGAGTGGTTATTTGTTCGTAGATGTGCTGAATAAAAATGTCTCCTTCCTTCCCCCCATCAAAAACTGAACAGATTCCATTATGGATGGTGGGGGTAATAATACCTACAATATAATATAGTAATTTCAGGAGTAAATTAAGGAGAAATTTTGGCCTAGGAAAATATAAAAGTACTAGCCCAGTTATTAATTTACCAAATACTAAATTTCAGTTGATATGCATTATCATTATTTTAACATAATTACACATTTGGAAAGATATGCACTATAAAGTTCCATCATTTGTAAATCATATCTGTATGTAATATTTTATATTTGATTAAAAAAAATTAAAACCTATATTCTTTTTGTATTATTGAACACTACTTCAAATAAGCTCAGACTTAAAAGAGTAAATATATTCCTTATATATATATATGTACCTATATTCCATTATATGTATATTTTAAATATAATAAATAGGCAATTTATTACCCTTCTCTACTCCTCCGGTCTAAATTTTTAACTCATAAATGGAAAATCTAATATTAGTGTTATGCGTAAAATCATTTAAAGAAAAATATTCTTTATTCAAATCTGTATTTAAAAGGAGTGGGTTCTATATGAAAAACAAAAGTATGTACTTATTTAAGGTACATGGACTAGGGGTAAAAAATTAAAAATGATTTTACAATAAAACTTAAAATAAAACGTGATTAGGTGATAAAACCTTCAGTGATTAGGAAAACAGAAATTTAATTCATTTAAAATCCTCAGAGATAATTGCTAGCTCACAATAAAAAAAAAATCACTTAGTATATACATATCAGGTTAGGTTAACCTTATCATATAGAGTTCAATGTGTCATACTAGATAAATAGAACAAACCAAGCTATTTCGACTCAAGTGACCACTAGTAAAAAAAATGATTAGTATTTCAACATAATTGTTTGACATAAAATAGTTATTTGAAAAAAAAAGGCATACTGGGAAATCTCCTGAATTCCCGGTTTCCTAATCCGGACCTGAATAATATCATAAGTTAAAAATAGATACTAATAGATTAAAAATTAAAATAGGGTATAATAATAGTGTTACAAGTGCATCTTTTTATTTACTTTTGATTCAAAGAATATATTCAAATATTACATTTGATTAAGTTACTACATTCTATATCACCATCGGTCTTTAACTGTATAAAATTATAAAATAAATTAATACATTATAGCTATTGTAGTTGAAGAGTACAGAATGGTGATGCTATTGACATCTACACATTATTTTTATACTAAAAAGTATTTTTTAACAGCAGTTTTTAATCCATCCATAGTCAATTTCACCAGAAAAAACATAAGAGATTTTTGTAATTGATTTCATATTAAAATGTAACAAATTTTAGCACAATGATATAATTTGTATGGGTACTCATTCTTGAATATTGGACTATCTGTCTATATCATATACATACAGAGCCAGAATTAGGCTTTAGGAATTATGTTCCTAGTCACTATTTATAGTATTCCTTTTTGTAAGAAAAACTTATATGTAATAGGATATTAAAAAAAATATTGTGCCTTCATATATAATTCTCCAAATAATATTACACAAAAATACAACCAAATCTACAATATTCTTGTGCCCAAGGCTTATATGGCCTATTCGTCTTTGGTTTATTGGTTCAGTATCAGTGGCAGATTTTGGTTTTTGATGACTAGGAAAAAAAAATTGTTCTCATTGGTAATTATTGAAAAATATACTTGAATACTCATTTTAATGAGACTGTAAAAGCAGGTGGTGAATTGTTCTTTTAACATCTTCTTCGTTATCCATACTCAATGATGAAATCCAAATCCTAAACAAAATTTAGTAAAAATATTTTAGAAATGAAACTGTACTGAAATTACAGTCTAATTAGTATTAAAAAGTTATTTTAAGCTCTAAAAATCAATGATATATTATAGACTAAAATATTTTAATCAAGTTATATATTTTGCTTTTATAAATTATTATATTATATTTAATAACAGATACACAAAATATTGCACTTCACTCACAAAGAAGTACTAACATTTATTATGTATACATGATAACTCATACACTTGTATAATGACATATTATAATAATAAAATTGTATAATTATAATAATAAATCTTAGCACAGATCTATTTGGATCAATGAAATAGAAAATTAATTTTTAATTCACAATACATCTAAATCAGTATATATATAATATATTTTTTATTATACATAATATGTATAATAGCATTGTTAGATATATTTTTTTATCATAGATCACAAAAATACTTAGATATCTGGTTTTAGATTTACGATCATACAGAAATAGTTATGTACACTGATATATTCGTATGATTTGGTGCAACACACAATATGTTTATATACACTGATTTGATAAGTATATGGAAATGACTAGGTACTGAAAATTCACATTATTGTCAAAGTTGTATAATACACTCAATATAAGCTTAGTTTTAATTAATTTGAAAAAAATATGTTAAGAGTTTATGTTACTTAAACATATTATATATAATTAAATAAACATAATAAATTTAAAGACAAATTATCATTGGTAATATTTATTAAATACAAAATAATAAATATACTATAATGTATTTTAGTATTTATTTTATTTTGTATTATCTGATTAATTTATTTAAAATTAACTCTAACAATACTATTTATGATTAAATTTAATGAAATTAGGATAACATTGTAAATATACAAGTATATTTTTTAAGTATAATTAATTTTCATTCTTATTAAGTTGTTTTTAAAATCTATGCTAAGATAATAGTGTATCTCCTTTTTAAGAAGTTCACATATTTATATAATTGTAATATTGAATATTACATAATTTCATTTAAAACCAAATACCCATCACAGTCAAACAAATGTTTCATACGAAATTTAAATATTAATATTATTTGCCATAATAATTAAAATATTATTTAAAAAATAATTATAAATACCAATATGTAATTTCTTTTAACGTATACAAATGAATTATATAAAATTAAAATAATTATAGTTAAAGTATAAAATAGTACAATTTACACACAAATTATAAAATTGAAATAAAATATATTAAATAAATATAAATATGTATAATTAAGGGGTCTCAAACAATATCAATAATTTGATACTATATCGATATCGTAAACAATTTTAAGATTAGTTCCAATATCAATATTGAATATATGATTGTGATATTTTTGATATCAATAAAACAATGAATATCACAATAATTAAAAATTATTTAAAATTAAAGTTACTACACAAACATATGTAATAACATAGTATCGTTAATTATAATTTATAAATATTTATGGCATTTAATAGTTTTAATATCTAGTATAAATGTCATTCATTATTTAGTATTTCCTGGGGTTAGAACATATTTCAAAAATGGTTTTATTTTATTTGTCTAGATAATAATAATTCTGAACTTCAATACTCAGTGCAGCAGGAGCAAAATTCAAAAGGTTGAAGGTTTACCCCCTTAAAACTTACCTGTCAGCTAATCAGACTATATTTAACATTATAGTCAACCAAATCAACTAAGTTTAAATGATAAACAAAAAAATTTACTTCGGTAATGATTGAATAGCACAATAAGCCATTATTTAAATACTATACATCTTTATTGGCTAGCCCTTAAAAAATAAACTTCCTTGGAGTGCAATATAACTGTGATATATGTTTTAAAAACAATATTTCCTTTATTCAATACATAGTAAGTTATATATTGATACTTAAAAATATATTGTTTGAAGCCCTTAAATTATTTATCAACATTCAATTATTTTGTTCATATACATGCGCCAAAGTGTCACAATACAGACTATGATAAAGAAACTTTGTTTTCTTTAAGCTTAAAAATAATTAGACATAATAGAATACATTAAAAGAAAAATTAAATATATACAAAAATATATGATATATTTATATATTTCTTTAATTTTTTAGTATAGTAAACAATTTGTTAGGTTTTGTTATTTTACATTCTTAAGTCGAAAAATCTGTTAGGTATCTTTGTAATTTTACTTATTTAATTATCTCACTTTTTTTTTACTATACAATTAAATAATTATAACAGACTAACCTACACAATCACTATGATAATTAAATACAACATGATTAAAATAAATACTCAATGGTCTATCTGATCTTTGTAAAGTTTTTAGCAGCACAAAAACAATATTAATACAATTTAAGACTAAACAGAGAATCCACCTATAATTGAACTGACAATAACTTTTTAATCAATTAATTTAAACTTCAAATTAATACTGAAATATAGTTACACATTTTTTTCATAATTAAAATATTATATTCCTGTACCTTCATTTGTAAACCAAATTTCCAAATTTCAACAAATAGTTTATAGAATCATTAATCACGGTTATTACAATAAACTCAATGAGCCAAACTATTGATAAATGGTAAATTCTCAAGAAGAAACCAACAAACCAATAAAAAATTAGATTAGATTAGTGCGAGAATGGAGAGGGATAGTCCAAAATCAAGAGAAGTGGAGGGAGATTGTGATGGTGACCTGAACTCTTTAAGAATTTTCAGGAACAAACTTACAGTTTTAATTTTAGAATATAAAAAGGATATCACACTATTGGAATCTATCGTGTTAAACAAAATACCAAAATTTTAAATGGGAAAATATTGTTTTTTTTCTAAAATATAGTAAAATATTGTTTGATAAAATTTTAAATAAATAATAATAAAAAAAAAAACACTAATGAATAACACTTAATCTAATTTTCAAAAAAGATGGGGGTCTATTTTACATAGGCACGATATTTTTTGGAAAACAATAACCGGATACTGTAATAATACAATATTATACTAGTTTTAAAAAAGTGGAAAGGTGGGGGTGGAGTTGAAACCCCCAAAAGGCATATTATAAATACTAACATCATTACCAAATTTCATCTCTATGGCATTATTTAGTTAGTTTTTAGAAATTTAAGCTAAAAGACACCCACCACCCGCGAAAACATAAATGAATTCAATCAAACTTTTAACCATTTTAATCTAAAAACCTCAATTAATATTTTACATAATATAATTTTGCAACATTACTAGTTAATTAGTTTGAGACAGTAAATTTTTTGTTTTCTTAAATAAATATAGTTCAGAAAATTTAAATATCTGAGATTTTTAACCTGATAAAACAGTATACGAGTCAATTTTTAATTTCAATTACTCAGTAAAGAATAGAAAATAATTCATATCATACAACTGCATAAAAATGTAAATCTGTCTCCTGTCTTACTCATTGTAACAAGATATTACAATAGATTTATATTCTACTAATTTAAATTTTAAATTACTAAACTCAAGGGTTGGACCAGTTTTTATTAAAGTTATTTATTAAGTTATTTAGTTTTTATTATTATTATTTAGAAAATAGATACACTATTAAATTGCAAAAATCAGAAGATTAAATAATAAAAAACTTATTGACTTGAACATAGATAAGAACTCCGCTTACCTTTTAGGAAATAAAAATAGAAAGCATATTTTTTGGAATATAATACCTAAAACGAGGTCCACTAATGACAACTAGTTCCCAGGATAGCAGTCTGTGAATAGAAATTTATTAATTAGATAATTTGATAAAAAACTTTATACATTATAAAAAATTACTTTATGTTCATTGCAAGTCGCTGTATAACTTTTGGTATCTAGAAACCAACCAATATGTACAGCACAACTATAATGTATACTTAGTTTACAGTGACGAGCCATGCATCCAACACTAGCTCCTTTAGCACCACAATAAACACAAGCCTATGTATATATGTATATACAAAAAAAAAAAAAAAAACCAACATTAATATTTGTAATTTAAACATGAATAAATACATTAACTTACAGTGTTTTTAGCAATTCTAACAGTTTCTTCTAGTCCAAACATTTTAGTCCCTACCATATAAATATCAGTTGCCCAAAGAAGACAATTTTCATGTGTCCAAACTTCAATATATATTTCTGAAGTATCAATTTCATTTAAATTTGGTTTAGATTTCTAGAAAAAAAAAAAAAAATGTAATATCATAATAAAATATAAAATAATTTATTTTTATACAAATAAAAATACCTTTCTCTTAGTGTTATCATTTGTTTTCACAACTTTTGGTACACTGACATAATAAGGGCCAAAAAGATCACCAGTAGGACTATGACCCAAATCCATAACATGAGGTCCTCGTGAACAAAATACACATTGCCAATCACTACTTTCTAAATTGTTCATATCAGGTTTCTCTTCATCATTACACTCACCAGATTTATATACTATCAATAACAATTAATTATTCATATAATCAATTATATTTTAAAATAAAACTTACAGTAAGTCTTTCGATTAAAATTACGGCCATCTAATGAGTCATCATCGTCTGGAATATTTCGGTTAACAATAAAATAACTTGTTGGGTTTTTCATACTACCAACTACTCTTATCAATGGACCCCTTTTATATTTTTTATTAACTGGTTCAACAGGCTTTAGTTTTTCGGATAAGGGTGGATTTTTTTTAATTTTTTTTATTTGTTTCTTATTTTTATTATAAGGTCTTTTTGTGGGAATTATTGGTTTTGATTTGTTTTCTGTTACTACATGTTGATCATTATTAGATGTATTAGTTGATGTAATGACTTCACCAAATAATTCTTCTAACTTGTTTTCCACTTCAAGGAACTGAGAATGTGTGTCATGAACTTTTTTTGAAGAACACTCAGCTGTTATCGAATCTTCAGATTTTTCATATTCTATTCTAGGTATAGGGGATGGTGATTTGAGTATTTTTTCAACAGACTCTGCCCTCATTGTCGAAGGTGATGGAGATTTAACTGGTTTAATAGTCTTAATAACAGATAGTTTTTCAGACTCATTAGTTTGAAACATGTTTTCTAACATTTGTTCAACATTATTTGTATCTGCAACTTCAATTTTTATAGGAATATCTAATACATCCCTAGTAGGTTTATTATCTGGCTTATTTTTTTTTTTTTCAAAATTAGTATTCTTTACTTTTTTAGCATTAATAATGTCTAGAACATCAGGTGAATTACCACCCTTAACTACTTTATGAGGGTTTGGAGCTATAACACTTATAGCCTTTTCTTCAATTTTTATTAATTTTGATGTAGTTATTTGACCATTGACTGGATCTTTTGTTCGTTTAAATGAAGAATTATCAGTTTTTTGAGTACTTGCAGATAAGTCGATTGACATATGTTCAGATTCTTTTTTATGTTTAGTAAGATCAAGCTCAACACTTCGGGATAGTGAAAAATTAGGTGAGACATTTGCTGAATGAGCTGGACTAGGGGAAGGTGGACCTGGTCTTGATGGTGGTGGCATATTATTTCTTGTATCTATCCACCTATCAATTATAGGAGTATGTTGTGGCTTATGCATTTGTAATGCTGCAACATTGTGCAATGCGGCATATGGTGTGTTCCTATAAGCAGCCATATCTAAAACAAAATAAAAATAGGTAGGTTAAGGTATCACTTAATATTTGTCTAAAAAAATCATTCTGCAAATTATTTTACCTTGTTTAGTAAACCATGAAGATAACTGATGAGAAATTGGTGGAGGGTGGAATGTAAGAGGATGAGGAACAGAAGGTGTTGCAGCAGTTGCTAGATGATGTCTTTGTGGTGCTGGGGCTGTTGGAGGTAAATGGTGGTAAGACGGAAATCTTCCCTCAGACATATTTGTTCTAAAATGTTTACACGTAATAATACATTTAAAAAAATAAAAATATTGTCACATGGTCAATTTGGTTGAAATTACTCCAATTAAATATTTAAACTCATTTATTTTTCGTGTTATCAATATAAATGTTTTCCTACTGAGGGATGTAAACACATTTGTAAGGTTATTTCATTTGGTATTCAATATGTTAATAAATTAATTTCATAAAAAAACTCGATTAAAATGATAACTATTTCATTATACAACACTAATCAAATTGTTAAGTACTAAGATAATAATAATTAAATGAATCAATACTAACTTTTACCGAAGTTAAAAAGTTTCAAATGATTTTAATTGGCCGTTTTAATTGTTATAAAACACATCTTTAAATGATTTGAACTAAAAACTGTACATTATCTCAGTTAGTCTAAATACAGTTGGAAAATAAATTTAATTGTTAAAATTATTATAATAAAAATAAAATTTCTAAGAATTATCAATTTAATATTCTCACCAAAAACTTGTCACTAGCCATTTTTGTTGTTGTGGTTTTTAGTTATTCTCTATCGCACAGTTGCACGTACATACTCTCTCCTTGTTAGTATTATAACTTCTTTGGAACCAATTATATTATCACGGAGATCGGATAAGTATAATAAATTTTTCTAACGTCCTCTAGTTAGGCGCTAACCTTTTAATTACATATTTACATTTAGTTTAGATATTATGGCCCCTTACCCTCTATTAAGACCTAGTTTACATTTAATAGCATAATTGTAACTTAAGTTTGTAGTTACTATATTATGCTTATCTATGTTCACTAAGAGCCTGTGATTCGTTAATAAATAAATAATAATAATATAATATTGCTTTTTTTGGTTCGTTCATTAGGTACTAAATTAACTTTCATAGACCATAATTATGTTTATAACTAATATATTATTTACCCATTGGTAAAGAATTTCATTCATTGAATTGTTTATTCACCTAGGTAGGTACCTATTAGACCTATGAAAAACCAAATGACGAATGTTATTTATATACCTACAGGTATGGTATGTCCATTCATTTGTAATTTGTACGAATAAGATAATAAGGATAATGGTATGAATTGTAAATATTTTGTAAACGAAAGTTTTGAAGTTTTCTAATGTATTATAATTTTTAAGGAGAATTACAAATAGGTACCTAATTGAAAAAAGACTTATAATAAATAAAAAAAAAAGATAAATTGTATAATATTATAATATATTATACTGCCTATCGTAATCGTAGTGTTATCAAGTCATTAAGCGTATTAATTAATATGTTAAGAATTCGTATTAAAAAGACTCACGGACCAAAATATATTCTATTCTGTGGAAACAACATGCAATGTTAATAAAATTACAATATAACCATCCATATAATATTTTAGAACTCGAAACAACGCATAGCCTTTTTCGTTCATATTATGTTCAAGTATAAATTGTTTAAAATATATTTACAGCAGTACACACAATAAAACATAATGTTAATATAATTGTTGTAAGTAATTTTATTCAATGTATTATATATAACATAATAACGTAATTTGACATTAATATAATTTCAAATGTTTTCTTTGTTTTATTGCAATGGTGTCTTTCACCAAATCCGATTGATTGAAAAATAGACAAATTTACGGGGTATCAATTTTATTATTTTTAATTTTTACGATTTAAGTTTTCCACAAGAAATCTTTTTTCAATCAGAATACAAGAGACCACTTTTGTTCTATATTGTACCTATATAGTTGGTGGGTAAGAAAATCGTTTTATGATTTTTCATCCAGTTTTCATAATAATTGGGAAAAATTTAAAAAAGACTTAAAAATTAAAACGGAAAATGTACAGAGTTAAATTTTTAATATTACCCAACTGTTTTTTCTATTAAAATATTGCTCCAAATTTCAAAAGTATCACTTTTTCTAGTTTATGTGTAAGAAAGCCGTTTTTTGATGTTCCGTGTTGAATCGAGAATTGAGTAAATTTACAGAAATATGTTACGATTTCATTATTTTCAATTTTATTTTTTATTATATTTGGTTAAATTATTCATAGAGATCTAAAATTTTCATAATATTATATATATATATATATATTAATCTCTCTAGACGTAGTACCATTTTTAAAACGACTTTTGAGCTATTTGTACCCATTTGACATTTCCCAGTTTATACGGATATTTATTTATTTATTTAAATTCAACTTTTAACACTACATACTACTATCGGTACATTAATATTTACATTACAAATTAATATCTACTCTCTATGAACAAAGTTACGTCGAGAATAGAAAGTCTGTTACAATAAATTACTAATAAGTTATTAGTTTATTACAATACATATTATATTTCTTAATAGTACTAAGAATACTGATACTTATAAGATAAGATACATAAGATACAATAATCATAAATGATAAAGAAATGGATTGGCTATCCTTATACCTACCTTAATATACCATAGAAATAATAGAATTATATTTATTGTATATTATCAAGTATTTATTTTTAAGTTATTTATTGAGCGTTTTGTGACACGTAGGCGTAAGTACGTTTACTGATGAATCGATGAGCTCCGTGCAACAATCATATAAGTCAACTTTTTTTTAAATCGTTCTGCAAAAGAAAAATTAGGACTTGTCTATTTTTTGTATGTATAAAATATTAATTTCAGAAATTGTACCTATATTTCTGTGTATATCAATTGGATGTGTATTGTTCATGGTGAAAAATTGAAACAGTTAACTGTCTGGATTTGTCTAGTCCATGATAAAATAAATGTATTATTCGACATTACAAGGAACTATCCATTAATTATATATTTATAACATTATTATATATATTAATATACTCTATTTTTTAACGATAAGTAACTACCTCCCTCCATGATACTAATGACTACACTCGCAACGTGTGAGTCCGCCAGGTGTTGCTAATTAATCAGCATAACTTCATCTATAAATTAAGTTATTATCAATTATCAATTAATGTTAAGGGTTAACTTACCACTTACTACTTACTTACTAAACAGAAATTCTTGCAAATTTAACACGAGGTTAGAGGTTCATTATAAGTTGAACTAAGTGGTTAAAAAAAAAAAAGTTATATGTAATGTACCTAGTGGTTTTTTTTATAATCGTTCCAAGATTAAATTTTACAATTAAAATTATGGTATTTATAAATATGTGTACAACCGAACTTCACTTAGAATTGTATTTTGTTAGCAATAGTTTATTATAAATTAATAAATAATAATTAGTTTTTTATTATTTTAAAATAATATAATATCAATTATATTATGAATAGAAAGTGCATAAAAAAAAAGAGCTGAGGAAAAAATTAAGGTTTATCAAATAATTTCCCATTTAGGTATCTAAAAAGTGTTTCCTTCAAAAAGGTAAAAATAATGTAAAATAATAATAAATATATATTTTACAAGATGAATAAAAACATCTTTTAATATTTTTGATTTCATATTTAATGTTTGAACTTAAACTAGGTATTTTTTTATTTTTAATTTTCGATCACAGTTAACGTTATTGTATTCTACCATATAAAAATCAAATTTTTTGTTACAGTTTTCATAAGTAACTAATCTAGGTAATTGATAATACAAATTATAAATTACAGTATATCTATCATAAAAAATTAATTGTCAATTAAAATTATTGTCCCCTTTTGTACTCGCTCGTCATCATACTGCTGGAGTCGTTAAACTAAAGTCAACAACCATAGGGCAAATCTAAAATAATAGTCATTAGGTATATGGCGTATTTTTTGACATCTTTGAAAAAAAATTATCGCCCAACTTCAAGTAGGTATTAATAGTTAAGCACGAAAACGGGGCGCTTCCGAGAAAGTTGTTGCGGTTCGGCAGATGACTGCCGATTGGTGACCGCCGGACCGATGGTGCGAGGGGTATGTTCCAAAATGTCGACAACGCATCGTCGTTATCATGATATAATAAACTAGGTTTGATATTAACAGGCGTAATTCTGTCTCAAACTGCACTAATATGGCGCTGGTCTTTCGCCATCTCTGATTGGTTCATAATTTTTGGCGGTATTTTAAATTATGCTATTAAGCTAGATATTTTTAATACTTTATTTAGCTTATATTTATAAACATAAATAATAAAAAGGTAAACATACATTTTTCTGGCCAGTTTATCAGTAATTTTTTTACAATTAAAATTACTTAAGCTTTATTTTAAAACCATTTTTAATTTGTTACCTCTACTCCACAGATTGTATATTATCTACTTTTTAATGATAATTGAGCTCTTCCCTATTCCTCCAATTTAAACTCTAAACAATTATAACAATTATAAGTCTGATATTAGTGTTATGCATATCAAAATGTCTAGAAAAATATACTCTATTCAAATCTGTGTCTTTTTAAAGGCACGGAGGAGGTTCCCAAGTGAAAAACAAAAGTATATTTTTATTTAAGGTATATTAAGTAATGGTAAGAAATTAAAAATCGTTTAAAATAAAACTTAAACGAATCTTCAGATATTAAAAAAATATAAATCAAATTTACTTAAAATCTTCCGAGGTAATTACTAATTCATGATAATAAAAAACCCTCTGTATAAATTAATGTTCTTTTCTCTTTTTTCTTCGTAGTAAGTCATTTATAACTTTTGAACATATTTTTGCTTCTAGGTGGTTCGGGACCATAGACCTATACACATGATCAGGTTTATGGTCGAAACCCGGCACCCCGAAAATACGCCTCGGCGTGCATCATACATAGTTTGTTATATTATCATATTCGTTATCACAGCGTTATCATTGTATGTATGACCTAATACTAGACAGTCAACTACGGCAAAACAAAAACTACAATTGAACCGTGTGCGGTGTGCATGTATCTGTATAATGTTTGCGTAGGTATCCTTCGGATAATAATAATAATATATAGCAACTAATGACTTAAGTATATTTCTATCAATTAAACAAATAAAGTTAACGCTGTACGCGAAACATCTGCAAAATTATTAAAGGAATTCAAAAATGCTCGTTGTCGTCGACTGTTGCCCCGCACCGAATTCCCATTAGTATATCGATTGCGCACACTAGTGTCGCGGCCGATATCAAAAACCCATTACGATCACGTCACACACACGAACAGATTATACATAGGTATATATTTAAGTACACTCTCTTAAAATGACTGCGTCCATAATAGGTCCAAACACGATCACCCGCGTACGCCGAACACTGAATCACGCCATCAGGGACGAGAATTACTACATGGCACATCAGCTATACAAATCCCTATATTCCAGGTATGTTCCAGGCTGCATTTGGTTTGAATTTAGTTTATTTTCATTATAAGTAATGAGTGATTGATGACAATTATAGTTATAAAAATTGTAATAATATTAATGCTATCAGTATCACTGTTATAGCCGACTATAGACTAGTCCGGTTATTTTCTTCAAACATTAATGACAGTGCAATATAATATTTTCAGATTTGTAAGTTTAAATGACAAGGATTCTGCCATTAGGACTCTACATGAAGGCATTGATTACCTGTTGAGTAAACACCAAGTAATAATGATTAATATTACAGTATCATTAAGTAAATATTCATATTATTCTCAAATGTGTACTCGTATGTTTCAGAATAATACAGCTACTGATTTATCACAAGTGTTTGCAAAGTGCTTGTCTGCCCAACGTTTCATTCCCAGTGATGATATATTTGATTATGTAAAAGAGTAAGTTTATATGAGTGAAATTTTACATTTTTATTTAAAATTAATGTATATGGCTTTATTTTATTATCTTTATTTAGTATATTCAAAAAATTTGGTCCGTCACTTTCTACAGAACGAGAATCTATGTTAAATATAGTCATACAGTGGACAATTGAATTTTGTCCTGAATTTCCACATGGACATCCAAGTTTACATAAAAATATAGGATATGTTTACTGGTCAGGTAATTTTTTGTGTATTTCTCTAAGTTTAATGTTTTAAAATTATACATAAGGTTTACACATTTAGAGTCAAATTATTCGTCTGCGCAATACCATTATTTAAGGTCTTCAGATGGTTTGGGCTTTGCAGCTATGTTGGTAGAATTACATAGAACACGAGGATTCAAACATGAAGTAGATTTATTTATAGCCCAAGTCGTACTTCAGTAAATATTTTTCAACTTCTTTAGATACCTACACAAATTAATATTTTTAATTTTTGCAGAGGACTATGTGTGCGTAATAAAATCATCGCACAGTCAACATTTCAGTCATATACTAAATTACATCCTGCTATTAATGATGAACCACCATTTATATTGCCTTTACTTAATTTTCTTTGTTTTTTACTAAAAATATTAGACAGGTTAGTAATTTATTTATTGTTTTACAGATAATAATCAATAGGTACTTAACATGTTGACTGCATTTCTTTTTGCAGTTCTCACTCTAGTGAGTACACGACTTCAATTCTTATTCTTTTAATCATTCTAATTAACAATTAATTATCATTCAGCCACATTTAAGAAATACTAAACTATTTACATAAAATAAATATTGAATATCAAATGACATTAAACTCATTGCTGAACGATCTTTATGATGCCAATTGCCGCAGTCAACATGGGGGACATGTAAAACGGCTGAAAATAAATTGCCAAGTTGTATTTCAGTGGTAAATAAATTGTTCGAAACTTATTGCAGTCGGAAAATATTATAGCTAAACTGTATTAGAGCCAAAAACAATTCACCTGAAATTTGATTTGGACAGTTTATTTTCTGTTGAAATGATCTGACTGTTTTATGAATCGGTTAAAATATATTTCGGTTTAATTACAGTTCTGTTAAAATACGGTTTGGCGATTTTATTTTTGGTTGTTTTATGGCTCCCCTCAACATGTCAATATTAGATATTCAACCAATTTTATTTGTGCTTTATTATAATTTATTTACAGTGGGAAATTAAAAACATATATAGTACTTTGTGAGCAATATCAATCTTCTTTGATCAGAGATCCAAGCTACACTGAATATTTGGATAAAATTGGACAATTGTTTTTCAACGTCAAGGCAATTGAAAGGAGACCTAGACATTCGCAACATGGGTTTTTAGGTACATGATTATTTTTCATAATAATTAAATTTAAAAAAAATAAGATAAGAAATGGCCTTAAAAAAAATTTAGTTATTTAATTATATTAAACATAAACATAGTATTAAATATATTAGTTTTATTCAAAATACGAAGACACCAGGCGGCAGATGAAAATGTAAATCAATTCATGTACACATTTTTTCTCAATTGCTTACTTTATTTGGTTAGTCTGTTGTTATGGTTAAATGTTTAAAAAAAAAGTTCTACCTGAAAACAAGCAGAAATTCTAATTGAAATTTAAGACTATTTTTATCACTTCAATCTGCTTATAAAACAAATTTTATGTTTCATTTTGAGTTTATTTGGTCCTAAAGAAGGTGTTTTAAGTATAGATACAATGTAGTTTTAGGGAAAGTAGAGCAAAAACTTAAGAATATCAAATTATCAAATTATTTACATTTTTCATGTATCCTCCATTTATATTAATTTATCTTACATTAGTCTTTTATGTGTTGGATAATTTTTTTTTATTTAGCTACCTAGTAAACAAATTGAAACTTTATTAATTATTCTTTGGACTGATCTCTAAACTCTTTTTGAACAATTATAATATTTGTTTTTAATGTATTGAACATTTTTTATTAATTATTATATTATTATACTTGTTATCTATAATTCGTATTAAGCCTCTTGTTCAGGGCGATGGATAACAGTCTTTTTATACATGGAAGCGTTGTACAGTGCACAGTGTTGTGTACATTAGTATACATGTTTTTTCATGTAACAGACATGTATCCATTTGTTGCTAAGTACCACACCAATAACTGTTGCCCCCTTGTACTGGACGCTGGTCTGTTGCAGCCAGTCAATATGAGTATTAACAACGTCAGATCATCAAACGTTTAGAATTTTGAAATTCTATTTTTCTATTCTAATTTAGTAGATTTGACCATTGTCCATCGCCAAAAGCTCGTAACAATGATCTAGTAAAATGAATCACGAAATAGATAGTGAAATGTCGATTTCCTTGATTAAAAATAGACCTGAGATTTAGGATAAGACTTTAGCAAGTTACAAAAATAAGCAGCTTAATTTTATGGCATAAAAGAAAATTTGTGCAAAATTATTCATGAACATCTGATAAAGAAACAAATGAATTTGGTAAATTAGCAAAATGTATTTAAATACATTAGAAAAAAAAATTAAAAACTTTGTTTCATCTTTCTTTAAACTTTTAAAAAGAATATAGAGAACACCATATCTTTCTCTTTCTAATAAAATAGGATTTACATATAACTTTTTTTTTCTTTATTCTTTTTGCTGCAATATTTTGTACAAATAGTATGCTATTATTATAGGCTTTTTCTTTCTAGGAGACATTGGTCTAAATTCATTCGCTTCTTATTTCAAACTGATTAAATTTAATTACAGCAAATATATAACGTAATATTACACGAAACCAAGTTCATTCATTATTTTAATGTGTCATCAATAGGGCTATCCATTTCACATCAGACTGGTATCCGGTAAAAAAAAAGTGAACAAGAGCCTTTATTGTAGCATTTTTATTATTATAAGTATTTAAAAAATATATTTATTTTCATACCCTAATAGTATAATTTGATATCTTATAATGTTGTGAGTTTATAATAGTCAAGCAAGTGTCATCAAATATATATATATATATACAGGGTGTCCCACGAAAAGGTTCTATGTCCTTTTCTTTTTTTATTCTTGCATAAACCCGAGAAAAAAAAAATTCACTCAAACCTTTTTGATGACTCCTCAAAATATTTGACAATATTTTCATATATGTTGTCAACCTGATGGCTAACGCAACCCCATTTTTCGTCTTTAATAACAGGTAGAGGAACAGTGGGTGTGTTCTGATTTAGATTGATAATATTATAATAATATATAGTTTACATAGTATAATAATAAGTAATGCTTATGAGTAGGATTTGGTTTAAAATTAAATACCTTTTTTTAAAGTAATAAAAAGGTAATTTGTGTGTACAAATATTTTAAGTCCTAATTGTCTTTGTTTTCCTGAAGACTATAAAATATACTGTTAAGAATTGTTTTTTGTTTGGTTTTAACATAATAGAATTTTTTTAGTTGTTTTATATGATATCAATGGCGTTATAATTTTGCTTGCTACATCCCTAAATAATCTGCAAACAGCGCTTATTGAAATGAACGACTTATTTTAAACATTTAAATTAAATATAAATACGATAAAAACAGAAGTACTAATATGAAACCAACAAACTTAAAATTTATATATCCCTTAAAGGAAACAGAATAGAGCAAGTGGAGCAATTTAAATACTTAGGAAGCATAACAAGCATTGATGAAAGATTCGCAAAAGAAATAAGAAGTGCAGGATAGGTTAAGCAAAGAAGGCATTTCTGCTAAAGAATGTAAGTTTAAAAACAAGAAAACATGCAATTAAAACATGTATGGAGTACAGCACTGTACAGCATTGAAACGTGTTGGTGTTTAATAAAGGAAGATAAAAACACCTTAGAGGCTTCCAAAATGTGATGCTGGAGAAAATAAAGAAAATAAAATGGTCGGAAATTAATTCAAACAAAAAGTGCTAGAGTTATTAAAAAAGAAAAAACATTGTTTAGCAATTTAAAGTCTAGGCGATGATACATAATAGATTATAATGACGCTTAGGCACAATAAGGAACTCCTCCATAGCATTATTCTAGAAGGTATGATAAAAGGAAGCAAGGAAGAGGAAGACCAAGAACGAGTTATATAAGTCAAGTAATTAAAAATGTAAGACTCGGTTCATACAAATAACTCAAGGATAAGGCATATGCAAGAAATTGTTGGATAGATTATTAATTGTAGACTAATCCACGAATTGAATAGTTGAAAATTTATTTGGCATATTAAATATCTTTGTGCTTTTATCCCATTAGGGTTTTTATTTATTTATTATTGTGTTAAAATATGAATATATACTGAATTCAGCTGAAGTTATCCTTTTACAAAATTGTTTTATTTATTTTATATAACTAGTTCTTCTAAAGTATACAAATCAAAACAATTCTTAAATATTTTTCAAACAAAAAATATTTCATATTATATATAATTAATAGAAAAAAGAAAAATACATTTATCTATGATTTAAAATTCTTAAATTCAAAATAACTATAAGTACATATATAATTGTGTATTAGGTTTTACTAATTAATTAATTGTATCAATACTATTAAATTTTAAACATATTTGACAATGGTAATTAAGTAATTATCCATTTAAAATTAAAAATGTTGTTAAAAGTCACCATGTACATCTGTCTGTAATGCTTCTTTTCTTATAATTAGAACGTAAATTGTGGTATTTAGATTAAAATTAGAGTTTATAAACAAATAACAAAATTTAAATTGAAGAATTTTTTTCAAAAGCTGTTCGTAATTAGTCTAAACAAATTGTCTTACAAACAAATACATCTATGGTCTTGTAATTCTTAAAATTTTGTTATTTGTGATTTTAAACACTTAATTTATATTTAAACGCTAAAATTTATGTTCTAAGTAATGTGATTTTGCTATATTTTATAATAATAAGACAGAGACAACATATGTGAGTATGACATTCTTTTGACCAAAAAATTTTAGATGTACTCACATACCATGTATTTATAATTTATTCTTTGTATTAATCATGACTGCAATGCTACTTTGTGTTATATTGTCTCCTAAATTGTAATGCATATCAAGGTGTATTGGTTGTTACAGTTAACTTTTATCATTTAATATAATGTATATTTCAGTTGATCAATAATTTAGTGTATAGTTTTTGTACATAATAATGATTGTTTTAAACATTTCAATCACAGTTATAACCTGTCATGTATGACAGGTATATAACTAGTGTCAGTATATTTTGAGTAATGTTATATTATATAATTAATAAATAAAGTATCCATAAAGTCCTGACAACATTTTAATAAGAAATTCACATTTCTGTGCTGAAAATAGTGCCGTGCATTTTATATTTGTATAATAATATAATCCTAAACCTAAAAAAAATTATATATATTGACAAAACTTATAATACTGATTTTTGGTTTTTAGGTAATTTGTTAAGTTCATTGTTGAGTGATTGCGATCATGAGGGAGAACCAAGTCCATCATCATCACGTCCAATGAATGTTGAACCCCTAGATTAACTCAATAATGTTTCACTAAAATAAAGTTTTTTTTTTTTTAAATCCTGGATTTTAATTTATATTAAAAACAAATAAATAGGTAAAACAATGTGTGTTTATTTTTATTATTTCTATTATTACTATTTTTTAATTTGTCTTAAAATTTACAGATATTATAAAAAGCTCATTCACATTTTGCTAATAAGTTAAACTTAAAGTATATTTATTTATACTCATTAATTATTGTTTTGTTTATTTTAATCTTTGCATTCATTTGAATGTTTAACTTTTGGATTATGCTTACCTTTATATATAGATGCAATATAGTTTCTCATATGGTCTGCGGTAAAAATATAAAATACTTATGGACTAAACTATAGCTATGAAATGTTTTTAGTATGTAATAATAAATCTATTCTTAAACTAATATTATAGTATATGTATATACGTATAAATAATTATGTATATGTATATAACTGCTACAATATGCACGTTAAATAATAAATGGAAAAAAAGTATATTAAAAGGATTCTATATAATATTTTATCCCCCCTACCGATTATCCTAGGTATTCTTTCTTGGTTCAGTAAACTGATCTCACAGTTGTGGTCAGTGCACAGGCGTGTTTATTTTATCGGTCTTCTCTAATTATTAATGGATACAAATACAGTGTAGTTCAATTTTTTCATTACATACAGAAAATGATGCACATAAAGAAGTAAGTTTTATGAGTTTATTTAATTATACTTAGTTATTTTAGATAGAATTAAAAAGTATTAAATGTAAGTATAATATCAGTGAATTGATTATTAAAGATTTTCATGCAGTAAAAGTAAATTTTAATATTGAAGAGCATTGTGATTCACTAAATAATAGAATTAGAATTTAACTACAAAATATTTAGAGTTGGTTATTAATATTATTTACACATGCAAATAACATGGTAGTATTATAATTTGTATGGTCTAAAACTACAAATAAAGAATATCAAGTTACACTGTACTTTTATAGTAATATTGAAGCTGTGTATAAAAATCATAATTTAATAGACTAATAATAATTACACAGTTATTAATAATTAACAAATTTTATAATATAAATATGCTATTCTTGAATACAATTAAATATGACATGCTCAATAAATTACATATATAAACTTTCAACTGTTGTATTATAAATGTATTTTACTTCCTAATAATAATCTTAATGATAATACTTTTCCATTAATCTAATGCCTGAGACCCATTTAAGGGAAAGATTAAAAGCTGTTTTAGACCAATAGAGAATGAAAAATTGTATAGAAAGCACTTTGTTGACAAATTGTTTAGTTTATTATAGAACTCAATTTTCCAAATTAAAATTTGGTTTGTCCAAAATATATTTAAATGAAATGTACTGATGTGGTTTTTTTACCAAATCTTCAATAATATCAAAATTTTGGAAGTTTTGATTACATTTTCCACACAAGTAGAATTGCATTAGTGCTTTTATTTTATACTATATTGAAATGACAAAATATAGATTATACTTACATATTTTTAAATAAGTATAAAGTACTTAGGTATCTTGAAATAGGACTTGAAAATTTAATATCAAAATTAAGTAGTTAGATATTTAATGTTTATCTATTTTTAAAAGGCAATGTCTATAAAGTTAAAAATTAAAGAAAAAAACTAATAAATATAAAAGATTTTTTTTTTTGTTTTTAAATCCGATGTATATTTGGCACGATACAATATTCTCTAATCCATCTAAATTTAACATGATGGTCTCTTGGATATTTGTCTAGTCATAAACCTATCATGATAATTTTACGGTTTAATGAAACTCAAACAGTATACATATTTTAAGATTCCGTATATATTATAAAATACAGTGTCCCAATAAGATCTGGCAATTATAAAAATTTCGTTCTGTTTAGTAATTTTAAGATTTTTTTATTTTATTTTATAATAATTTCTAGAACCTATTCTATGATTCTTATATTTTTTCAGAAATCCAATATTTTGGTATTAAAAATGTTTATTAACTATTCATCAATAGTTAATTTTTTACAATTTAAAATTGTTTTCAATGCATTTACAAAATAATAATAAAACAAATATAATTTATATTATTATAAAATGTATTTATTTGTCTGATCTCTGTGAGACTATATTTGTGTAGGTTTACAGTTTGTATTTTACTATTGTTTTTGTTTTTTTTGTAGAATGTTATTAAGTTGGATACTTGTAATTTTATATACAACGATTATCTTTCAAAGGAAAACAAATGCTTCCGCAAGTATGTGTTTTGTTTAATTATAGATATTAATTATTATACCACCAGTTATATACCCAACTAAAGTCTTATTTAAAAGACTACGTAGGTATGTATATATTTTATAATGTACATAATTAGATACGTCTTGTACAGTTGTACCTACTACCTACTAATATATTTTATTATATTATTATTATAATTACAATATTTATTATTTTATTTTTATATGATTTTTTTATTTTAATTTTTAAATATATTATAGGATTTACTAATTAAGGTATTAAAGTTTTTTTTTTTTCATTAAGTAATCCAAATAAAAATTTAATGTTCTACAAAATTAAATTCTTCATTATCCAAAAAATTCAAATAATTACTTGTTTCATTAATTTTAAGTAAACAATTAAATTTTCAATTTTTTTGAAATTTGGTCATTCTTAATTGGAATATTAGAGTGAAGATTAAAATATACAAACTGCAAGTACTCATCAGTCAAAGGCTATTGAATCTATTGAATGAATATATTTATCTATGAATATATTTTAATATAAAAAATACCCTGTTATTGAGTCTTGAGTTTTAAAGGACACCACACTATAATATTCTCGATGGAAAATCAAAATTGAATGCAATATTAATCGTAGAGAAAAATTTAATAAGTACCTACTATGAACACCATGATACTGGACAATTAACTGATTTTTATCTGCGCGTGATTTTTATGGGAAACTTTCACCAATTTATTTTGTGCAGCTTCACTATAATAATATAATGGTCTTGAATTTATATTTGCATAAAAGTTAAGATAAAATTTATTTTTGTTCGGTTACAGGCAATACATCAAAGACACGATCTGTTGATGATTATTCAGGTAAAGTCACAATATTGGTTATAAATACCTACTGTTTATAATTAAAATTAAAGTTCTCTATTAATAGATTAATATCAATATTTAATATATTAAAAATTTACAATAGTAATTTTGAAATGTATAATATTAATATTGAATACATTTCTAGACAGCATCGTATATAGGTACTTAGTTTAAAATGTACATCTGTTTTTTTAATATTGTTGTTATTATTAATCTTCATAACAAATATCTGTTTACATCATATAATATTAAATATTTAGTTAAAGATCTGGAGATGTAATAATTTAATAAACAATTTTATATAGATTATGATGAAGGCACCAGCCGACCTATTAAAGACCAAACATCAATGGAACCATGTGGTAACTACCGACCAGGAGAAGATGACATAGAAATAATCGATTTTATTAGGAAATTCAACATAGATTCGACAGAAGAAATGTTCAATAAAAGCATAACTAAAGTGGCAGGATCTAATCGTTGGCAAACTGCATATAGAGTAGAAAAAACAGCACAATTAACTATGCCCACAAGGTATATTATATATTATTGACTGTTGTACTGTATTATTTTATTTATTTTTACGTTTAAAGTACCTACTTGATGTCTATTGCTGTATGCCACTACTATTCATGAATGCAAGAACATTGTGTAGACTATTATTAATTTATTAGTGTAAACAATTTTAAAACTACTTATTAAGTGTACCTAATTTACAGTTTATAATTTTTTACAAACAAGATTTTATTTCTAATATATTTTATATATTATTATTTTATTAAGCTGTTGAGAAGAAGAATAATATAAATTATGTTATTTATGATTATAGAACTGTGTTTCCATTAGGCGTCCCTCAACAATTTTCTTTTGTCGCTACTTTCTCATCAAAAGTGGTAACCAGGTCATTGTGGGATATACTTAAGATCACCGATTTTGAGAATAATATAAACTTACAAATTACATTGGATCAAGCTATAGGAGTCGTAAAGTTTTCTATAGTTAATTATGATGGTTATTTGCAAACTGTTACATTTGAAGCAAGTAATGTAAGTTTTTTTATGTATTTTTATTATGTACGCTTAGTATGTCATTTACAAAACGATTTTATCAGTAAATTATTTCAAATGTACTGTAGTGTTGTCTATATTTTAGCTAAATCTTTATTGATTTATTCTTAAAAAAAAAAAAAATAATTTTAACTGGTTAACTAACAGTATAGAGAGATTTTGGTTGGATTCTAAATATAGTCCAGTAGAAGTTCCCAGGAAATCTTGAGGAGGTCTTTCATGGAAGTTAAAGAATTGCAGACAATTTTTTGTTCATCTAAATATATGTATTTATTCATATAAATTAATTTTTAATAATATTTTTCTTACTTATATCAATTTTAACAACAATTTTGAGTGTCACGAACATGGACTTAATATTAAGACCTTGTGGTCATGAATAAGAAATGACACCACCTCATAGGACAATAGATTAAAAAGTACCTAGTAGTTACTCTGAACATCACTTCATTACTGCCCCTACTTCGCATTCAATAGATTCTAGCAGCAGTTTAGAATAATAAAATAACACTACTAATATACATGTATGTATACATACAGTGTCAGACGAAGTCATACCCATTGAAACATCTTAAATAGTATTAACTTTGTTCTACTTTTTTGTTTGACAATTTAAGAAACAATCAACTAAAATTTTTTCATTTCCGTTATTTTTTTGTCATTTATTTTTAAAGGTGAAATAGCTACATATTTTTGATTTTAAAATAGTATCTTATATTAAAAATTCTATAAATAGATGTTTAAGTACATTATAAAATACAAGTTTTATTCCATTAATTTTTGGGTAAGAGGGGGCAGTGTTACTCAATTTGTGAGGTGGCACGGTGCACGCAGTATTTGAATACTACTCCTCTACTCTCCTACCTAAAATTAAAAGTAGAATATCTTATAAACAGATTGACGAAAATCAAAAACTTCAACACCAAAATATTAAACTAATACTCCATAGTCTCAAAGTACTTTAATAATATAGAGTCAAAATTAGGATTCTAATATGACTCAAATAGGAGTACCTGCTCTAGAATAAATCTAGAAAATGTTACTCCAATATAGGTGACCTACTTTATTATTCTGTTTGAAGTCAGTGTCAGAACGATAAATAAAACCAACCAAACAATAAAACTAGTTAAATTTAAAGTAGCCCAACACTTCTTATTTTTATCGGCCCAAAGTATAAAATTTAACTCAATCCAGCACTATTTGAATACTAGGTTGAAGTTCTCAAAAATCCTTTAGTGGGATTTCTTATGGGGAATCCGGTGCTGTTATGATTCTTATTTACTTCATAATAATTAAATCTTCCATCAAATTAAACAAATTAAAATGAATTAAATAATTTAAAAAATCTTAAGGTATTTCATGTATCATAGACACTCATTATTGATTGATGGGCATCAAAAATTTCAGCACCAAAATTTATTTTAACTAAAACTACATTTGTTTATGGAGTTTTCAATATAGGTTGTCATTTTAAAATTAAAAGTAGGTAGTGGTTTTACCCCCAAAAATAAGTATGACAAAGAAACACATACATTTAAAATTGTATAGCTGCTTGTTTCTTAAGTGATCTATAAAACAGATTCTGAAAAAAATTAATACTTTCAGAGATAATGAGTGTCTTACAATAGATTGAACACTGTATATACCAAGATAATGAGTATAACATAATACTTATTAATTTAAAAATAACTATCCAGATATTGTAATTGGACTAAATTAATATTTTACATTTTTGACAGATTTTTGATAGAAATTGGCACAAGCTTCATTTTGGAATTTTTTATGATAGAATTGTACTTTACATAGATTGTAAACAAATTGGGGTGAAATTGTTGGAACCCAGAGGTACAATAGATATTATAGGTAATACTTCATTAATAACAATTACGGATTACCAAGCAGCACCAGTAAGTTTTATCAAAACCCTATATAACTCTCTTCAGTTTATAAACTAATTTAATCATTTTATAGGTGGATATACAATGGATAACATTTAGTTGTGATCCAACAAAACCTCAACGGGAAGGATGTGCAGAACTCTATCTGGTAATAATTTAATTAAACTTACATACAATTATTCCTATATAATTGAATTGTCCACAAACAGGACAGATTTAAATTTAAATAATACCTTAATATAAAATATAAAATTCATAATTGTATGAAGGTTGGAGAAGAAAATGTACAAACTGCAACTATAACAAATAGTAGATGTCCTTATCGAGATAATAAATGTCAAAATTGGTCTCATCAAGTAAATGTAAATCAAAGTCAATCAGGGCCACCGGGACTCCAAGGATCTCGAGGATCCCCAGGACTGCAAGGATCTCCAGGACCTCAAGGACCCCCTGGACCTCAAGGATCCCCAGGACCTCAAGGACCCCCAGGACCTCAAGGACCCTTAGGAATAAAAGGGTCTCAAGGACTGACTGGGTTACCAGGTCTATCAGGAGCTGAAGTATTTATAACTATTTGTTAAATAATTTAAATTGATTTGCAGTCAAATATAAATTGTTTTGCAAATCATAATATATATCTATAAAATAAAATGTATATTTTTAATAGGGTTTACAAGGATTTCCTGGTTTAAAAGGAGAACAGGTAAATTACTGACACTTAGAAATTGTTTTTATATAATAAAAAAACATATGCACTTATATAATGGATGGGTATATATTCATATTACAGGGAGAACGTGGGATGCCAGGTAGTAAAGGTGAGCCAGGACCTCCTGGGTCCACAACTTATATTCCAGGAAAACATGAAGTACAATATTTAAGACCAGTAAGTATAGGATACAATAACTTTAGAAGTTAATTTGTAGTTAATTTAAAACAGAGTAAGAAAAAGATTTACTTTAAAAATTTAAAAAATCTTATCAATATTACAAATAGGTATCTTATTGATATTATAGTCTTTGCTCTATACCAGGTGATTCATTTAAGTGGGTACACTTATTATCTCGGAAAGTATTAACTTTTTCCGGACTTTATTTTCTAGAACGCTTAAGAAACAAGCTACTCCACAGTTTTAGATTGAGCATTAGTTGAAATAAATTATAGTGTTGAAATTTTTTGATTTCAGTCATGCCGTTAACGAGATATACCACTTTTAATTTTAGGTTGAAGAAGAGTAGTGGTGCATTATTAACACACCACACGCCATACCGCCACACCAATAATACTCCGCTACTCTCCTCCAACTCAAACTTTAAAGTGGTATATCTTGTCAATGGGTTGACCAAAATCAAAAAATTTCAACACTATAATTTATTTTAACTAATACTCAATCTATGTATGGATTTTTTAATAAGGACAGCCATTTGAAAATCAAAAGTAGATAGTGGTTTTACCCCAAAAAATAAGGGTGACAAAAATAACACAAATATGAAATTGTGAAGCAGCTTGTTTCTTAAGTGTTCTAGAAAACATAGTCCGGAAAAAGTTAATACTTTCTGAGATAATGAGTGTATTCACTTAAATGAATCACCTTGTATGGTGTTTTTTTTTATAAATAAAGTAAAAATGGTGGACATAATTTGTTCGATGTATGAGCCACTATTGTAGGTGAAAAATTAGGAAGGTATAATAAGATATAATAATAATAAGGTATAATAGGATATAAAGGAGAATTCATTGTATATCTGTATGCAACAATTAGTCTTTGCTATAAAATAACAATTCTAAGCAGAGTTCAGTTATACATGTTTTAGAAGGCCATTATATTTACAATTTTCAATTTACAATATATTTACAATGATACAATGTCATGATTATTATTAAATACCTAACTACTACTTACTCATAACACGTATTCATGGAACACAAGATACATTTAATAACTAAACACGGTTACAGTAAAGCATGGATATTTCTGATTTCTGTTTACGTGACATGAAAACTGAACTATTGTCTAACTATAATTAACTCTGTTGGGTCATTCCAATAAGGTTGGGTATAAATTCTCCAATTGAATTTTTCACTAAGCTAAACCACTAATTAGTACTAGATATTAAAAGTAAGTCTTTTTATTTTTTCACAGGGAACATTTGGCCTACCAGGTGAGAAAGGAGAACGTGGAGAACCAGGTTATTCAGTACGTACCAACAATATAATATTTTACCTTTTTTGCTTGATTATATTTGATAAAAGAAAATTAGTGTCAAGAGAATGTTGATGGACTGAAAAGGTGTAATACATATTTTAGTACTGTATTGTAGAAAATACAGAGAGATTTTTTTTTTATCATGAACATTTAATTCCTGTTTTTTTCATCGTGGAATCGTTTAAACTTTCATTTAAAAATATTTTTCATTAGGACATAGATTCAGATAAGGAATATTTTTTTTTAGAAATTTTGGTATGCATAACAATAGTATTAGATTGATCGTTTAAAGTTAAAAAGCTTATGGTTTTACATATATGAGTGGCAGCACCCGTCACATTATCCTAAGACATCTTTTTAAATTATAAATTGATAACTCTATTCCTCTGATCTAAACTTTAAATGGCTATAATTTATAAACCAGTACATCTGATATTAGTGTTATGTATACCAACATTTCAAAAAAAAAAAACTGGGGTTTTATATTTGAAAAACGAAATATATACCTATTTAACGTATATGGAGTTAAAATAAAAAATTTTAAATAATTTTAAAATAAAGCTTAAACAATTCCTCAGTGATTAAAAAAAAAAAAAATCAAAAAAATTTAAAATCCTCCAAGATAATTGCTGATTCATGATTGAAAAAGAAAAATAAGATAATAGGGACGAGTGCAGCCACTGGTGTAGTTGAGAAATTGGGAAAGTAAGATACAGACAGGAATATAATGTATATCTGTAAGCAACGAAAACCATTTCTTACGAAAAAAAAATTCTGAGCGGAGTTCAGATGATGCTTTGTCAATAATATATATTCCATAGTAAAATAATTAATTAGGCTGTATATATATTCTTTAATAATATTTGTTTAATGTTGTATCGATTTCCCTACTTTTTTCCTAGTTTTCCTATGTTTTTTCCCAGTTTTTCACATTTGCTGAGGAAACTCCGGAGAAAATCGATAAACAACCTCTCTAAAATACCTCCACAGTTTAACTTCCTTTTAGAAAAATTTCCAGTAGAAAAGTTGTGCATAGAAAAAAAGAAGGCCGTAATATTATATTTATTTTATTTCGTTCGTAAATTTTCCTATTTTTTTTCGGTTTTTCGCATTTGATGAGAAAACTACTGAGAAAATCCAAAAATAATGTCCCTAAAGTACTACCTCACGACGATTTTGTATCAGAAATGATACTACACTTAGAAATCCGAGCAAGTCTTCCGATAGAAAAAGTGTTTACAGATAAAAAAAATAAACATCTTTTTAAAACCATAAGCTTCTTCGCTCCACTCAGAATCTAAAATAACTCTGTATTTTAATGAAATAACAAATGGGAACCTGTAAAGTAAAGTTAAAGGTAAGATAGTTGAGAGTATATTGGCGCAAATAAGGGGAGGATAGCCTCCCCTTACATAATCATTTTAATCAATATTTTAGGGGTCTTAAACCTTAAGAGTAGAGAGTTACCTAATCAATGAGATAGATGAATTTGGAATGAATAGTGGAAATCAGGGCCGTTCTTAGATCTTGCGAGGCCCGGGGCAAGATATCATTGCAAGGCCTTCCTAGTTTTCACTACTAACGTAAATACTTAAATATAAATAAAGTCGTATTATAATTAAAATTATAACTAGGATTTACAAATACAATTATTTAAATAAAATTAATTTTTCTTGTTTTTGCTTCCGAAAATGTTGCGATTAAATCTTCATAATCCAAATTTTTACAAATTTAATTTTCAATTGAAATGATCAGAAAGAGATCAGAAAGTCTTTCTTGAACTATAGTGTTCCACAAATAATTTTTAATCATTTTTAGTTTCGAAAAATTTCTTTCGACATTTCGGCACTACTTAGTTGTAATGTTTGATATTATAAACATGATTCTCAAAGCTATAGAAATATTTAGAAAATAATTATAATAAAAAATAATATACAAAATAAAAACTTTCGCAGTGATATTTTTTGTTTGGTGATAACTGCCCACTAGTATTCTTCAATTGTACGCGCTAGATAAATAAATATAGTGCTGGTTATTTTTGACATTCTACGTATTTACGACAAACATAATGGTTTTAATAATAAAAACGATATGATTTTGAAAATAAAAAAATTATTAGAAATTCGTCCTCCCTCTGTAAAAGTTCCATGTCAGTTATTTATCTTACTTTATGCCAGTCTATTAGTCTTTAATAATATTAGACTATATTGACAGTTGATGAGTGATAAATGTTTATTACATTATGATAATGGTATTGTATAACGTATAATGGGGCGTTCCCACGAGGTGTTAATCACGACAGTCAACCACGCTAGTCAACTTTCGTTTGTGACACTCACGAAAGTGTGAATTGATGAAACATTCACACGGGTTTGGGTTCGTGCCGTTCACGCCTCGTGTTTCGACTTAGTCACTATCGAAACATCGATCATGAATGATCTGGTTGTTGAAAGTTGTGCTGTTTTAAGTAAGTTTTTTGTTACGATCTTAGCAAAAAAAAAATGGAGCGCTTACTGGTCACAATTACAAGAAAACAAAAAAAAAGACGTTTTTGAGTTAGAGAATGGATACAGCGAAGAAACATGTTAGGAGCGTCGAACTTGGTTAGTATAGAATTAAAAAGCAATTTTCCAGATGATTTTAGAAACCTACTGTGAATGACTGAATTTCAATTTGAATACTTCTTATTACCGTGTTACCAATATTATCTCAAATCAAATATTTTTTCATCTTGGCTTCACGAACGGTATATCGCGACTGAAAATCAAACACGTTTCATCTATCCACGCTTGGGTCGTGCGCCGTTCCTCACGAAAGCAAGTTTAACGACTGTGCGTTCACACAGAAGTGTATTTCAGGAAAGCGTGGTTGACTGTTGTGATTAACGCCTCGTGAGAACGCCCCATAATAGTATAAATTATTTCTGCAATTTATTAGTTTTAAAAAAGTGCAAGTGCAAATGCGAGGCTCCCACAATGCGCGAGACCTGAGGCATGAGCCCAGCAGTCCCCTCCCTAAGAACGGCCCTGGTGGAAAGAAAAACACAAAGATTAGAGAATACCATAATAATTAAACCATTTTTTTTATTTGTTCATAATTGAAAGCTGGTGATTCATTTTCACATATTTGTTTCACTAGGGAAGTAGCTTTACTGAAAATGAGATCAGAGAAATGTGTTTATCAATTCTAAAAGGTAATTTTTTAATAAATAAAATAGAATAAATAATTGTGTCACAATTAATAATATACTCATGATTTTAGAGCAATTAGAAGAAATTACACACACCTTTATTGGTCCCCCTGGACCACCAGGCCAATCAATAATAGGCAAACCAGGTCCACCAGGAACTCAAGGACCACCAGGTAATGTTTTTGTATTATTTTGTTCTTCACATCATCCCCCATGGTCTGGTATAGCTATTAATTTAATCTAATAAATTATATAAAACATTTATTCTATGTGCATGTAGCATCAAATTTACGATGAATATTTTCAATAACTGAGAATATTAACTGTTCAAAGTCACTAAGTTTAAAAATGTTGTACCTACTTAGGATTTTAAAATTAAATTTATGTACTTATTTGAAATCATATTGTTGTGGACGAAATTAACTAATTTAATAATCATAATTATAATATTTTAATGTCTCGCACAGTAGTATAGACCCCCGGGTTTTATGGACCGTTAAACTTATATGATAAACCAAGTTGTGGATCGTTGACCTATAATGAGAAAAGTACCGCCTAGAGTTGAATTGATGATGTACACACAAAATAATATTAATTATTAGGTACCATTGATTAAAATATATACACTGTATATTTATCAATCAAACAACATTTGATGACATGGGTAGAGGGGCATCTCCGTTTGTCAACAGTAGAAAGTTACTGTGATACGATAAGTGACAACAGCTCACATACACACAAAAATAATGTTATTGGAAGAGACCAAAAAATAAAATGAGCCACATAAAATATTTAGGTAATACTCAAAATCTGAATCATTCATCTTTCTCAGGTTTCTTCACACTAGTTTTTGATTTTGACCCTCTAACTTTCTGCAATCCACAATTGTCACCTGTATTTTCTAAAAAATACTCCATAGCTTTTTATTAAAACGAGCTTTCATTTTTTTTTTTAAATTAACTCCCATATATTAACACAGTAACTCGACAGTAATAAACTTATTAATGTATTTACATGTACATTTTTAGGCGAACCTGGACCACCAGGTTTTGGAATACCAGGCGAAAAAGGATTCCAAGGATCCCCTGGTATACAAGGTTCAACAGGTAATATCTAATATTAATCAATGAATTTTACTATACCTATTGTTGACAGAGAATGAAAAGAGTTAAAATAATATTATTTGTGCTTGGAGATTATTTGTGCCGCACCTATATGAAATTTCACATTAATTATAGTACATATTTGATTAAGGTTTTAATGTTAATATTTGGAAGTTTAAATAATTATTTTCTAAAAAAAAAAAAATAAAATAATAATATTTGATTCATTTTATAATAAAATTATCTTGAAAGGTACTATTTGTATTGAAAGTGACACAGGTAGTCTACTGTTGTAGATGAAAAGTTAGGAAAATCAAATATATAGGGTAATTTAGTTTATTCAACTATTAATCATTGCAAACCAAAAATACTCAGGTAATATATAAGGTGATCAAGAAATTACAAATTAAACGACAAAATTTTTGTTGATTCTACACTTTTCCCAAGTATAAGGAAAAAATTTGATTTTAGAAAAGATACTAATCACTTGATGATTGGATCAAGATTTCTAATTCAAAAATGTATTGTTTAGATATAAAAATTGATAAAAAAAAAAAAATTATTTTAATTTTATCTAAGTTATTTAATTTGTATTATTTTAGGTCCTGAAGGACCAGTTGGTCCAAAGGGTGAAAAAGGGGAGCGTGGGACAGAAGGTGCTGCATATGAAGGATTACCAGGACCTCGTGGAGCACCTGGTATATGTTAAATATATATCTTATACTTAACTTTTCTTATATAATAAAGATATATTTATATATTTGTAGGATTACCTGGATCATCTGGCAGACCAGGCGATAGAGGTGAACTAGGGAGACCCGGTATGTATTAATTTGTAATTATAGATTTTATTTAATATTTAAACAAAATATACATTTAATTTATATAAGTAAAGAACATATAGGTTATTAATTACAGATTATCTAATTTAATAATTTTTTTAATAGGTCCAGTAGGCCCACGTGGTTATCCTGGCCCTCAGGGTTCACCAGGATATTGTGAAATGTGTAATAATGTTTACTATGCGGGTAGGTCACCAGTGCCTGGAAATTCTAAAGGTCCTTAAGTTGTAGGAATAGTCTATTAATATAAAATTAATTTCTTGTCAAAATTATACTAATATTTATTGAATTAAAAATAAATTTAAAAAATAATGTTTAATGCAATCAATAAATCGTATATCAATTGAATATTTGTATTATTTGCTTACGTAATTTAAATCATTTATATTGTAAATATTTAACTATTAATTGGAAATGGTAAGAAAAAATTAATTTCCAAATAACAACTACTAATACAATATACTTTAGTTATGTTATAATATTATTGTTATTATTATTATTTACAAATATAAATTAACAAAAAAGGGAATTTTTACACATTTCAAATTTGTTATTACATTATTCAAAAATTATGTGAGATAGATCTAAAAAAAAAAATGCATCATATATTTCTATTTTAAATCAGTTTTGAATTACCTAATTAAATTACGTATAAATTTGCTTTTATATGTACACAGATTAAACACTTATTGGATTTTATTTATTTATAATAAATTAGGCTTGCACTCACACATCAACATAATTACAAGTTATTGAAATTATATTAAATTACAAGGTAGGCATAAAATATATATTTGGTTCGAAGAGGAGAAAAGTGTTGGTTTAAGATACTAAAAAGATTAAAAATAAAAGAAGGGTTGGAATTGACAGTAGACATAAGGTGTATAATTGATTCATTGAGTTTGTAATTAATAGTAGAGCGGTAAGGAAGAACAGGCAATCAATTTTCTTTGGAAAGGATTTTCTGCAGGAAGTTATTATTAGCAGAACGTCTGCAGTTAGCTAAGCTTACTAAATTAACATTATAGAAGACGGGGTCATAGATAATTGGAAGGTGATCAACTTTGAGCAGGAAAGTTGCATGTTTAAAAAATTTGCTGGGAAAAATTAAAAAATTACCTCTCTAAAGAACATTAATATTTTATTTTAGAAACATTGTTATAATTACAATTGGAGCGAAATTGCCAGTAGAAAAGTTGTGCACAGAAAAAAGGAAGGCCGTAATATTTTATTTATTATATTTAGTAAATTGTCCCGTCTTTATTCGGTTTTTCGCACTTGATGAGAAAACTACTAAGAAAATTGAAATCCGGTTTTTAATCCAAGTCTTGGTAGAAAAATTGCACACAGATTAAAAAAAAAAATCTTTGTAAAACCATAAGCTTCTTTGCTTCACTCAGAATCTAAAATCACTCTATATTTTAATGAAATAACAAATAGTTACCAATAGGTAAAATGAAGTTAAAGAAAATGTAGTTAAGAGTAGATTGGCCCAAAAAAGGGGAGGGTAGCCTCCCAAAACAAGTCTTCATCGGTATACATAATCATTTTAATCAATATATTGTTATATGGATGCCGGGGCATATAGATAACAAACTAGTACGAACATTTAAGAGCTAATTGTTTCTTAAATGTTCTAGAAAACCAAAAATTCCGAAAATAGTTAATACTTTCTGAGATAATGAGTGTGTCCACTTAAATGGATCATGTAGTTAATAACGGGTATCAGGCTGGTTGTTCCTTTATAGAGGAATTTTATCACTGCACCTTATCGATTTCTGACTATCAAGTAGCAACCATTCATAACAATAATGGTTTCATTTTATGTGGTTCCAACTTATATTAGCACGGATGTTTAGATAGTTATAAATGAGTTCAATGGGGGGGGTGGACCCCATGAACCCCCTCATAAATACGCGTTTCTTAACTATAACTAAACAATAATTTTCCAATGTATTTTCAAATTATCAATGCATTTCTATTTCTGATAACACAGGGGCGATTTGGATGCCGCGTTTTATTTTCGTTCATTCATTATATTGTGCCTTCAACCATATACTATCTCCGCATAAATTGTATCTATTTATATTATACAGATGTTTGACACTGCAGAGTTTATTCTTGAGTTGTCGAATGAAGGACTATTTTCTGGTCTTTGAGAAACGCGCGGGGAATCTATAAAACAACCGACTGTATTTAAGCGAACATGAAATTATCAGAAAATATTTAAACAGAAAAACATTTCCGTCGACAGTATTTCGACAGAAAATGTTGAATTAGAAAACTTGGAAGTTTAAACGTCGATATCTTGGAACACAAAGTTAAAAGAACGTAAATTTGTATTTGTGAGTTATAATTCGGACACAATTTTGAACAAACAGAAAATGAAATGACATTTTGAATGTTTTCTATGATAAAAATATATATTATTAAATTTAAATTTAAATTATTATTATTTTTAATTTCAACCATTTGTAAGCATTTAAATTATACAAGTATAGATAAACATCCACTTACTCATATTGGATTTATTATCAAAACTAAACCAATATATTTTCCAATTGACTTTATTGATTAAAAATTCAAAAACATAGAAGTGGGTTACTTGAGAAATCTGGTTAACCTGTTTTTCATTTTAAAATAATATGTATTTCTTTTCTTTTTATTTTATTTCTTATCATGCGTTATCGTTTTTTACAAGATCTCTTTATTACAGTTGGCTGTAATATTTTTGGATTAAATACCTACTATCGGCTGAAATATTTTTCTGCTTCAATAATTTTTGATGGTTTTTACGCACTTAATGTGTTGTAAATGAAGTGCGTTTGCGTTTAAAAATCGTGCCATTTGAATCGCTCAGTGTGTAATCAGCTTAAAAGTTTTATAAATCAGATAAATTAATAACTTCCTTTTATTTATTTAAGTTAAAATATCAGTGGTGGCTTGTGGGCGCTGATGAAGGGAATGCGACAATATGAATTACTCTTATAGAATTACAAAATTAAAAAGATATATTTATAGACATATATATATCGCATGTAGGCGGGCCATTGTTGTAGATGGGAAATTGAATGTCAACAATGTATATCATATTATTGTATAATTACCTAAATATGTTTTTTAATATTGTATGTACCTAGTTTTCCGTTTATTATGAAAACAGCTGGGAAAATCAAACAATGACCTCACTATCGTATCCCCTTTCAGAAAAAGTACTGTCATTGTAAAACCAAGACATTTTTCGCTCCACTTGGAATCTAAAACATTAATAACATACATATTTTTATAATACTAAATATTTTTAAGACAACTATTCTTATCTTAAATGTTATCACCGGGTATACCAATTCTCTGCAAGTAAATGAATAATTGAAAAGATCAATTATTCTTGATATTGTTATTTTATTATTGATTGGGCAACGCATCGTTCAAATGTTAGTTCACGATGTCACTTTTTGTCTAGGGATAGGTTATATTGACTCACAGACTTTATACATTTATACCATATATTATCAATATAAGGTCTATGTATTCATGGTCCCTACTATGCAGTTAAACCACCGTGTTCGATGTATTTTTCTAGCGCTGTTATTATAAAATTTTATCAGTTTTTTTTTCAATGGAGGAAGGGGGATTGTCTTCGAGGGAGACATAGGTTTGAAGAAAAATTAAAATTGAATTTTTATTTCAATCTCCTAAGCATATACATAAAAAAAAAAAAAAAAAAAAACTATTCACTTTAAATTTCGAAATAGCCATTTTGTAAAAAATATTATTCTAAAAATTTAAAAGTATCACGTTTATATAAATTATGGGAGTTTTAATTTTTAGAAAATAAGCGTGAAAACAATATTCAAGGTAAAGAATTACCATGCATGCTAATTGTAATTTCTTATCACATACTGTGTTATTTTATTGAATATAAATTGTTTCCACGCTTAATTAAAATGGCTAAAACTAAGAAATTATTCATCGGATATGATTTTGTGATACATTAACATTTGTATTCGTTGAACATGGTAATACACACTGTAAAGTATAAAAGGGGAACACTTTTAACACTTTGTGCGTTCTTCTAAGAATATTGGATTCAGGTACTTTTATAAAACTATAAGTGTGCATTATTTTTTAATTTTAATGACAACCAACAAACAATAAAAGTTTTCCTTTCCTTGAATTTTACACACAGGGTTCAATCTTCCAATTGTCCAAGTTACAAGCCATCAGTGGTCGATATTCTGTTATTGTTTTAGTTTTATTATATTTGAATTTATATTCAACCAATATTTTTCTTACTTTTTATGGTCCTTTATACAATGTATCATAAGATGTTTAATAACGTGTATACTAACAAAAACACTTTATGTAAAAGTAATCCAAGGGTTAGCGCTAACAAATTAATACTTTAAGAGAAATAATCAAAACAACTCCAAATAAAAATGTTATAATATTAAATAGGTTTTAATACATAGTGTATTATAGAAAATAATATTTCATACTCAGTTTATTTAAGTTGTACTCAAAATACAAATTGTCATATTATAAATACTTACCATAAATTGTTGTACACAAATTTGCGTATTATAAAAATTTGATAATGGCATATATTTTAATTTAGAAATGCCAAATGGTAAAATATAAAAATAATAAATATAGGTAGCAAATAAAGTATTGTTATTTTATACATACATACTTATGTAGATATATATATATATATGTATGTATTTGTTTACTTGTCATTTAAAAATTAATGACTAAAAAAATAAATTATATTAAATAAATAAAATGTATAAAAACAAATAATTGAATAAATTTATTATTTACACAATTTCATTGCCTTTATATATAAATAAACATTAATTCTATTTTTTAAATAGATGTAATTAAATAGGTCTAAATATTAAATATTAAAAAAATCTGTAACATTCAACAGCAACAGATTTACACCTAAGTTTCAAATCAAAACTAAATAAACTAGGCAACTATTATTTTTATTACCTCACATTTATTTCACATAGTTTTAAAGAATAAATTTATTTAATTTGAGTTCTTGAAAAAATTGAATGCCCTTGTAAAAATTGATCATCGACCAAATTTGCAAAGTCTGGACTAATTAATCTTGATGTAAATCCACCACTAGTACATATATACTGAGTTTATTAAAAGACTGTTATTCTATAATAATATTTTATGCATGTTATAATAAAATTACAACATTTAAAATTACTTTAAATACTAGTCAAGATTTTAAAATAATTTAAAAGTAAAATTAAATTCATAAATATTACGTAATATAATATTGAAAATATAAAGTTTGTTTTAACTAGTACATTCAACCGTAAAATAAAAATATACGGCAAGTACCCATTTAAAAACATTAAAAAAAAATTAAGCAGAATTAAAATTAAAATAGAATAGCAATTTTAATCAAACACAAAAACACACTTAAGTAAAAAGGTTTATCGACAATATATCACCTTGATATTAATACACAATCAAACACATTATTTTTAAAAATAATTATTTAAGATAATAAACGTGTAAGAGAATTTATTTCAGTTATAGATTTTAATAGCCTTTTCTAAATAATTTAATCGTGTGCGTTTGGTCTTGTTTGGATGTTCCAATCCTAACCAGGGTCGTTGGCCTTGCCCTTGAGCTGAAAATTATAATTATAATATCTATTAACAAAATACATTATTGATTTGTATCCTGTAAAACTAAATGTAACTTATGGATCAGCTTACCACTCTAATGCAGGGACCAATACTATTATTTAAATGTAGCATTAGATTTTGATTTTTTAAATTAATTTAATAATGATAATAAACTAATTTCAGATTGTTTCTTAAAGACATTATAAACTATTAAAATAATAAACTAGATAAAATAAAAATTAATGATGCTAATAGATTGTCAGGATGTGCCACTGTTATAGATTAGAACGAAGAACACATAAAATTATTTAATTTCTTATCTATAGGAAACAATAAATTATCACTAGGAAAAAAAAGATTCTGAGCAAAGTTTGATTAAAATGTTTTGAAATATCATGATTTTCACAAATTGTAGAAAATATTAAAATTAATCGCTTAAAAAATAATAACATTACCCATATTATATGTATTTTTTATCCCTAAGTATGATAAATATTGTGCTCAATTTTTTTTAAAATTATTCCTGGGCTAAAATAATATAAAAGGTTCATCTACATAATATTCAAAAATGTGTAATGAATATTAAATAGGTCAAAAATCACATAAATGTGTTTTAAGATTTTACTAAGTCAGTATAAAGTTTAGTGTAAATGATTTCTAATAAAATTACAATTAAAAAAACACAATTTAAAATAACAGAAACTGCTATGGCACAAATTGTATTACTTTTTTTCAATTATTAGGAAAACTACAATAAAAATTAAAAACCTCCCCAATGTATAAACTATACAATATTGACTAGCTGAAACTACAGATTAAGTTGTAGATCAGAGCAAAATGTCCAACAAAAAAGTTGTTAAAAAAAAAAGTTTTAGGGTAGTAATTAATAATGCTCAGTTATAGTTCAATATAATAATACTAAATAAATTAGTTTTGAAAAGTTATTTTAACTTACAAGTAGGAGGTGTTTTAAAATCTTGTAAGTTCATAATGTGATTATCAGGAATGAAAGTTGATCTGACTCCTTGACAAATTGCAAATTTATACTGAAATTGTAAAATGTACATATAAATTGATTAAATATATATATATTTTTGAAAGTCTTATAAAATTAACTTACTTTTTCCAGCTCTTTGTCTTGAATACCAGTCTTGTTAACAATTCGTTCTTTAAGATTTGCTAAAGGTTCATCCTATGAAAAAAAAAAAAAAAAAAGAACAAAAACCGATAAATTTAATAGGTAGTAGGTATATTGTTACTATACATTTTTACTCTGGACTTACATGTATAATTTTAATAAGAAAAGGAGTACCAAAAGTTGAATATACTTCTTTTGAAAAATGATTAACAGGAACTAATAATTCATTTTCTTTGAGTTCCATTTCATCATTGGGTATTTCTTCCACTCTATATTAATAAAAATACAAATTTTTGAACTCAAAATATCAAATTGGATTTTTTTTTTTTTTTATTTTGTAACTAACCTATAGTATTTTGCTGGGTAAACTGTAGATATATCAGGCATTCTCACTCCAGGATTGAACCATTTACTTATTTTAGCAGACATTATTTCTAATGTTCTGTAATATATTTTGAATAATTAGTTTTTCAAATTCAATAATATAATAACAATTATATTATACTGTCATTTTCTTACCTAAACTGTCCAGAGCCTTCAGGTGATAACTCTACACTGCCACTTAGTACTTCATAAAAATGAGTGCATGTTGAATCATTTTTATTGAGGTATAAAATTATTTCTCTTTCGTCTTTTAGTTTAGGACCACACCATATTATCTACATAATTACAATGTATAAACCTTAGATAATAAGCAATTCAAAATAAACTTTTTATTTACTTTAACAGGTTTCTTGCTTTCTAACTCGTCAACTGGCATGTGCATTTCTTGATAATAAAATTTCCTAGGATAACGTTTACCATAACTATTATTTGTTATGAGATCTCGAATTGGTCCATTGTAGGAGTATTTAATTGGTTCACCAGGACATTCTTTTTGGCCACTACTAAAATAAGGAATAAAAATGAAGTAAGCTGTAAAAAAATATTTTTGTGTTGTGTACATACTTAACAGTAAAATAAATCTGTAATTTGCGTTGATCAACAGATACTCTTTCAGCAACTGCTTGTAGCATATCGTGATACAACATCCACATAGGTAATCCAAGAGTAAATCCAGGGTCATTAGGAACAAGTTTATCACAGAATGTTATATAAACTTGGGAGCTAATATTTCTAAAAAAATAATACAACTTTATAAACTATAACTTAACATGGTTTTTAACTGAAGACTAACTTAAAATGTTCAGCGACAGAAATATAATTTCTTAAAAGCTCTTCTTTTTGAAAAATTAGTATTTCACCATATGTTGAAGTCTGTATAATCTTTATATATAATCAATAAGTTAATTTTAAATTAATGACTATTGATTTTTAATTATAATATATACTTCACAAATTGGATCATCATGGCTTGCAACTTTTTCTACTTCATTTTTATTAGATTCTTTAAAAACAATGAGTCTTGTATCCTCGTTGAAACCAGCACGCTTGTTCATCAATGGTATAAGGGAATCTTGTGAATAAATAAATTTACAATTATTCATTCTGAATGAAACTAATTTAATTTTATAAAATACCAACTAACCTATTGTTGTTTCATAAGGTACAAACACATAACCACAATAAACTAAAAGCCTCTCTTCAGGAATAAATAATTTCAAAAATATTAGAGACTGATTATTTCTATCAAAAGGTATTAATTCTTTCACACCAGGATCAACTAATTCCAACCAAATATTCCAAGTGGTTGCAGAACTGTCTTGTAAATCTTGAATTGTTTTTGAAGCATTTACATCTATATCAAGATACGTAGGTCTCAAAGAATCATATTTACTAGTAATAAGAGGCCAAATTCTTATTTGACTTGGCTGATAATTCTATATGTATATATAAAAAAAAAAATTTTTTTTATTTTTGAGTATAATTAAAAATGTTTAATTTACTTACAAATGTTTCTGCTAATAGTTTATGAATTTCTTCTAAAATATTTGTCTTCTTAACTTTAACTGTCCTGAAGGAGGGTTGCTCTAAATCAAACAAGTCTATTCCCAAAAAACTATCAAAACTATCTTCTAAGAATACTTGTATATTGGTATAAATATGCAAATCATTGCGTTCTTTACGACGTATAGTTTCAATACGCTTTTCATCTTGCAACCTTTCTACCAACTAAACACATACAAAATCATCAACATAATACCCTAAATATAGTATATTACATTAGATCCATAAACTAACATGTACCAAATAATTAGTTTTTATTAGCGGCTACTATACTAACTTCTTTTGGTATATCATTAATTGTAACTTCTTGCAGAACATTTTTCAATTCAGAATCTCGTATGTAAACCAGCATGTATGCATTTGTACATTGCTTGATTGGCATCATATTCTCATCTCCATCATTGCCACCAAAATTATGCTCAATAGCTTCTTCTTTAGGACATCTTGATACAACATCATCATCAAATTTACACCACTTCAATAAAATACAAAAGTTGTATCATTTAATTTATATTAAATAACTTGTTTATGTAAACATACTTTGCCATCTCCTTTGGGATTGATAAAAACAACATAATGTCCACCATGGTTATCACCACTATGAACAAGAACAGCATGCAATATATAATCTGCAGGAGTATCTTCTTTTGATTTTAAATATTGATCCAAATTAATTTTATCATAAAATTCAAATCTAGCACAGTAAGGGTTTAAATCAATATAATAAACTAATATATATATATATATATATATATTTTTTATAATTACCTATCATTAAATTTAACAGAACTGTCTGTAACTGGATCATATTGAAAACGCATGAGATGTAAATAAAATACAGGCGGAAATGATGCAAATATTACTCCTTTTTCTGCATCTTGTAAACCATACTCTCCAGCATCATATCTATTGTCACCATCAAGAATTTCAACTTGAATATAATCTTTGAACGACTCATAAACTATAAAAAATGTATACAAATATTTTTATAGTAAACACTACATTATTATTTATACAAATACATATATGACGAGTTAAACCTTGATTCGTAGTTATAAATCAATAAAATAATCAGACAATTATAGTCAAAATTAATTTATTGTATTTTCCAAAGAAGTGTAATTTGCAAAAGATTGAAATTAGTTTTTTTTTTTTAATAACTTAAACATCTGATATGTACTAAATTGAAAAAGGTTTAACTTCTCATAACTAATACACTATAGAAAAAACTTTAAAGATAACATACTATTTTTCTTTCCTTTAATATTTAGTTGAATATCGTAAAATGTTTCAGTCCGTGTAGAAGTATAATCAACATTTTTACAATTTATGTATGACTGATAAATAACATTTATAATTTAGCGTTAATTTATATTATTTATAAGATTAATATTTATTTAATTTTAATTTATTAACTTACAATCATTTTACCCTCGAATAACTTTGGAATTGTTCCTTCAACACATGTACCCTTCATTTTGTTTTCCAATTTATCAAGCAACTAAAAAATAAAAAATAAATAATAAATATTTTTCTAAAGTAAGTATTATACATACAACTCTTAAAAATTCTTGAACATCATGTTGCATAAATGAATCAAGTGTTTCCCATCCAAAACTTTTGGTCAATTTTTTTGTACCAACTGGTTTGTCATAAAATTGAAGCTCATGAAACACACGTTGCAGTGCTAATGCTACACTTTTATTACTATCATCACTTTCAGTCGGCATTTTATATACAGCCTAAAAAAAGTAATTTGTTAAATAAAAATCAAATAGTCAAATCAATATAAATTGTATTACATAAATAATATATAATTACTTTACGTAGTTGATTTGTGAAATATAATGCTTGCAAAAGAGAGTTCATATAACATGTTGCACCTTGGTTTTTTAAGCCTACGTAACCGGTATGTTTTTTCGAATCCCAACTTACACCGTGTGGTGCATCTGCTGTTACTGTCACCTAGAATTTTATTCTTATTATAAGTATACAATTATATTGCAAAAAAGTTTAATTATTATTTGATGACAAATAATATAAAAATTCTTTCTTGTGTGTTAATAATATTTAAATTTCGTTTTATTCTCAGAAACCAAGAATTTGAATTTCATTGTTTTCCTAATAAGTCCTCTTTTTCTTTATACAATAGAAGTAATACTAATTCAAATAATACTATAATGTTGAAAATGAATTAGATTTGTTATGATACAAAATAATAATTTATTGTTAATATTATATATACTTATGTTATAACTGAAATAATACAACAAAACACAAAGCATCAATACTGAATGATAGATAAATAATTATGAATTTAATTAATTTTTTAACTTACTTCAAATATAACGGTGTCATTTTTTATAAATCCTTTGGCTTCATCAACAACATCATCCCATGACATGAAAAAACTAAATCCCCAGTCATTCTCTTTTGGATAAAATAAATGTTGAATTTTACGATCAATAGTAGGACAACCTTCTTTTTGTGATATGACTCGAAGTTCAGCTGTTGCATTAACACTCCAAGAAGTATTTTCTGAATCACCATTACACTAAAAGATAATGATTATTTAGAGTTTTTTGTAATAATTATTTAATGTAGCTACCTATAATTAAAATATAGGTAGCTACATTAAATGTTACAATTTTTTTTCCTTTTAAAATACATACTTGGAGGAAAAAACCAACAGAAGGCTGAGCAGGTTTTGCCGATCGATTATCTTGGCTTACTCTATGCATTATCATTATTTTCCATGGTAGATCACGAACATAACAGGGCTGCGACAATCTTTGTTCTTTTGATTTACTAAAATTTTCAATAACAAATCGGAAAGTTGCTTCTGATCGTGCATTATCTAAAAAATGTATAATTACAACAAAAAGATAAGTAACACAAGTTTATCAACTGATAGTTTAGGTACAAAGTTTCAATTTAAAATTAAAATAAATAATATTTAATACAATTAAAACATGCAATTGTTTACCTATTATATTAATAACTAAAAACCTGTCATAGGATAATGGGGATGGGTACAGCCATTGTTATAGGTAATTTAATGTATATCTGTAGACAAAAATTAACCATTGCTAACGAAAAACGATTCTGAGCAGAGTTTGAATGATAGAGTTGCTATGTCAAAATATGCATTATATATTTTCTTTAATAATATTTGTTTAATATTATACCAATTTTTTGTTTTTTTTTTTTTTCTAATTTATTGGGAAAACTCCTGAGAAAACCAATTTTCCATAAAAAAAAAAAATAAAAAAATAAACACCATGGCAAAACCAATACTCCTCATTCCACTCAGAATCTAAAAAATACTTTGTATAAACTGACTATATAAACAAAAATGTTTTTCTTTTTTTAAATTATATATATTTTATTGTAAAAATAAATTGTCTATTCACAAAATGAAATAAATTAGTACCTATCATATTAGTTAAAAAACTAAAAATATCTGATACAATAAGATGAAAGTTTTTAAAATGAATATATACGTTATAAGAAAAGTTTGATGGATAAAAATCTAGTAGAAAATTACCATCTTCCATCTCCACATCAGTAGTAACTGACGGAATTTCCATTGTTGGACTGCCTTCAACATCACTAATTGGCATGTTTTGAGCATTGCCTAATATCAACGGTGATACTTCATTGGTAAGTGCTAAAAATAATGGGTAAATTATTAAACCTTTGGTACATATGAATCATTTTTTTTTAACAACTGTAAAATATTATATCACCTAAAATTTAAATATTTTAAATTTAAGTAGGTACTATAGCAATTATAAATTAAGATAAGAAAATGAAGTATAAAACAATTAAATGATTAGGTTTATATCCTGTTAAGACAAATTTCAGGAAAAAAAGTAAGATTTTTTTTTTTAATAAAATTAATAATAAATTAATGATATAATTTAAATAATATTATATTAATAGATAATTTGTTGAAAATTATATGATTTTTGAATATAATAACAATTATTATTGAAAATTCTTTCACTATTAGAATATTTATTTAGCCACTCTAAAGTAGGTTTACAATTAGTAAAAGTTCATGTTGGTGTCGTCTGTGTGTTTATATTTTTAATATAAACACACATTAATTTTAATACTATTAAAAATATCCAAATAGAAATGGTAAAATTATAAATATAATTGCAGAATATATACAGAATTGTAATATATATATCTGTTCTAAATAGTTGGTAATATACCCATAAGTTTATAATTCAAATCATAATGTAATTTATTATGTTCTTGCTTATTACACATTTTGGCAGTCAACAAAATCTAAAATAAAATAAGCACAAATATAACTGTCCCTTCCACTTATTGAGCATAAAATCTTTATTTCTTCAGTTATCATTATGATAACAGACAGAAATAGTTTATTATTAATTAACATATGATTGAGTCTATAATAGCGAATAAAATATAATAAAGCTTGACAATGAACATTTACAATTTTCAAATACAATAAAATGCCTACCTACTTATAGTAAAATACTTCTGTTATAAAAAACTGACCAATATATCCAGTATGATCATGGAATCCTCCTGTAAACCTTAATAGCTTCATTTATGTTATTTTTTAGTGTTAATTATTATTTAAAATAAAGAGCCCAGAACTAATTTTGAGGTCTGTATATTTCACCCTACAAAATGTGTTAAGATTATGACAGTTGGTACTAGGATGTAATAATTATACTTCTCTAAAATGTTCTTACCAAATATGATAACAATACAAAAAAAATAAATGTAATTAGGACCGAAATTAGTTTTATATAAGCAATACTAAAAAAATTGGATATGAAATGATGGAATTAATATAAAATTCATAGTACAAACCCGAGAACAATAATATTAGTACAAACATAATTAACAGTTTTATTTCTATACCTTCCGAGATGTCCATTTCTTCCGGAATGTCATTCTGACTATCCCGTTCGACCATGTGGTTCATAATACGGGCCACGGGACTCGTCGTGGACTTTTTGTTCCTCTTCCGTCTGCCGAACAATAAGGCACTGCGCTTGTGTTCCGAATTTTTGTCGGCCAAAACGAACTTGACTGGTTTGCTCAGTGTACGCCCAATTTCTGCGACCGTCAATTACAACGGCACGTGCATCAAATTCTCTAAATTGCGATTGTCCGGACGTCGTGACACGGATACCGCATTCGGACAATACACCATTCAAGATTGCGATTTCTTTGGACTCGAGGGCCCGTTCAAATTTCGCGTCGGGTAACGGCAGCAGAGACGTATTTCCACATAACAAGGTGTCTTTACGGATACGGAATGAATAACAAACAAGATGGCCGTAAGCATTAGGCAAATACTATACCGCACTATACATCAGACCAGTCACATGGCCGTGCCGCGGAAACGGACAGTGCGCCCTAAAAGTTAAAACAAGTGTGTGCCCAACTCAGATCATATATTATAGATAGAGCTACTGCATGATAAACGCGTACGAGTTGAAAATATTAACGAGTGCCTAGGTGAATGATGTCTATTGCGCATACATATAAGTACTCGTCGCATATTTATTGTATAATCATTATAATACCACTAGGTAATGATGGTTGGTACATCACACGTGATTATATGAATTCGACCAATTGTGTTATATAAATTTTGCGCATGCGCATTTTTCTCAACTCCCCTTGTTATGCTTGTTTCAAATATTAAGTCGATAAATAGTTCTATCCATATCATATGATTTGAAATTCCAGTGCTGTCTAGACCCAAGGTTTATATATAATAGATATAGATATAGATATCTATTATCTGTAGCCGTGGTCGTTACTATGAAGACTAGAGGAAAAAACACTAATCAATAGCGTCGTAAATACATAGATAAAATATTTTTTTAATCTCTCTTGGTTACAATCCTAAGATCGGTTTGCAGCTAATTTCCATTCTTCTCTCCTATCCGCTTTCCTTTTCATTTGCACATATAAATTAGATCCTTGGTCTCTTATTAATTGTTGAAAATACTTTAATCTTGGCCTTTCTCTATGATTTTTCTTTCCACACTTCTTTCTATAATTAATTTTAATAATCCTTCATGCCAATAAATACTTAAATAATTATTTTTAATATACAATACTATAACAATTGGGTTGATACAAATGCTACGGAAGTCTACTATTACTATTACAATATATTACACCATAGATATTATAGATTTATTATATAATATTATCTTTGTATATTACATTGAATATATTACTCCGAAATTAAATTTAAAATTTGATTAAGTTGATAAAAAAGGTGCTACGAAAGGGATCTAATAGCACCGAATTAATTGACGTCACCCCGTTATGGCACCTTAGATCATATACCATTCCTATTGGTAGTATTTTTATCAATAATCACGAATTAAGATACTATTTTATTAAAATGTATATCTTTAAAATAATGATTATTAATTTATTTATCTTAATTAGGGTATATTTTAAATCGAGTCACTAATATTGTCTACAAGTTTTTCAAATTTATCTTTTTACTTATTCTTTATCATAATCATGATGTTTTGTAAAACTATAACCCGTTATCATAATTCTAATAAGTAAATAATCTCCAAGTTTATCTTCCCAAGAGTAAAAATGGTACTATGATAAAATACGTCATAATATTTTGTAAGATACACACTAGTTACTGAAATATAATTAAAGATTTAAAGTTTTTCAGTGACTTAGGTAACATAATTTATTTATTTATTAAAGATAAACGGGAGTGAGTCCAGGTTACAATTATGGTGTAAAGTTGACAAAATACAATACATATTATAAATGTAGAATGAAGACATGAATATAAAAGATAACGAAAATAAATATAAACAAAAATAAAAATGAGATAATATGGTAACTTAATTGTTTGAATCATTCCCTCATTGGCTAACTTCATCATACAATTGCATCGTTTTTTTTAAAATAATTAGTAGGGAAAAGTATAACAGAAAGAGTATGCGAGTTGCGAGTGTACTTAACAGGAACTTTAAAGTTAATTAGAGCAAGAAGGGAAGAGGAATCAACTGTCAGATAAGAGCTTATTAAGAAATAATACTTTCAATTACTTCGTTTTGATTAAGTACTTACATATTGAAGGGATTTAAAGGATGAACAATTTTATTTGCATAAAATTTCTTTATTAGTGGTTGAATATTTAACCGTAAACAATGTGTGGACCGTGGTTGAAGTAGTGAAGTAAGTTAAAGTAAAAGCATTTAGTTCAGTATTGGAGAATTTGTTTTAAAAAATACAAACATAATAATAATTTAGTTTAATTAAATATTTACGCCCTTAGATACTTTCATACAAGATTACATGAGAACATTAATTACATAGCAAAAATACACGATGAATATAATTTATATTTTGGTTATAATTTTTTATTTATTTTTAATCATTTTTAAAGATGGTACTGATATTAGCACATAACTGACGATAAAACCTTTCACTTAAATTATACCTATGTATTAGGTAGGTATCTACTTGGTATAGTTTAAATTCAAAGTGCCTATGTACCATTATTTTAATTTAGTCACAAAGAATGATTGAAAATAGTTGAGATAATTAGATTCATTAAAATGTATGACACGTCCTAAATTATCTTGGGAGTAATTTACTTTAAAAGCAAAATAGCCTAACAAAAATATACCTAAATGACAATTATTTTTCTGATTTTATAATTTATATACACTGTGCAAAATATATAACAGATTATCAATATGAAGATAACAAGAAATGAGGTGAATTTTGATAAAACTATTTTGGAATAGTTTTTAAGCGGCCCAATGAAATATCGTAGTTATTTACATTCGGAGCAATGTAACGGTGGTGAAATGAAATTGCTACGATGAAGTAATATATGTTCGTAACAGTTGACTTTCGTAGCAACAGTGACTTCCCATAATAATAATTGTGTAGCAACTTAATAAATATGTACCAATGTGGATTAATCTTGATTTGTACGTTAAATAAAATTAATGACCAAGGTGGATGTGCACGTGAAGCCATCTTATTATTGACGACAATAAAATATCATTATTTATCTTTATCAATTATTCTGCAATCACTATGGTAACACGTGTTCTATTCTGTCCACGAAATAAAATATCTAAATTCGTGTTTCTGTCACAAAACGCTGTGTATAAATTTAATATGGGATGGCCCATTTGTGCTATTACTGATAATATAAACAGATCATGCGCGGTGAGTGGAGCATCATTTGAATATGCCTTAGATCAATGGTGCGCAACCTAGGGGACGCGAAGTTTTATTAGGGGGTCGCCAATAATTTAACACCAAAGGAAAAAGTTATAAGCTATATATATTATGTTATATATTTATTTAAGAGTAACAGTGTCAAATATCAAACCAAATATAGAATCAATCATATCTACAATGCAAGCTCAGGTCTCATTAAAATTATTGTCATGTAATACCTAGTATTAGTAGTATTAGTTTATAATATAAAATATATTAAAATATTGATTATAGTTATAATAATTTCAGTAATTTTTTTTATATTTTGGATTAATTAAGAAATATTAAAATTAACGATTTAATTTATATGAATACAATTTTTATAAACCATCAAGTATATCGTATATCACCAAATAGTCAAATCATCAAAATAAATAATTTTAGGGGTCGTAGATCACAAAAGGTTGCGCACCACTGCCTTAGATCATATACAATTGTATAATACGATCTAAGGAGTATGCTCGTACACCCGACACACAGGAAAACAGTGAATCCTTAAGATTAGTAAATGGCACAGATATACTTTACGTATAGTTTAGATCTTGGATCATATACAGTGTGTAGAGCTACTGCACGATAAACGCGTGCTACGAGTAAGACATCAATATTAACGAGTGTTAAGGCGAATGATTATTGCGCATACGCATCAGTACTCGTCACATAAGTATCGTATAATCATTATAATACCACTAGGCAGTGATGGTAAGTGCGTCACACGTGATTTCGACCAATTGCGCATGCGCATTTATCCCAATTCCCATGTTAGCTTTAAATATTAAGTCAATAGCAGCTATCCATTAAATACGATCTAAGGTGTATATATATTCTGTGGTACACGGTTATCTAATCACGAATTAATCGCGATTGTTAAAACTACTAAAAACAACCGAAGTGCTACAACCACGATCACGATTTAAGATACGACCACTTATCAGTTATGAGATCTTTCTTCGTGGCCACGATAAAGAAATACATATACATATCACAGATATATATATTATATTATATAATATCTGTGATACATATAAACTTATATATCTAATTGTGACCATAGGCCACAGCACGACGTACTCATAGATAAGTTGTACTGATTAGGGTTAATCACATGAAGTTACACATGATGGTGCCTAGGCGAAACCATGGTTTTGTCCTTCCAATTAATCGGGTAGTTATTATCCTTGAGGCGCCTACTCCCTTATATCAGGCATCCTGGTCGCCTACCCTGTACATAAACTATAGGATTGTGCTATGTGCTTTAGCAGCCAAGTGATTATTTAAGCCAAAAAAACAATTCAAGCAAATTGCTCAAAACTTGCATCATTAAAACATCCTTATTGTTATTAAAATTAATTTTATGGTGTATTGTTATTTAATTATAATACTTAAAAAACTGTTAGGATCTAGGACAATTAATCCTTACAAGGAATTGAAGTATCCAGACTATTGACTCCTGTTATTAAACAGGTATTTGGTCCCAGGCCTTACACTTATAAGATAATCAGATAATTTATATACAAAATAACATACCCTGACTGAATAATTCATCATTTAGCCGGGACGGCTAAAGCTACAGGTACAAAATTTGGTCAGCAGTTTCATTTTATGATGTAGAAATCCACTAAGAAAGGATTTTCTAAAATTCAACTCCTGAAAGAAGTTTAAAATAGAAAACTTTATTTCTTGGTCAGATTTTTCAAAAGGGATTAAAAAAGGCTTGAACCATTTAATTTAGTTAATCAAATTAAAAGTATTTTTTCCATAAAAAAATAATTGGTCATAGGAAAAAAAGGTCTAGATAAAAAAAAAACAAATTTATTATACACATTATTTTAGGTGAATTGTTTAAATAAATAGCATTTAGATTAAAAATCACTACAACATCTTATAATTATGTTTGAATAATATTTAGGCTCAACTATTTAATTTTGCACAATATAAAATGTATATTTAAATAAAGAAAATAGACTAAATAGGTACAAAAAAAAGTGTTAAGTAATATAAATTAATGGGAAATAATGGGGTAATAATTAAACTATTTAAGTTCTAAATCTGAACCTGTTAATATAATCACATAATTAAATAAAAATAATACTAGTAAACAAAATAATTAAGATAACATTTGTTTATGCAAACATGCAAAACACCGAAGCTATTTCATAAAATATCACAGCAATTAAAATGTTCTCTACCTTATGTAGATAACTATAATAACAATAATAATAATAGATTTAAATAGGTAGTGAAAATACTTTTTGTAGTACATCTTAATTTTTATTAATTTCAATAAAACACCAATAAACTCAATTATGAACAAAAAAATTTAATAATTAAGTTATGGAATTCAGTTTCTAAGATATTATTTAACTTGGCAGTATTGGAAATATAATAAATTCCTGTATTAACCGTATGACTGAACTGATATACAGATTAATTATATAATATAAATTGAAAAAATAAAATAGTTCATACTGCTGTTGGATGTGCTATTGTGATAAGTGGGAATTGAAAAGGTAGAATACATTGACTTAATCAATTTATATCTATATGCATCAACAAACTATTCCTAACGAGACATGATTCTAAGTAAAATTTGGTAATATAGTAAAACTTCCATGAACAGTCATTTTTTTTGATCCCGTCAAATGTTATGCCTTTAAAGGGTAGTCACCTTTAAATAGCAGTCATTTTTTTCAGTCCCTTTGGTGACTGTTATATAGAAGTTTTACTGTACATGTTTTGAAATGTCAAACTTTTAAGATTTCTAATTACATTTTAACTTAATATGCTTGTAAAAAAAAAGATCACTACATTAAGCTGAACTTATAATGAATCTTTTGTTCAATTTTCAAGCTTTTCTGTTTAGCCAAACCAATTCATCAATATAAAACTTAATAGAAACTAAAAAAACTTGAAAATATCATATAATTTCAATAGCTTAAAAATCCAAAATGTTTTGAAAATTGTACAGCATCTAGAAAAGACTAATGTAAAGATTCTATAAAAATGTCAGGTTTCTATGATTATAATAAAAATCAAATTCAAAAATAATAAAATTTGTTAATTTCGTTCACTTTCTCTTTTTTTTTTTTTAGAAAATTATACTGAAAATCAAAAAATGACTTTTCTAATGCACCAACTAAATCCAAAATACTACAAAAAGGTTTTATTGTAATTTTTCAATTGAAGAACAAATTCTACTTAGTTCCAAATAAGAAAACATTAGGTGGCGGGCAATAATTAGTCAAAACTCCCGCAGCCAACTAATGGTGATCAATCTTAGTGCCAATAGACTCAGCCTAAGGAGCAGGACATAACTCCGCAATACATTCTGATGTGCCGAGTGGTGCATTCTTATATGGAATGGAGTATAGTAAAAAATTTGTTTGCAGACAAAAAAGTAAAAATTATATATATTCCTTATTTCACTCAGAATCTAAAATAATATACATTATGATTATGTAAAATGTGGTTAAAACAACATAATATTAAGTAAAGATTAAAATAAGGTGTAAAGTAAATAGGTACAAATTAAATAATTAGTGGGACATAGATTGTATAAAGTTGTAAGTGGTATTATAAATTGCACAAAAATAAAAATGTATATTGACTAGAAAACATTTTTTTCAGTTGGGTTGAATAAAGTAACAATAAAAATTCTAAAAACAAAATATTTAACAATATTAAAATGAAGAGCACCATAAACTTCCAACCAAATTTAATATAGCTGATCATTTATATGCAGTCTTATAGTGTGTAACTTATGTCATTTAACTTCTTAATAGTTATTCACTTTTGATTAATATAAATGATTAATTATTTGATCCCCCTTTAGTTATTTACTACAAACTAAGAAGACAATACCCTTTTAAAGAAGATTATATCACTTATTGGTTATTATTGGGCTTAGTAGATTTTTTTCATTATTGTAAATTACAAACAGCAGATGTCCCAACTCGTTTGTTCATAGTTGCAGCTCGTCTTTTGATTGCTTCCAAGTAAACCTCACGATTAAATTGACCAGCAGCTAAAGGCATACTGAAACATATATATATTTTATATAATATTAATATGATATTATAGTTTAAACATTTTTTTTGAATTATTACGTATCAATGCCTGGGCGAATTGAACACTTATAAAGTCCCCAAACTGGTTTATGGTCAGACGTACATACTGATGGTACTGAACAGTATGTTAAACATTCAATATTCGATGTTATGGATGAAGATCCTGCAAACATTTTGTATACATAATTTTAAATTTCAATCAAATTTTAAACAAAATTTACCTGTAGGGCTAGGTAAAATTTGTTTTCCACATTTAAAAAGAATTCTATCTGTGTATGAAGGCGTTCTTTGTTTAGCAGATGTATCAAACATTTCAGTTCCTGGATCGTATTTATATGTTGGCGCAAAAGTTAGTGGGCCTTCTTGGAATCCTTTAAATACTGATCCTATAATTAATCAATTTATTTATTCAAATTAATTAACATATATCCAATATAACAGAATGAAATATTTTAAATTTTTAACTTTACTAACTCTTAACAGTAAATCCAACTTTTTTTTAAAGAAAATTTAAAATGTATAACGTTAGGAATAAAATGACAAAATTTAATGTAGAATTCACTAATTCAATTATTTTTAAAATAACGTGGCATAAAAATAGACCTAATTAAATAAACTTTATACTGGCACATCATAGGTATTTGTATAACATCACTATGCTCTTTATAAAGGATACTTCTCATGAATAGGCCACTGTTGTGTGTGGTATAATGGTAAGACATATAAGAGGATCTGATGATGTGTATACATAACAATAAATCATTGCTAACAAAAATTAGTTCAGAGAAAAGTTTATTTAATCATGATTTGAACCACTTTAATAAAAAAATATATTAATTTGCAAGTACAAAATAAATTATATTTGTCTGTGGTTTTTTATTTAAATGTTTGAATACAATTTTTACATAGCTGAAAAAGTTATATACACAAAACAGTATGTGAAATGATTATCAGATTATCATAATTTATGTATAAAATGTGAACTTAAATATATTTTTTTTTTACAAATTGTATTCACATAATAAAACCAAAAATGTCAAAGAACTATTAAAAACTCAATATTTGTTAACATATTTTAACAATAAAATTGTACAATGCTTGAACAAGGCTAATTTTTCTTTGAAAATGTCAGGTTTCTTAAAAAATTTTAATATTTTTATTTTACCCAATTATACTATAAAGAAAATCAAAAATATGAAATGAAAAATTAATTCCCCAATGTATGAACTAGACAACATTTGATAAATTGCTAATTTGCAAATTTTAATACAAGAGTGAGTTATTAAATAAAATATCATGGTGTTACATGGGAAAGTAATGAATAATTTTGGATAATTATATGGATGATTTTGGGGTCTGGGTTCCTCTATTTTTGCCTGATACTAAAGAACATGATTTTCTTTTATTAAAGTACTACAACTGATCTAAATAAATACAACAATTATTTAGCAATCACTACTTTTTATGAATTTGTGTACATTTTTAATAATAAAAACTAAATAATAAACATTACAATAAAATTAACTTACAGCAATATAACATAAAAAAGAACTTATTTACGATTTTTGTCAACAATTTATTTTGAAACTTAAATAAATAAATTTAAAAAATGTATGTATACATTTTTACTATATTTACTTACGAGTATTAATCATTTTAATAATTTTGTTATTACTTTATTATTTTATTATTAAAAAAAAATAGTTTTATGCCAACATTTTAAGAATCTTTTAATATTTAAAACTGAATTAGATCTACAATACATAATTTTTTTTTTTTTTAAATATTTTATAAACAATTCAAAACATTGTAACCTGTCAGTAATAATGCATTGCTGGGTTAAAAAATTAAAATTATTTTCTTACTTTTTCCAGTTTTTTTTATATTTTTCAGTATTGCTCAATTATTATTAAACAATTTCAAAAAAATTTAATAAATGACTCTTAGTCACAAATTAGATTAAAAATTCAACAAAACAGATCTCTTAAAGTCTTTTTATTGGAGCAATATTTATGGTGGAAAATATAGGCTGTACAAATATAATGTAATGAAATTGTTGTGCCATAATTTAAAAAAAATGTATATATTTTGTCTTTTTCTAATTATTATGAAAAATACTTTAGATATCACAAAATGTTTTTATCCATCAATGGCTATGTGTTAAAAGGAATAAAATCAATCTCTTGTTATTTTTGTATTGCAACAATATTTCTGGTATAAAACATTGTAAATACAATGAAAACGGTGATGCCGCGGCCCGCTGTAAATATTTGCCGTTTTACCTATATTTTTCTTTTAGGTTTTTCCCGTTTTTTTTTCGAAAACCCTTATTAAAATCAAAAAATGATCCCCCCAATGAACCAACTAGATAAAATTATCTTTCAGAAAAGGTGCTATGGTCTATAATTTGAAACAAGTTTTCTTAAAAACCAATAAAATTAATAAATGATACATTATTTAACTTACCACTTGAAATACAATCATTAAGTTGATCTGATAGTGATTGATGGGCAGACGAAACTAAGGGAAACCTATGCTGTGTTACCCATTTCATAACTTCGATTCGTGAATGAGCTAATCTAAAGTTTAAATCTCCACACCAAAATACGTAATCAAAGTTATTGGTAACATCTGAAAAAAATATATTAGTATTGATTTTGTAAATAAAAAATGAAGATTTAAAGATTAGCCTATACCTTTTGTTTTATGTTTAACAGGTAAAAGTTTTGGAAGCTCCAAAGATTTAATGATTCTACGTACATCTTGTAAACGTTCTTTAACTTTTTCAACATGTGCTGTTAAATGTGATGTTATAAACAAAATTGATGAACCAAATAGGGAAAAAGAAATTGCAACAGCGCCTTTTGTCCGAAATGCTGTTCCTGGTCTAGTACTAAAGCTTGATTCTTCCGGCACTAAAAAAATAAAAAACATTAATTATTTGTAATGAGATATTATAATTATAAAATATTACCAGAGCAAAACCAAATTAAATCTCTTCGAATATAAATAGCTAAATGTAATGTGCCTAAAGATGCAGAATGAAAAAGAATGTGTGATGGTCCTATAGTTTCTTGAATATTTACTTCCCATTCAAATTTATCAGGATAACTTTCTTGGGTACCTATAGCAAGAATATCTGGAAGGTGAGGAACTGTGTCAGGTAAGAGTAATTCATTTAATTCAGGCGGAGGTGCCTAAAAAAATTAATAATTATTATTATGTATTGGGTTCGATAAATTGGCTATACAAATATTTTATTTACTTGGCCATTCATGTTCCACGTGCCGATATATATACGAACTTCACGATTATGTAAAACTCTTTCCAGTTCCATTGCTCCTAATAAAGAATTTCCTGCAATACGCCCATGTAAATAGTTTCTATATAAATATGAAAAAAAAAATATATATATGCATAAATATATTCTGAATAAAAATTTAAATAAGTATATTTTGATATGTTTTACCGTTCTTTAACATCAGACGTAGGAATAAGATGTAATACTTGAACTGCAAATAAAGCTTGTCGGGCTAAACTGTCCATAGAGTTATTTTTATTTTCACTTTTTTTTAAATGGTCAGATGCTGTTAATGTAGTAGTAGATGATGGTCGACTTGACTTTAATTCTGTTGTATTTATATTTGAAGTTTTTGGAATAATAATACTATCTGCTGATACATGTTGTGCATTGCTAAATATTTTACGTAACCTGTCACATTTTTCCAAAGTAGGGGTCGGAGGATCATTTAGTTCTGTATCTTTATATTCTTCATTTACACAGTTAGTAGATGGATGTAAACCTAGACTCAGTGATCGTTTGTGAGAAGTATTGGGTTCTGCACAGGAACAAACATCAGGTTCACCTGAGTTTTGTTCATTTTGAAAGTCTGATGGTGTTTTTGTAGTCTCTGTAATTGCACAACATAAAGAAACATTAGTGCTTCTATTAAGCGGATTAGAAACATTACGATAAGGGCCATCTAATTGGTTTGATAGTATTTTAGATGTATCAACATCAGCGGTTGAAGACTTTTTTTTCTTCAAGTGTAATAAACTTAACAAGCTCAATTTTTGCTTGGGCGAATTATTGGATTTGTGCATCATTGTTAGTTGTTACTCACAGTTTGGTCATAACATAAAAATCGAGATCAATTTTCAGTAGTTTTGAAAAAGATGTATTAAAAATAATATAATGACTAGCAAAACACAATAATAAAATCATTATAAAATAATTTTAACAGTATGAGTAAAATTCGGTTACATTTAAATAGGTAATTGTGCCTAAGTGACGGACTATTGTACATAATTAAAAGTTATTTATTTGATTTAGCTTTAGACTTTAGTTTTCAGACGTTGTTTTATGATAAATTGATAAGGATTCACAGTCTTCAACCAAAAAATGGGTAGAATGGCTTCAACCATAGATACATTAATAAACGAAGAAGTCATGGAAGAAATGATTCAATATTTTAGACCCGGTATGCATACGAATAATAAATGAATACAATATATTTTCTTAATTTATGTCCATACATAAACATATTATTATCTATCTAGATATTACATATGAATGGTTTAGTTTCAAAATGGATAATCTCTAATTTTCATGAAAAATGAGATAAATGTCGTTTCATATTATGCAATTTTCAGCGCTGAATTCGAATAACTCACTATCAACTTAAATGTGTTAAACTTAAACTCGTGTATTTTTAAGCATGAAAATTACATTAGTTTTAAAACGTACAATATTCTTTAACAAGAATGATTAGGCTTAGCAAGATGTATTAATATGAATCAAGGTCTTAGAAAATAAGACGATTTTAATAAGAATAAGATAATCTCAAAGACAGTGATATCAATATACCTTGGGCCGTGGTTTATGGTATGTTTATTATTACTATTATGATAATATTCTCGGACATTATCGATGTTATAAAAAAAATAAACAAATTGTAAATATTAATTTTACTCATTGTATTATATATGGAAACCGTATAAATTGTAATTTTTCAAAATAAAACTATTTTTCTAAAAATAGTAAAAGGTTAGAAAAAAACATAATATAATATTACATCTTTTACCATTAGGCATTAATAGATAACAAGGTGACAATTAATTTACTTTTAATTTAAAGTATTTTTTTATTTTTAATATTTTTAAATATTACCTTCAAGTTATTAAAATAACTGTAATCAATAATTATTAACGTTTTTAGTAAACCTTTAACTAAATAAAAAGAAGATAAAGACATCTTAAAGTATTGAAATTATTTTCAAAGCGAGCAATATTCAATTGTTAGCTTCGTACTATACAATCTCCAAACAAAATCTTGTAAAACCAAGGCAGTCTTGTAATTTTAATCAAAAAATTGGTAAATCATCTTTCCATAACTATATGAATAGGTTTAAAAAAGTCGGACAACTTCGTGAATGCAGCAACTGTTGTAGTTGAGAAGTTGGGAAGGTACTTATTAGAGGGAAAATTGATTATACATCTGCAAGCAACGATAAACCATTGCCAAAGAAAAAACGATTCTGAACAGTTCAATTGATAGTGTAGATGTTTTGCTAATAATATATATGCCATAGTAAATTAACAACATTGACATTGTGGGGAGGGGGAGGGGGGTCCATGGGGTCCGGACCTCTCTCGTTGACTCGTACGTGTTAAATTTTGTGTTTCTACATGATTACCAAAAACAAATTTTATCATACGATAAGAAGCATTTTGTAAAATATTTTCGAGGTTTTAGTTATCAATTTGGTTAAAAAATGGAAAAATACTGAGTTATCGGTTATTGGACAAACCCTTTGCTCTTATACAAATTTATTTATTTTAGATCCAATCAGTTGAATGGGATAATTCTTTTATAGAATTAAACATCTGAAAGTTAAAATAACCAATAGAGATGTCAATAATAAAAGTGGATTAGACGCATTTATAAGCTGTTCGAAGACAGACTATAGATTTTCCAATCAAACATTATTTAATTCAAATTTGTAGTAAATTTTCAGTATCTACAGCTACTCTAGAAAGATCTTTTTCAATTTTAAAAAGGTTAAAAACTTATCTTAGTTCAACTATGAATGAAGTAATGTATTTAGGAAATGTTTATTATAAAAGTTATAACTTAATTATATTTTAAATTTGTTATGTAATTAGGATAGGCCAAATGGACTGGCATTGGTGTAAATTCATCGAGACATACCCTCAATGTGGATGCTATTATTGATGAAATAGCACTTAAATTTTGTTTTGTAATCATAAAATAAAATGTTATGTAATTCGTTTTTGTAGATAGGTAATTTTTAATATTATCTTAACCTAAATGTTTCTATTTTCTATTTAGTGTAATTTCTAAGTTGCCATGGAACTTATTGTATTACAAAAATTTTACACCGACTTGAAGCCCCCACGGCTCTGTATTCTGAAAATTGTCTGGATCCTTCCTATGACAAATTCCTAAATATCCCACTGTTGCGGATATATATATAATGTTTATGGATGTAATATCTATATAAATAGTCTTATTTGTTCTTCGGAATTATTATTTCCGATTGGTATTAATACACAAATTCATCGATTAAGAAATTGCAACTTATTTCATATTCCTCTTTATAGAAACAATTATACTTCCATCTTAATTTTCCCTAAGTTCTGTTTGGCGAATATTATTATGCACTATATTGATTTTTGTTTATTTCGCGAAATATGTTCAAACAGATTATTTATATTACCCTAAATTTACTTGGTAAATTAACGTTTTTTGAGTTATTAACATATTTTAGCTACTTCAGTTACTATTTATTATTAATTTAATAATTTATATTGTTTCTTATTGTATCTATATACATACAGTCAAGTTAGGATCTCGAAAAACTTGAACTCGATTTTTTTTATTCCCCTAGAAATTCTCATAAAACTCAATGTGTCTTGTTAACTATAAAATTGTGATAAATAGCTTAGTCGAAGAATATTACATATTATACAAATATATTATTTTGTACATTTTCCCGTTTTCTGCATTTAATGTGAAAATTGAAAAATGACCTCCCTATACCGATTTTTTTCTACTGTATCTAATAAGTAATACATACATATATACTTTTAATACCATTGTATCTATTTTAGTTTTTGTACAACATTGATGTATATATTTATCATAGCGTTTTCAATCGTAAAATGTTAAAATTATATTTCATTATGTTACTCGAAGTTTGATTTATTTTGATAAATTTGAGTGATATATGTCAAAGTGAATTTTTATCCCCCTTCAACTTTCGAGTTATCGCGACTCGACTGTATATTATATAAGCTATCAAATTGGGCTTATCAAAGTTACCCTACTTATAGTATAACTTTGATAATTTTTTCATTTACAAATTTCCAAGGTAATGTTAAAAAAAAAAAAATAAATTGGTAAACACTTTTTGAAAAGCTTTATTTTCTAATGATTTATAAACACAAAACTAAAAATTATATCAATAATACCCTCATTTTACGGTTCCAACGAAATACAATTAAAATAAATTATTTTTTAAACTATACTTTTCACAAAAATAGAATTCCAAGCAAATATTATTCAACTAAATAAAGCCCTCCAAAATCAATGTCATGCTTTTTAAAATACTAAAAGTCAAAAACTAAATAAAATCGTCAAATTATGATTTCAACATTATTTTTTTTTAGTAATTTTATACGGACTTCAAAATAAAGAGTGAAAAATCACACTAAAAATATTATGAAGCCTATAAGTTTTTATAAATAAAAAATTGCATGGAGGTGCTAAACATGATTTATACTAAAAAAGTATTTTTTCTCTGACAGTTATTCATAATACTTTAGGTGTGATGCCATCTTTTATAATCATGGCAGTTGCCTTTATATTAGATGCAATATGGCCAATATTGGAGCAAAGATTCTAGAGCTAAACAAATGATTGTTATTTGTTGATAATAATTACAATTTTGATTTATTAATAATGAACTCAATTTTATATAAGGTAAAATGCAGATGTAAAAATCCTAAAATGACCGGATTATTAAAATGGCTGAGATTTATTGTTAATACCAGAATGACATACATTTTATAGTATAAACAACTATAATATACAATTTTCAATGACTACAGTAATTTAGTCTTTTTAATATTTTAGAAACTGTGTTATATTATATTTTATAAACATTCCATTAATTTTATTGCAATGTCCAATTTATTTTTATGAATTACCAAAATGTATCATATTAAAATCATATAAAAATACCCATTAAAAATAATATTATTTGTGATACAATTTTTTGAAATTACTATAATATAACAGATAGTTCCTTTGTAAATTTAATAATTTAAATATTAAATCCAAAATTGTAGACATAGCACATTTGTAAAATTGTTAACTTTAACATAAGTTTAACATAAAATTTAATATAAGTTAGAACTTTAATTAAAAATTATATTCTTACATTATGTAATAATTGCTTAAAATTATTTAACAAAAGTAAGTTTCAATAGGTTCATTAACATATTTTTCCATTTGTTGAATAGCTTTCCGAGTTTTTTGCTCTATGACTTCCTGTTCATCTTCCATTAGTTCAGCTAAAAATGGAATTGAATCTGGTAGTAATGGCAAGTAATTTTCTCCTAGTCTCTCTGCTATAGCTAATGTTGTATCAACACATACTGATCGGACTTCGGGTAAACGATGTCTAGCTTTAAGCATTATTTGACAATTTATATCCTTCCATAAGGTATCATCTGTTACAGCAGCTATTAAATTTGATATACACGGTATTATATAATCTTGACATACATTGTTATAATTTTCTAAGTCCACCGCTTCCAAAAGATCAACTAGTGGTTTCATAATAATTTCAAAACGTTCTTTGGTAGTAAAATTAATCGTATCATATTTAAATACATTTTCCAGAGTTGATACAATATATTTTATCAACGTGGTTTTTTCATTTAATTTATTAGATTTACATTGTTTCAAAATTGAGTTTGCAGTTGGTATTAAGTTTCCCGCAAATAAAAGATATAAGCCTTTAAGATCATTAGATAAGGTTTTTAGAAGATTAAAATAGATTAATACCCGTACATCATTATTTGCACCATTTTTCCATTCGTGTAGTTTATGATAAAATGTACGGAATGTCGATTCAGAGCATTTCAACGCCACTTCACTAATTGCAGATATTACTGAAATTTCTAAAGTTCTTGTTTCTTTATTTTCGTTTTGGTGAGTAAAACAACAAAAATCTAAGGACTTTAACAAGAATGAAGTAAACTCTTCAGTCATTGCATTTTTAAAACTATTTTTTACAATGTTCAATACATATTGGAATGCTGTAAATTTTAAGTTTTTAATAATTTCTGCTAAAGTATTACTACAAGCTGGTTCTAATATTCTTCCGGGTATTTCAGACAATTTTTCACTTAATTGCTGAAATTTGGTTTTTATTATAGATCTGTAGTTATCATTTTCATTTGATGAGTTGTTATCACAAGTAGTTGATAATAATGCTAATTCATATATTAAAGGTACTAAGTAAGGACTTAGGAAGTTTTTTAGTTCTGATATTATTCTTAGTAAACCGGTCAATATACTTGGTAATAAAGCACCATCAGCCATAACGCTAATGCCATTAAGTTTATGAAGAACAGAAATAACAGTTGGTATTATCAATCCAAAACTTGAAATAGCTTTAGTTTTTAAACTATATACTAACTCTGCAATACATAGCACAAATGTCCCAAGTAATGGACCGATAGATACATCTTGTACAGATTTTGTTATCTTCTGAAGAATACCTTGGAATACGTTAATATTTTCATTGATATTAGAGCACTTTGTGACTAATGTAATGGAAATAAGAGCAGTTTGTTTAACATTTAAATCTTCTTTTGTATTAACGTTGGACATATTAGCTATTTCTGACAAAGGTTCAAGTAACTTTAATGTTTGATCTTTGGTTAATAACTTTGATTCTAATAATCTTTTGTTCAATAAATCCATAGTTCTGTGTTGTGTAGACTTAAGATCGACAAATGTCAATATGTAATTTATAGCATCAACAAATATATCTAATGGAAGTAAAGCATTTACTTTGTCCAAAATGCTGTAATATTTGATAGGCATAAAGTTTTTTGAGTAAGTATTATTACCTTGATGTTGAACAAACCATAAAGTATTTTTTATTATTTCGGTAAAACCTTCTTTTAATATATTATTAGATGTACAATACATTACTTTAGATACAAATGTGTAAGATGATAATAAATTGGTTAAAAAAGATACCAAACAGTATTTTAATTTATGCAATTTGTTTGCTGAAAAGTTTGAAATGTCAATTAATGTTGCTTGATCAGGTTCTCCTTTTTTAAGTTCCAAAAATTTACAGTAATTTAATATATTGTTACAAGTATCAAGTAATACATTTATTGGGCATTCTGCACAGATATCAAGGCAAATAGTATCACTGGACACTTTATTTTTTATATCTATTGTTCCAAATTTATATTCTTTGTGAACTAGAACAATTAGTTCCCATAAATAACTATTGGTGTTTAATGCTTGAACAAGGTATCTTAATAATGTTCCTCGTCTATGCTCTGGTATATCCAAAATACTACGGGCAAACACTGATAACGCTTTTCTAGTCACAACTTGTCCTTCTTTCAATAAAATAGGAATTATAGTATTTAACACTTTACAAGTAATTTTAAACGTATACTCATCATCTTGGCGCATAACAGAATTTCCCATAAATGTAAATATGGTCATTACATGTAAAATAATTTGGTCTGGAACCATTTGAGCACAGTTTGATAACAGAATTAATGCATGGTGTTGAGTTTGTTGGTTTAGAGATAAACGCATAGTTGAAACAATTAATTCTAAATTAAGATGATCAGAAACTTTAGATTTTTCTGAATCGTTTTTAGTCATTGTACAACAATTTAAAATACAACTCAAACATAATTGTTTAGTGTATTCTAATAAACTTGACTGATCTTCAAACTCTAAACACTTTTTTAGTATATGGAATAAAACTGGAGTCAATAGAGTGACATTTTCTAAACTGTTTTTATTTTGAATCAATTCTAATAAAGCAATACCATTTTTCCATCGTACACTATTCGGTGAGTCATCATACATCTTTTCAAGATGTGAAATAAACATAACACTGTCAAAACTAACTTCATGAATAAAACTTTTAATGGCGTCGATGATATCATTATCTTCAACTTTTGCTTGTAAATCGAGTAAGGTTTTTATCAGGTTTAATTTAAAATTGTCAGACATTGTGTTAAACATTTCTGTTGTTAAATTTTGAACAAAAATTGTTACTGGACTAATCAATTTTCCAGTACCAAAATTTAACAAAGGGGTAGTTTCCTTTAAATATTTTTCACATATAGGCCATATTACAATCCAGTCTATAACATTTGGATGTAGTTTGTTGAGAGCAAATTTTAAAATATGTGATTCGGCTATATCAATTTTTGATTTTTGTATTAATTCTAGTCCATGTGATATTACATTTAAACACACATTAGATGAATTCAGTGCTGATAAAACATCGAACATTTTAAGGCGTAACGTAGATGATATATCAAAATTACACGCAGTTTTAAATAGATTGTCCAATGTATTTTTAGCCTCAATATTATCAGATTGTAGAACAAACATTAAAACAATTCGAATTTGGTCATTATCTATAAGAATATCTTGACGCTTTATAAGAATATGTTTTATTAGCCACAGGTAAGATAAAGAATTGGTTTCTTTGTATTTTTTTATAAATTTTTTAAAACAAGTTATTGTTGTTCTTCTAACATTCTGTTTATCGCAAGCCAAACAACTTAATAATGTTGGAATTATGATGTTGTCAGAGGTTAATAATATTAAAAAATCAAAATTTTTCTTAATAAGTGATTTTATAAAATTACACAGATGTGTAATTGTAATGTTTTCCATCCAGAAACTTTCACAATAAGCTCGAAGACGTTCATCATCACTTGAGTACTGTTTAGTGAATATATTATTAGTGATATTATTTTCAATTTCCATTTTATTGTTTTCCGGTTCGTCAATAATTGTATCTACTTCCATTTGTTCATCATCATTTAATGTCGTATCATCAGCATTTAATGTACTTATAAACTCATTATTATCTATATTCTGAGAATTATGTAACATCTTCATTGAATTCTTCCATGATTTGTTGTATTTATTTTTAATATTCTTAGCTACTTCTACATACCATGGCTCATCTATAGCAGAGTCCATTATTAGTTTTACCAATTCAATTGTGTAATTATCTTCTTTTAAATCTATACAATTTATTAAATCTAAAACAAATGAATAAATAGATTTTTCTTTACGTAAGAGTACCAAGCTATCTCGAACTGTTAATAAATAAAATATGCTTTTATCATATTTTAAAAGTTTTTTAAACGCATCAATTTGCAAATCAGAATTTTCAGCCATATACTTAATGCAAGAGTTTGGAATTTTGACATTTGATGAATTTCTAGTCGATTTATATATTACACTTAGTAATAAGGTACAATTATAGTATAAAGATTCATGTTTAACAAATAAAATTTTTTTAACTAAACTTAATTGCAATTTTTCAGTATATGTTATATACTTCGACATAACACCAATAACTATAAGGGAAGAAACTGTGAATGGCCGTGCATCAGATTCTAATCCAGTAATCATTGATGGCAGAAATATTGTCACTAAATTGTTCTTTGAAATGGAAGACGATGAAAATGCGGCAACTAAAAGTTTGGCATAAAAGTTAGTCCAAACTGTTACTAATTCCTCATTGACTTTATGTTCATTAATTACCTTGATGATAAGTGAACATATCAGCTTTAATAATCTAGTATCATTGATTGCTTCTGCAATAAAACTTTGTTCATTAATTTGAACACCAGTTTTTCTCGATCTGGTTAACCACCACCAATTTTTGGCAACTTCAGGGTTATTTTTAAGAGGAATTACTTGTATTAATCTTGTAAACACCTGGGTTGAAATATATGGTAGGGCATAGCCGAGCAAAATGTCAGTATTGTACTGTTCAATATTAAACCGATGTACTAACCACTCAAGGGCATATAATGCTGGTTTTGAGTTAAAATAAGGAGATAACAAACACAAAAATTCTTCTATCAAAGCATCAATTTTTTGGTTTTCAGATATACTCAAAATTGCTCTTTGCTTAGTCTGCCATGAACTATTATATAATGTTGACTCAAATTTAATAAATTTTTTATTGATATCACTTAGCTCCTTGAGACCTTTGAGTCCAACTTCAAAGAATGCTGATAAATCATGATTTCCAATATCTTTTGGTTGAATGAGAAGAGATGTTTTTTTGTAACCTAAACTTAGTATTGATGTTTGAGGAGCACTCAATTTTTGTAACTGTTTGGCAAGAGATGTGGAGGCCATATTTTAAATAAATAAAAGTGTCTGTATAATAAAAATTGTTAAATTACTTACAAAATAAATGATTAAAAGAATTTCATTCTATATGTATTATCCAGTATGCAATTTCATAATTTAATACCTGAAATTAAAAACGTAAGAATGGATTAGTACAATGCTTGTATAGTATGAAAGAGATAAATAAAAACATTTCAAAATAACTTTTTTTTGTATGAACAATATAAATTTCCTTTAATAATAATATTAGGGTATATGTTTAAATATTACCATATACATTAACTATGCATATCAATATTCTAATTGTTGAGCTACCAGTTTTAGCTTAAAGTTCTTAAATAAAAAAAAACTTATTTCTATGGCATTAAAATATTTAAGTCAAACAAGGAATTCATTGTGAGTGATAGACATTGCAGTAAATATTGTAAATATTTGTAACTGTGTAAAATTTCAAAAACAATAAATTGTTTTATTATTATTAAATACACTGCCGCTTAGGCCATACTCAAACAAGGTCTGTAAACTAGATAACAAATCTCGGATAATATAGCACTAAAAATTAATAAAATAAATGTTATAATATGCCCTTATATATTACACGTTTTTAGGGAAACATCGAAAAAAAAAAAATTTATAATTTTTAGATTTTGATATAGTTATAATATGATAATATCTATGTGCTATGTTCATTAAAGAATTAATGAGAAATACAAAATATAACCTTCCATATGTTACCTACTATGAATTATTTATTTAAGTAATACTTGCCATTTGATTATTGGTAGTTACTAGAGACCAGATTTATATTCTTTTATAATCTACAAAAAGGTGCTTTAAAACATTAAAATATCTCTGAAAAAAAAAAACACTTACAAATATTTAAAAAAGCAAAAATGATAGAGGAATTCAAAATTGTAAGCAGTGTGGTTAAAATCCCAGCAAATTGTAAAAAGTTTAGATGAAAACACAAAAAACATTTTATCCAATCTAGGAAATTTAAATACAGAGAATATTAAATCAATAAAATAATAGTCTTAGAAAAACAAAGATTAAAAAAGAGAGAGATCTTAACCATGGTTGCCACAGACTTTTTTTATGTTTTCAAAGATTTTTTTTTAAATTTTCCATACCCACTATTAAAATTAAATCTCAATATAAGTTAAAATTTTGAACTAGGACTTCTCCAGGGAAAATGGTAAAACGACCTCTTTTAAGTACCTTCCCAGTGAATTCATTAAATTGTATAACTGGCAAAATTTTTTGCATGGCTGTGAACCTATTAAAGAAAAGAAAATGTTATCAATCAGGTACCAAAGACCTACAGATTGTTCAATCTGGTCCTGAATACTATACCTACCCAGGTATATTGTGGTATATGACATTTGTAAATGGGAAACATTTCAAGTTTTTTTTTTTAATATAAAATCATTCAAAATACCTACATCTTACATGATTTACAATTTAAAAAACCTACTGTGACAATGAAAACACTCCTAAACATAGATTTGTCAAAAATATAAACTAAAAAAACCAACTATTTAATGAAACATTGAGAATTAATACAATATTTTTCTTTACAAAATTGGAGGTTATAATATAACCCCTTAAAAACTATATTATAGCTTTCAAATTTTTTTTTTTTTTTTTTATAAAGGATTTTGTTTCTTTTGAAAAATTGAGTTTTAGCACACAGGTAGTTTATTGTGTCATATAAATTGACCTATACAATAGATATATTCGTTTTAGAAAAAAAAAAACCTCTTGACGAAAAACCGCATAAGGGAAAAAAAGTCCAGACATAGCAAAAGGAAGCCCTGACGAAGGACAGAAATATTTATTTGGTATTTACCTACTACAATAACTGCAATCAACTAATCTTACAATAATAGATATGGATAAATTGACTATAAAAATACTAAAGTTATTATTTAAAAACTCAGAGTCCAAATATACAATAAAACATATATATTTGGTATCTTGGGACTTTGTTATCCTAAATTCACATGTATCATTTATGGACGTAGATGGTAAATTACTAATCAGAATCATCATAAATATTACACAAGAATGAATACTTAACACTAAAATATATGTATATTATTTTCTTAATACATAAGTATCTGTGAGATAATTTGACTTAAAACAATATATTTGCAATATCCATCTAAAACACAAACCCTGTCAACTCACAACAGAATAACATTAGAAAGTGAAACATTTATATATATTAGTAAATTGTAGCAAATCAACAAATCTGGGAGATCACAACTGCATTGAAAAGTAACTGCTTCCGCTGACAACTACCTCAAAATCAAACATTTGGATATTATTAAAATAGTTGTCTAGAACATTTATTTTTATAATAAACAATGTAAAGGATCACATCTGTACTGACAAGTAACTGCTTCATTATCTTTTGACAACTACCTCGATTCTTATAAACACTTGGTAGTTTATAAATGAGAATAAAAAACAATTTAAATTTAAAAATTTGATAAAAGTTAAAATACTAGTAAATTCTTCGCTGCTAGGTGTTTGCCATTTTTACCCTTTAACCACCCTTATGGATTGAGTTTTCAAAAATCTTTTCTGCCTATTTGTATGCCAAATTCCAGAAAAAAATATTAGAGAAAATTGTTATTCATGACATTTTACTGTCAGTGTAATATAGTATCTAGATTGTTGTTTTCCTGGTTATATAGTTTATGTCGCAAATATTATTATTAAGAAAACAGTAGCTGATAGTATATGGTCAAGACAATAAATAACTGATCCAAAATATTCGAGGTTATTGTTAATCATGACATTTTACTATAAATACTGTTGTAGCATCCCATTTCTATATATTTCTACATATCTAAGTGGCCTTAAACAACCATATTTAATGCATATTAAATAGATAGGTATTTAGAATTTTTAAATATAGTGGGCAAATATTTTTAACTAAATAAAATATTTATCCTAGATTAACTGAAGATTAAAAAAAAATTAAATACGCTTGGATTAAGAAAAAATTGTTCACGACTACAAGAGATTTCCTAATATCCAGATTTCAAATGTTATAATTTATTGATTTGGTTTTTAGAGAATGAAACATAATTAAAATAATTATTTATAGATAATTAATACTTACATATAATAAACAGTAGTAGTTACTGCATTTTATTAAAAAAGGTACATAAAGTATGAACACAATAGAATCAGAATAATTCTGGTTTTTCAAATAAAAATACCACGTGACAATTATTTGTACGAAGAAAACCTTAATCAATTATGTTTATGTGATAATGTTATCAAAACTATTAAGTAAAAACCACGAACTAAGATGTCTTAGCTCGTGATAACAACCAACCTTTCAAAATATATAGATTAAATCATGGTCTTTGAAGATAAGGTCGGACAACTTCCTGTCCACGGTCTTATCAATATTTCTTTCTAATGAGGAGAAACATTATTCATATCGCCGCAAAAGTGCTGCCATTTAGACGTATTTTGAAGTAAGAAAATAGAAATGTTGGATGGTAATAATCATAGAACAGTGGTTTTCAAAGTGGGAGCATTCACTAAGTGTGCCGCGGTCTTTTAAAATTTGTTTTACCTACTTAACTTGTGACGGATCACTGATTACGGTGATCCGCTCGTTAAGTATCATAGACATATAATATAATGTACTAGGAACGTGCACAGAGATAACAAAGTGAAACCATACAACGAAATACGCGATTTTTATAATGAATGTAACAACCGAACTGAATTGAATCTTATGTTTCCCACTTCCCAAACGGTTCGCGATTTGTTCACGTATAACATAAATTGTATGGTGATCGTGGTTCAGTCTTTCAGTGTGATCTACATTGTTAATTTTTAAAAAAAATCAGGTATTTCAAGTATTAATACAACTATTACTTTTTGATTTATTTTCTGTTTATTTTTAATTTATTTATTTTCTATGCCTAGACCCTATTACTTAAGAACAGGTGCGGCCAAACTTTTTTTCGGTAGAGATCTACAAAGTTTTCCTTTGCGGATCCACTTCCATACATAAATTTACAATTATTAATTATTTTAATATTTATTCGTATGGCAAAACAGAAAACAAGTAATAATGCTTATAATAATTATAACAATTAATAAAATAGAACATTGATAAGGCTATATCAGTAAAATAATAAGCATATAATGACCCTAATAACAATGTTTATATATGTAACATTTTACTAGAAACCAATTTATTTCCTTTTGGATGTTGGCTATAATTTGATGACGACATTTCGTATCCATTCTATAGCTACCCTTGAGGCATTAAACATATCTTCGGGTTCGCCGTCAAATTTCCGAATGGGGCATTCAGTTAATATATGCGATATTGTCTGGTGTGGATAGCCGCATTCGCAGTTCGCTGTTGGAACTGCGTTCCATTTGTGCGTCAGGTAGCAACACCTACCATATCCTGTGTAAATGCGATTTACGATAGTCCATTCTTTCCTGGAGAGATTGTATCCAGGAGGTTTGTTTGTAGGCTCTTTTTGGTAATTTTGTTCATCCAGTTTTGAAGTTTCTCATTCTTTTTTTCATGTCTCGTTTTTATTGAAGTACGTGTAGTTAAGTGCCAGAGGCGTATTTATGGGGGAGGGGTTGAGTGGGCTTCAGCCCCCCCCCCTCCCGAAGTTTTAAGAAAATCTAAAAAATATTTTCATGGTTTATGAAAGTCACTGCAAAAGTCTTAAATTTTATTTTAAATTCATATTTTTATTTTGTTTGCTTATCTTATCGGTCATGGACAAAACTTTAACACGGGGGGGGGGGTCGAGAGGTAATACTGGGAATCATAGGTACTAATAATAAGCTTGTCGATAACGATCAGCTAGCACAATATGGCAAAATTCCTAATTATTAAAGTAGGAACCACACAAATAATTTTATCATTAAATTTACTATTTAAAGTATGTACAGACGTACAGTTCATCACAATTTAGCCTTAGTGTTTGTTTACTGTTTATACTTAACTGAGTTTGTGTTGTTAAAAATTTTAAAAATGGACAAATTTATCATTCAAATAACGAAGGTAAGTCAATAAAATACAATGAAAATATAACGTTAATTTTGAATAAAACGAAAGATAGTATTAAATACAGCTTGATATAACACGAACCAAAGATATATCAGTTAATCGAAAAAAAATGAAACCAATTATTCAGACTATCAGGTTTTGTGGAAGACAGCCAATAGGTTTACAAGGACATGAGAATTGGGGGCGTATAACGATGGATGAACCGAACAAAAATGATGGTAATTTTCGTAGTCTTTTACGGTACTGTGCCAATAGTGGTGATGTTATTTTAAAAGAATATCTTGAGACTTCATATTCCAGAGAATTATATACCAGTCCTATAATATAAAATTAAATAATTACAATATTTGGAGAACTTATTTAATCTCACTTAGCAAATGAAATTTCCAAAGCAGAATTTTCTACAGTTCTTGCAGATTAAACTACAAACATTGCTCAGATAGAACAGTTTTTTTTATGTATAAGATATTTCGATGAAACCCTAATAAAAATCAGGGAAGATTAACTTACATTTGATCCAGTTAAGGATGTTACTGGTTTAGGGCTGGTTACTACATTACAAAATGCATTAGAAAAACTTAGCTTTAATCTAGATAAATTACGCGGGCAAGGATACGATGGTGCTGCAGCGATGAGGGGTAGCTTTCGTGGAGTTCAAGTTATTATTAAAGAAAAATACCCAAAAGCATTGTATACCCATTGCGTTTCTTATTGGCTGAATCTTTGTTTATCAGATGCAACAAAAATATAAGATATTAGACATGTTTTTGGGGTGATATTTGATTGTTGCTCATTTTTTAATTGCTTAGCTAAGTGAACTACTATTTTAAAAACAAAATTTTGGAAATAAAACCAAATGTTCAGGTTACAAAGTTAGAATCACTGTGTGAAACAAGATGGGATTTACGTCATGAATTGGTTTTGATTTTTAAAGAATTTTTAGAGTCCACTGTTGCTGCATTGGAACAATTACAAACTGAAGGTGCACGCGGAACTGACTTAACTAGAACTAACGGTATGTTAAACTGCATATATAATTTTAATTTTATTGTAGCAGTCAATATTTCTAGTAAGTTATTAAGATATACATATAATTTGTCACAATAATTACAAAAGTCAAATTTAGATTTATCTGCAGTTCATAAACCAATAGAAACGATAACATTAACATTTCAAAAAATGAGAGAAAATTGTTCAGATGTATTTGGTGATATTTACAATGAATCAAAAGCGATTGCAACATTATTAAATGCCGATGAACAAAAAATCACACTTATGTGTTAATCAAAGAAATCGTTCAAATATTCCACATTTTTCTACTGAAGAATACTATGAAAACTATTTTTATCTTCTACTTGGATGATTTAATATCATCTTTTAATCGTTTTATGCCTTAAAGAGAAACTATTATTTCGTTTCAGTATATTTTACATTTTTTTTTTTATATAAATAAATCATTTTTATTTATTCATAAAGCAGTTGATTTTTATATGGATGATTGGCCAGGTTATAAAGATTCAGTTGAGGCGAGTACGATTTATGGATCAGTAGAACCATCATCAAGACCTTCCACCTCCACAGAATTTTTTGTGATGAAACATTATATCCTAATCTCTACCAACTGCTGAAAATACTTGTCATACTTCCCGTGTCAACTGTATCTGCTGAACGCAGTTTTTTAACACTGTGAAAGTTAAAAACATATTTGAGAAACTCAACTTCGGAGAATCATCTCGTTGGTTTATTGAATATATTTAGAAGACATATTTTTATCTCAAATTATATGGTTTTAGATAAGTTGGTTAATAGTGGACGAGCCAAACGTTTAAAATTCATTATTTAGTACCAAATACATTATAATTATTAAACATTGTGATTATTAAATCATTAAATATATTTATTTTTTATACTATTTTATGTATGTATGTGTTTATAAATTTTGATTAACCCCTCCTGAAATAAAATACGCGCCTGTTAATTGCGATGGTAGATTTCTATGGTAGATTGCGTGATTTAAGTATTGGTGAGTTCTGGAGGGATTTCGTGAAAGTGTGTGTAGGCAGGCTTAGATTGGAGTTGCACTTTATCTATTCCTTTAACAACGCATTTCTACCTTGAAGGTGTAATGGAGCTATAGTTTAGGACAGGTAGCCATTGGAGAGGAGTAGACTTTATTGTGCCAATAATAATTTCCATGCAGCGATTGAGTTGAACATCAATCTTTTTTGTGTGTGCTCTATTTAGCCATATTGGTGAGCAGTATTCGGCGGCTGAGTACACTAAACTAACAGCAGAGGTTCTAAATGAAATAAAATCGGCGCCCCAGTTTGTACCCGTGAGCTTTTGTACTATGTTTTTGCGAGAACAAATTTTCGCTGCTTAATTGGATAATTGTGTCTTATATGTGAGAGTTCTATCTAGCGTAATTTCTAGGTATTTAAGGAAGGGATTATGTTGAACGCTATTTCCGCAGAAGTAATGTTTAGGCTTTGGTTAACCGATTTGTTGTTTGTGGTAAAAAAGGGAAGACTCAGTTTTGTCAGGATTCGACCGAAGTCACCATTGTTTTAAGTAGTCTTCTAGTGTTTATAAATCTTTGTCGAGTACTGTTTCGCAATCTTTAAGCTTATTAACTGATTCTCTTAACATATCACACATTGACATGTTTGGCAGGTCGCTAGTATATAAGTTGAAAAGGATCGGGGTATGGACTGATCCTTGAGGTAGGCCGTTGTTTAGTCTACATTATCTGCTTATTTTATTATCTACGCAAACTACGAACTGTCGGTTGCTAAGTATTTTGTTGACAAGGTCGTTTTACATGGAATTACTTTCAAGAATTTGAGGAGTAAGCGAGTTTATCATACCGTGTCGTACGCCGTAGTGAGGTTAATGAATGTAGCCGTAATTTTCTAGTCTAGTTTTCTCAATAGGAACTAAGCTTTTCTGCTGGAGTGATTGAAGTCTAGTTCTTCAACTGTACTTATCTATCGTTTGTGGCGAGAACTATTTAGGGAATCTAAGGTTTTTTAGCAATATTATCCGGTGATCTCTGATAGGTGTTAAAGATTGTAGTAGAATCTTTGTTCTAACATGTTATATATTGTCTTCTGTAGTCTCTAGGAATATTTTTTTTTGCTGTAGATATTATTATGCCTAAAAAACAATCGTAGTTTTTTATTTCTGAGGGAATCCAGTGGTTGTTGTCATCTAGTTGAATAGTGAATTTGGCCCAATTCATTTTTCTAAAATTCTATCTCGGTTTTGGCACTGAAAATTTGATTGGTATCTGGAGGCCGATTTGTGCAAGCACCGGAAATTGGGAAATAAATTGAGGATCTATCTGTTGCGACCTAAAGGTTTTAGGTTGGAGTTCTCAGTTATGAAGCAGAGATCAGGGTTGTATCCTTTATTCCATCTACCCGAATGGAAAGAAGGAACATTATTTGCGTCATACACTAAGTGTATTTGGTTTGTAGTGGCCCCTATTCATATAACAAATCTCCATTATGGTTGTTATCCATGTATCCCCATGATTGATGATGGCTTTTTTAATATCCCATATAGATGGAAATATCGTTGACAACAGATTAGTGTATTAAATTCCAGTTTGTGATACTTTCTTCTATGTATGCTGCAGAATCGTAATTACGGTCGTAGGTAGCGGCAGCGATTGTACATTCTGGAAGGCTTCTACGTGTCCGAAGCTGAAGTTCGTCTACTGTCTATAATTCTAGAAGTAAGACTTCGGTGTTATAGATGTGTAACAGTCTTGTCGAGTAGTCCGATTTTGCTCCGCTGATGCCTTCTATGTGAAGTTGAAGAATATGGAGCTGGAGGTCCATATTTTGAGTTCGAGAGTCCTGAAAAGGACTGTTTTCTGGATGCTCCTCGTTGAGTTGAGAAGATTCAATGGTATTTATGATGAATATATATCTGTATCTCAAAACTAGACGAACGTAAGCCCATTAATAATGATTTTTAAATTATTCCATTTTTTGCATGTAAGATATTATTATGTTTCCATCGAGCCATAATAACGGGTCTGCTAAAAATACTCCTTCCAAATTTTACGAGGCTTATTCGAATGTAAATCCTGATATATGACAGGAAAAATGTCCCTTTTTTTAGTTTTTTTGGTATAAATTAATATGACTTACGTTCGTATGGTTCTGGGGTAGGTACAGATATGTACAAATAGTTAAACTAAAGTGTATTACATGTTATTACATGTTTTTTTAAGGACTTATATATTATAAATTAAATATACCAGAAAAAAATTGCCAGTATAACATTGTCACTGTATTAGTGACTTCACTGATTTTGTGGTATAAGAGTCCTAACCTTTTACTATGGTACACGATTAAAGATATATCTTATATATAAGATATATCTTTAATTGTGATATAATATGATCAAATGATAAACTGATAACAAAATAATGATTCAAATTAATAATTGTCAGCAATTGTGATTTAGACACTAATAATCGTATAAAAATAAATTCTAACAAAGGGATATCAACATTGAATTGTTCGCTTCTGATTTATATGATAACCTGTAACTATCGTAGATAATAAAGGAATGTAATATCGATGTGCTTTTTTTTCCGATAATTTACTAATTTTTAAATGAAAAACTAATTGAAATACTTTAAGAAAAAATGAAAATTACATTTGCAGTTATTAATTCCACAGATCAATAAACCAAGATTAATTCTAATAACATTAATTTGAAGAAAAACAAATGTAAAAATTAAACTATTAATATTTAAATGGTTTACTGTGAAAATACACAGGTAGCGCCACAAATCCATGGATAATGCTGGGTTGTTCTTTTGTTAAGCCAATGATAAGGGTCTTCCTTTATCATTAAAATATTCCAACTTTCTTGAACATTTTTAGTAGTTATAGAAGTACCAATAGTATTTAATTAAATTCCTCTGAGTAGTTGCAATACAAAATTTGGGGTTTTATCTGAGCTGTCGGAGCCAGTCTAGAAAAGTTTTAAGATTTATTCCTTTTATCTAGTTATCAAATATTTTATACATACCATAATTATGATTAAACTGTACTCTTTAAAGCAACATAAAAAAGATGGGGAAACTACGAAGTCAGGAAATCAAAAGAAAGCATCCGCAGCTCATCTTAGAATAACAAAAGGTAAATTTGGAACGTCGATTATAAGACAATTAAGATCTGTTCGAAATTAACTAAGAGAATAGTTAGAATAAGTTTTAAAATTGTGTAGGTAACCCCATTTAGCTTTTATTAATACTTAAATATCCACCTATTCATTATGTGTAAAATATTCATATTGTGTAATTAATAATTATACTTAGTTATTTCATTATATGCGTGGTAGTAATTATAATTTTAAAACAAATAATATTTAAATTACCTACCTATAACACATACTCAGTACTTAACCTGATATATTATAATTATTTCTAACAAATTTAAATTGATTTTTAATTTATTTATTCGTATGAAAAAATCAGAAAACAAGTAATAATGTTAACAATTAGTAGATTGGTAAAGTACAATTAATAAGGCTATATCAGCTAAATAGTAATATGATATTAATATGGTATTTTACTAGTTTATGTTACATTTAATAGAAAATTTAACTACCTTTGGTGGCTGACTGTAGTTAGATATTAAGATTTTTTATCCAATCCATAGCTTTTGAGGATGCATTAAACATATCTTTGGCTTCGCCCTTATGAGGAATTTAGTTAGTATATGTAAAATTGTCCTTGAGATTTTTAGTATTAAATTAATTTTCCTTTGAAATAATTTTAAACAGTAAAGCCAAAAAAGAAAAAGAAACAATTGAATTAAATACTTACAGATTTACATAAGTGGTTGGGTTAGTTATTTTTTTTTTGAGTAAAACTTAGGTAATTGTCACTTATTACTATTAGTTTGTTACATCGATTTCAACAATATAATTGTACTTATACTTACTCCACTCCTTTTAGTTATTTAAATCATAAATTATGAATTTTAGTACAAAATTATTCTCACTTTTACGATAAAAAAAAGTGACATAGTTTGTACAATGGGCAGACCACTGTTGTAGTTGAGGAGTTTGGTAAATGGGATAGTGAAGGGAATTTAATGTATTTTTGTATGCAATGATTAATCATTCCTAATGAAACACAATCATGAGCAGAGTTCAGTTATATGTTAAAAAGATTGTAATATATATGATTTTCATCTAAATTGTAATTAAAATTCTTATATAAAAAAAAGGTTCATTAAACTTTTTCTTGTTGATCACTAAGATATAATGAATCTTCTGTTAAATTTTTTAGTATTTCTGTTTGTTCTAATAATTTTATCTATGAGTACTTATTAAATAAATATTACACACAAATCTCACAAAATTACAAGTCTATAAACATTTCAAACTGAATTACAACAAAAAAAGAATATTGAAAAAATAATGAAAACATTATTTTTGTGAATTTTCCTGTTATTCCTAATGTACCACCACTCAAGGAAAATTTCTGGTAGAACTTTTTGTGTCCATTTTGAAAAAATAAAAATTAATTTATTACTAATTATTAGTATTTATAAAATAAACATAATTATCTGATACATTTTGAAATAATATTTTTAGCCTAGCAATTAATACCACACACAGTTTAAAACATAATATAATCAATGAATATATTATTTATTAAATGTTTGTTTTTAGATTTAAATGAACTTACCTTACCGAAAACATGCACTACTGAATTTCCTGATCAAGATGATCTATTAAATTTCAAATTAACCATCTGTCCTGATGAAGTAAGTGTGTATGTTTTTATCCATAATAGATAGAAAAAACATAATTTTCATTTATTTTAGGGGTCATACAAAGGAGGAAAATTTAATTTTAGTTTTAAAGTGGGAGTTAACTATCCGCATGAACCACCTAAAGTAAAATGTGAAACAACAGTCTACCATCCAAATATTGATCTCGATGGCAATGTGTGTCTAAACATTCTTCGTGAAGATTGGAAGCCTGTATTGACTATTAATAGTGTGATCTATGGCCTGCAATACTTGTTCCTGGTAATTTATTTATTTATGTTCTGCTAATATTTAAAATATAACATATGTAAATGTTCATTTTTTCACTTTTAATTTTATAGGAACCAAATCCAGAAGATCCACTGAATAAAGATGCTGCAGATGTTTTGCAAAATAACAAGAGGTTGTTTGATTTGAATGTGCAAAAAGCAATGCGAGGTGGAGTAATTGGCAATACATACTTTGAGAAGTGTTTAAAATAACAATAAAAGATGTGATCCTATTCGGATAGCGTGGGCAATTACGTGAACGTTATAGGGATTGATATTTTCGTACATATTTTGTATGAAATAAATAATGTAATTCTTTTATCGTAATATTCATTTTTGTCTTTGGATTTTTCTCTAAGTTGATAATAATAATTCTAGTTCATAGTTATAATATTTACAAAATTCAACAAAGCTGTGGTAATATTCACTGGTTATATTCCTTTATTTTAACCACTTTAGGTATAAGTTGGTAATATATTTATTCAACACAATAATGTTTAAAATGATAACAACATGTTATTTAATTGGTTTAAATGATTTTGTATATAGTTTGGACATACAATAATAATTTAGTTAATAGTAAAAGCAACATTTTTTGTCAAATTATCTGGTTACCGGCCAAAAGCAAAAGGAGAATTATTACTGTTACTAAAACTAAATGTGGTTGGAACTGTTGCTTGGTCAAATTTAAAACCTGAAAAAAAAAAAAAAATTAAAATCCTGCACGTAGTATTTAATATTTAAAAAGCAGTGATGGTTTTTGAAGTGTTGGCTTGTCAGTATGAAATAAATAATTTTAAAATACATAAAATGATTATAAGTATAGTATTATAGTTACTTAAAATCAAGATCATTAAGTCATAATTCGTAACTACATGATCTATACTCATAAATAAAAAAATAATTTGTTTAGTGAGAAAAAATGAAAACTATGAATTATATTTAAATCTGTTACTGAAATTGTGTCAAAAGTATATTATTATAGGAATGAGTACATTAAGTTCCAATGATTCAACAATATGTTTACAATACTATAAGAAATGGATTTCATAAATTTGTCCATATCAAATAAACATTTAATACACACATATATATATATATTTTTTGTTTAATTTAACCATTTTTCAACGGAACTGGTTTATAATTTTTAATGGGGGCATACATAGCAAAGCAATACCCTGGTTCAAACCTCAGTAACTGCCTTTAATTTGTCTTGATATTCACACTAAAGTATATAATAGCTTACTCCAAGAATCAGAAAATCCAAAGTGAATGTCATCTATAATTTGTCAATTTATGATGAAAAGGAATTTAAAAATTAGTTTATTCATAGGAAATAAATAGTAAATATATGCTGTAATTTTAATATTGGAGTATATGTTATGACCTACAACCTAAAGGTAAGGACATTCTGGGTAACCATGTAAGTGATTTAAAATACTATAATTTTTAAGATATTAAGTATTTTTAAACTGTAATTAACAAACTTGTTTTGCTAAAAATTAAAATATGATAAATATCCTCTATGGTTGCATAGATAATGTTCTTACAAATGATTATTGGTTAATTTAATCTAAAATTATAAATATCAGGATGAAATAGTTCCTGTTGAATGCCATTGTTATACCTAACTATACGTTTAAGAAATAAAGATTTAATTGGGATTAAAGAAGTATTTAAACTTAATGAAAAAAATATATATATATATACCTGCTAATTTTTCTTTTTTTTTATTTTCAACTTCAACACGTCGTGTTTCTGCCATGGCCATTATTTCATTTATAGATTTTTGTTGATCACTATTTAAGTGATTGGTAAGTGCTAAGTACCAAGCAGGGTCATTGTGTTGTATGCTCAATAGGATATTTTTGAACAGAATGTATATATCAAGTGTTTCGTCGGTATTATTGTCATCTGAGTCAAGTGGTGTTGTATAAACTTCAAGCAGAGTCTCTTCAGGCTGTACATAATCTTCATCTTCACTATCAGTGTCTTCCTCAGTATTTTCATCATTCTATAATGAGTAATAAAAAACTTAACAATATAATTTTTGAGATAACGCACTTTATTGGAACTTGAGACTTTTTGGTACTTGTCGGTTTTTGTGACTATTTTCTTTAGAATAAGATTCTAATTTCTAGTTCATTTTCCCAACAAAAATAGAATTTCATGCCCATATAAATTAAATATAACTCAGTTAAATAATTGCTTATATATATATTAGTTTTTTTTTTTGGCAAGATTTTACTTTGTATTCATTCCCAAAATAAATTTTTTATTTTTATGGAAAATCTTAAAATTTGCATAGTAATTAATTTTGAAGATTAAAAATGATAATATAATTTTATATCATTAAGTTAAATGGATAATACGGAGAAAGTTATGCACAATGTGATATACTCACAATAAGGTTAATATAAAGTTCATAGGAGTCACATAAAAACGACAAGTTACTACTTTTGATATTGATAGTACTTTTGTATGCTGATTACTAATCTGGACAAATTTTGATGCAGTCGATCCTGAGTTATGAAAAATTAAAAATCAATAATATCTCAAAATATTACTTTACCAAACAAATAGAAATTAATAAATAGGGCCGTATCAATATAGAAACTGAATTAAATTAAATTTGTATAATGAACAATTTTGGACAAAAAACCAACCATCTTTGGAGAGAGCAATTTGGGCTAATAAACATTATGCCATAATCATCAATACAGTGGTATCAACGAGTAATATTAAACTTATAATGCTTAATCTTTTAAACATATATAACTTTTAAAATGGGTGTAATCATCTCTACATTGTTCCAGATTCACAATCAGGATATAAAGTACTATTTATAAATTCAAGTTTTGTTTAAGTAAAATTATAATTTTTTTTTCTTAAGGGTGCCTGAGTTAGGAATTTTTTAGAAGTAAAAATTGAAATTAAGTTTCGATATTTTGTGATTTTTAAAAAATGATTGAGAGTGTCTCTCTTTCAAATATAATAAAAACTCATCAAAATCGAATGGAATGCATTTAATTTTTGTTCCGTAGTTGTAAGTCGATAACTAATCAGTGCTGACCATGTATGCCAAACAGTTGCTCAGCTACATGATTAATGTTTTGAATAAATAACCAGCTCAGGCACCAATAGTGAAATAGGCCATACAATACAATTGACATACAATAGTCATAAATGAAGATTTTCTTTTTTCATTTATATATAAGTTTTCATCAATTTCATCTTCATCAGTACCTAATTCTAAAAATAAAAAAAAATATCATTAATTTAATTGTGAAAAAAAAAACCAAAAGTGTCAATGGGTGTGTCACTGTTGTAGGTGGAAGAAGTTGGGACAAATACAAATGTTTAATTTATATATGTATGTAATGATACACAATTATTTACAAAATAAAATTCTGATTGAAGTTTCATTAAGCATGCATGTTTTGAAATGCTGTGATTTTACTATTTTTTCGTTATTCTTATGTTTAAGAAATTATAAATCTTATATAAAATGAAAAAATAATTTGCATTTATTACACCTTTCAAATTTATTCAAGTATTGCAATAATTAAATTTTTTGTGCTAAATAAGAGTCAATTGTCTGCCTTCAAAAACAAATCAGTATATTTATTTTTTTGAGATAATTATTTTGGTATTTTTTTTTTTAAATTTTCCATACCCATTATTAAAATTAGATCTCAATATAAGATAAAATTTAAAAAAAACTAGGCCTTCCTAACTTATTAAAAAAAAAATGATGATCAAGAACATTATTATGTTAACAAATAACTTTTAGTTAGATAATAAAAGTATTAATGTAAAAGTATGTAATGTTTATACTTAAAACTTCAATAAAAAAATTTTTTTTTTTTTTATATGTGCATATAATAACAAAAGATTAATGGATAATTGTTGTCATAGATAAATTAATGTATACCTGTAAGCAATGATTTATCATTGCTTACCAAAAAAAAAGACTCCGAGCGGAATTTAGTTGATAGTGATGCTTTGTCAACAATATATATGTCATTTTATATTAAATTAATTAAATAGCCTTTATATATTTTCTATAAGAATATTTGTTTTTTATGTTGTACTAATTTTCACTGTTTTTTTTCCTTGTTTTATCCAGGTTTTTCACATTTGTTGAAAAAAATTTTGGGAAAATTAAAAAATGACATCTCGAAAGTACCTTCCTCGTGAAATTTCCTTTAAAAAACATTGCTATCATTAAAAGTTGAAGCAAAATTGCTATTATAAAAGTTTTTCACAGGAAAAAAATAGTAATATTTATACGATAATTTTCAAAATAATTTATTTTTAAGTAACTTACATTCACACATAATAATAAACAGTCTGTTAAATCTGTAATCACTTTTGTTTGGTGAAAGAAATACAAATTTCTATAAATAGCTCAAAAAAACCAATAAAAGTTTTGAAAGTATTACTATACCTAGGAAAGGCAAATTTAACTTTTTTTGAATCATTAAGAAAAACATTGACACAAAAATCAAAAAACTTGATTTCCATTGAATTTAAAAATTAAACACATACATTAATAAATAAATAATAGTTAAACCAATACATTCCATACTGCAATCAGAATCTAAAAAATAAATAAATAGCATTAAATTACCGTTTTCAGTATCGGTGTCTTCTTCCTGGCTTGATTCTTCACCTTCTGGAATATCTCTATCTAAGTTTATAAACAAATTTAAAATTAGATATAAGACTTATATAACCTTATTTATTATTTATAAGAAATTAATTTCAATATAGAAATATGATAATATTTACTCATGTATGCACGTTTAAGTCCATCAAATAACATGAGCATTGAAGGCACAATTTGTGGGGCATGTTCACTTACAGCAATTGGCCGATTTGGAGGCAGTGACATTAATGTGAGCAACCCCAAAACACAAAGCTTTCGGTCGTGAATACTAAATATGATATAAACAAGAATATATATTAAGCACAGAGTGACTTAGTTTTAATTATTAGACAAACCCAAAGAAACAATCCGTATCTTGTAACCATTGTCTAATAAAATGTACAGAAATTGGTTCATTTGATGAAATATTTGGTTGTAATTTTTCAAGTGTTTCAAATAATAAATGTGGGTTATAATATATAGCAGCTACTATAACTTGAAGGCACATTGCTCGTAATTCGGATGATTTAATTTCTTTTAACAATCTATTCAATGCAACATCTACAATAGGTAATATGCACTAAAAACAAAAATAATATTAGTAGTGATTTTATTTTTATATCAAAATAATAAATTACTTGATCAATTCGGCCTTTACATTGTAAAAGTATAACCTCTAACAGTTTTGCTGCATGGCATTCTGCTTCTTCACCAGCATCAGTTTCTAAAATCTTTAAAGAACTATATAATAATAATTATAATAGACAAACAAAATAATAATTGATATTCACTTTTTTGCACATTTCAAATATAATACCAATGTTACTTTCGTGTGAAATAAATGTGTCTGTTCCAATGGTAACATAATTGTGAAGACAAGGCATCATATCAACAAAGTAGTCAATTCCGTCATTTTGGAAAACCTGTGTAAAAGATGAACATTAAAAAATTAAATTTTTTTATTTTTAAATTAAATTTTACTTACATTATAAATTAATTGCAAAATACTCCACATATTTGGTGACACTTGTGTGTTAGTCAAATCACATACTAAATTCAAAGCTTCTTCATAGTATTCTAAAAAAAATTTATATGATTATACTGGATGATTCAAAATATATATAATATATATATATATATATATATATATATATATATTGTTGCATCTTATCATAAAAATATCCAAAATATAAATATGTGTATAACATAAAAACCTTTTGTTTAATTAATATAATAACATTATAAAAATGTGATGCAGTGTGTTGAGAGGCATTATTAGCTATTTATCAGCAAGCCATTAAAATTTAATTTCCAAAAATATTAAATAATTCTAAAAAATTGTTATTTAATCACTAAAATTGAACAAAAAAAAATATTCTCACACTATGTTTGCAAAAACTGTATAGGTTCCCATTTAAATTTCAAAAGTTGACCCCCCAAAAAACTGTTAAACAGTTCTTGTATTATATAATTTTTTAAATTTCAAATTTTTTTTATGGTAGAATGGCTGTAATATAAATTTTGAATCGCATGGAATAGTATTTAAATAGTTGATTTATATATACTTACCACTACCAGAATCTGTACTAAATATATGTACTATAACTTCCAATACAATTGGTTCAAGAGCTGCTAATGTATGAGGCTGTTCATCGTTTACACTCAATATAGTTTCTATGCAACTTAAAATACTCATACCAGTAATTTCTTTTTTATCGCTCATTTCATCTGATTGAAGAACTTGTAAGAAGGTAGCAACCTGTGGCAAAAATTATTATTTTATTAGTATAAAATTTTAATTGACCAGATCCACAGCTTTAGATGTTTAAAAATAACAAATTGAAAATGTGAATGTTGTTACAGAATATATAGTGAACGCAAAACCAGACCCACATGTAATGCATTATCCTTAGGAGACTTCAGCTCCCTCAGTGGAAAATTAGTTTTTCAAATTAAGGAATAAATTAATGTTTAATTACACTATACCTCATATACACCTATCATTCATAATCATATGCGACCACCTCACTATGACACACACATACATATTAAAAACTAAGTCAAATTTTTTACCTAAAACATTAGCAAGTCGAAAAACCACAATAACAATGATAAACCATTATTGATGAAAAAACGATTCTGAAAAGAGTTCAGTTGATAGTGATGTTTTGTCAACAATATATATGTCATATTATAGTAAGACACTTATATAGGCATATATGTTGTTTCGATTTTCTCGGTTTTTTAAATTTGATGAGACAACTCCAGAGAAATTCAAAAAATGATACCCCTCTGAAGTACTTCAAAACACAAATTTCTGGTAGTAAAAATGTGCCTTAATATTTTGTAAAACCATAGGCTTTTTCGCGCCACTCAGAATCTAAAAGCTCAAAATCTATGGAAAAAGAGACCCTTTTTAATAGTAAAATATATTTTATACAATATGAATTACATTCTTTATCAAATATGATTGGACCTAAAATTAACAGTATCCAAGAATTATTTAGAATTGAAAATATTGACATATCTTTTAACCCATTAATAGAAAATAGCATGGAAAGAAAACTGAAGATTAATCTAAATTTAATGTCATTAACATTTAATAATATCAAAAAAGTAATACAAATATATATAGTATAATATACTATATATAATAATATAGTATAATATATTATATATATATTTTTAACCTCAAAAACTAATTTCCATACATAAATCAATTGCATATTTTTTATTGAACAATTTTGTATTAAGTACTGTGATGAAATGTTTCATTCTCATAAAAATTAAATAATTAATCACGGATTACACGGAAATATTTGAATGTAAGGAGACTAGTATGAACATTTTTTTAATTCTCGATATGAATAGTTGTTACTGTTATATTATAGTGTGTTAAGCAACCATAGTATCTATATCCGTGCTAAATAGAGACCTGCTAGAATGTATCCAACCAAATTAATTATAATATAAAAATGAAAATAAAAATAATATAATACCTACCAAATTCTGACAAATTTCATACATAATTGGTGCGAGTTTATCATAATAAATTGCAATAACTTTTTGAACAACACAGGTAATATCATCATTCTCTGTTTCTTTCAATACATTTAAAAGTTCCAGCACAATTTCTTTGATCTATAAAAGAAAATGTAAAATTATATTTCTTATATTTCATACCAAATTTAAAGAACTAATGTACTTGAGGTTCTAAAAATTGTTCAACTCCATCTTCTGCAATTAATAATGCTTGAATGGCTAATCCAGCTTGAATTTTAACTGGTAGTTCCTTATCACTTAAGAGTGCATTAGAGCAAAGTGCAGATAAATCCTTCCAGATGCCAGCATTATTGATTTTAACATCACATACATGTTGTATAAACCAGCAAGCCTAAATATAAAACAAAATTATTTTAAATGTATTGTACTATAAGAATATTTAAACACATACTCTAGCTCTTAAGTGGCCATGGGGACTTTGAAAAACTGGAAATACATGTCGATATAACATCTCATCCACTTGGTTCTTATACATATCTTTTTTAAATATAACGTCAGCCAAAGCACCAAGCTACAAACCGATAATAAAATTATGGTTAAATATACTGCATACCAATAAAAAATCTGTATGTCGAGATTACCATATGAAGGGCTCCATCTTTTTGAGCAGGAGTTGCCCCAACAGAAGTTATAACACCAACAATAAATTGCACAGCCTTTGGTAAAATATCTTTACGTTTTTTACAAGCTGAATGTAAGATTGATTGAGAAGCCATTACAGGGGAAATTAAATCCTCAAAAATATCTGTAATTTAAAGCTTTATTATTTATATATTGTCTGAAATAAGGTAAAAGGGATTAAGCAGTATGGTGTATACTACAGGAAAACTGACACTTAAAGAATTTAATTACACAGGTGCACTAGTGTTCCTATGATCATTTAGAAATGAGATATTTTATTTTTATTTTTGTGGTACAAGTAACATTTATTGACATATACAACAGAAGTGTAAAAAAGTAGGAGTCAAGAGCCTTTTTTTTTTGAGTATAAGCGACAATTAAAATTTTATTTGCCAAACGACAACCACGTGGCACTTGGACCCAACTATTATCATTTATTCACCTTTTATAATATTATTATAATTAATATAAGAAAGGCATCAATATGCCTCCAATTAAAATCAGTCACAAAATTTTTGTTTATATGTTTTTCATGGCAAGTGGTGACTAAAAATTGAAATAACAAGGAAGGAAAGGTAAACATATTATTATATTATAATATAAATCATAAGTATTGTTGTAGTTTATCTTATTTATACCTGCACACTTCACATGGCTTATTTAAAAATGACAATTTATATTATTCAAGATCAAATATAATAGATTACCTAACTCAAGTTGAGACTGTTATTAATGAAACTGAAGAAATTTCAAATTCTTTGATTTTTAGAATGATTCGAAGATTTTTATTTGTTATAGCAAAATAAAGAAACAATTTATGTTTTTTTTTTTTTATAATAATAATAATATTATTATAAAATAAAAAAAAATAATACATCAATCATAGATTTTTGAATCATAAGACCTAAGTATTTATTCAATATAAAAATATTATTATCGTAGTAAATTTAAATTAAGGTACTAGCGCCTTTCAAAAAAAAAAAAATGCTGTTTTAACAAAAATTTAATGTGTTTAAAAATTAATAAATATTTGTAACATAACTAGTATCAAACCATTAAAGTAACATAAAACAGAATTAATATATTTATTTAATTTATAAAAAAAAATACAGACCAAGATCCAATTACAAACAATAAGTATTGATTTAACTTATAATTAGACAAGTTGAACAAATTAAGAAAAAAAGAGCTGAAACTGGGGACGTGTGCAATTACTGTTGTAGTTGGGAAGGCAGGATACATAAGGTTAATTCATTTAAATTTGTAAGCAAATATAAACCATTGCTGACAAAAGAAAACTCCAAACGCAGTTTGGTAATACATAATAACACATACGAAGTGTCGTATTTTTGTTTAAATTTGATTTCAAAATGCTAATTAAAAATAAAAATTTTAACAAAAATATGGTCTCTAGTTGTTGAGGAGAATAAGACACTATGTTATATCATCTTATCAAACTTCTCTCCTTGAACAATATCAACCTATTTTTATACTTCTAGTAGTTATATAATAAATAACATTTTGTGTAATTTTCCACACCATCATAAGCTCGACAAATTTACTAATACGGGTTAATGGGTAAAATTGTATTTTTTTCCTGGTTAATTGTTTTTATTTTAGGTACAGTTTCAAAAATCAAAGAATGACCTATGCATTTACTAAGTTAAAATTGACTTTCAAAAAATGTGCTACACTTATATATCGGAGCAAGTTTTCAAAAGTAAAAATGGCCTACTATTTTTATATTTATATATATATATATACTATATATAAATATAAGAATAAAAAAAATAAAGTACCATTGTAAAAAATTAAAAGTTATCAGATGATTTTGGAATTTTTACCATGTCTAGGTAAGTCCAATGTAAGAATTATTAGCAAGTTTCTAGTCTCTACAGTATTTATAACCGCTGAATTACAGTAAAAAAACTTGGAATGCTATAAAAGCTCAAAGGCTCAGAAGTTTTAGCGATGATACTGTAAGTAAATCATAAAAGTAGCAAAAAAAAAAAGTGTCCTGTGATTTATTGATTAAATCATTTTTTTTTGGTAGAAAACGTCTGTTTTTATAAAATAATGAAATTGTACGTTTTTCTATGTTTTTTCCCACTTAGGTGGTTTTATTTAGACAAAAATTTGTACTCAGACTAGAATAATGAAAATAGGAAATTTAAGGAAATAACAAAAATATATATATATATATATATCATAATTATTTATAATTGAAGGTCAAACAAAATAGGGTCGTTATTGGCGGTCCACATATTAAACACTTGATGGGGTAATTTTCGAGAAAATGTGTAGATAAGCAATGTATGTGAAATGGGCATAGGAGCGATTGGATTGAGTTTAAAATTGATGAGAAATAGGAGTAGGAGAATCAATCTTTCCACTAAGGAGATTAGATAGGAAAGAGATATTAATCGCCTGCCTACAATCAACAAGGCTTAGAAGGCCCAGAGCACGTAAGACAGTAGAGTAATCATGGGAAGGACAAGGAATTTGAATCAGTATGTAACAGCACGGAGAAACCTTTGCTGAACACGCTCGATCATAGCCTTAAATGATGTAGGAGCTGGGTCCTATAATACACTGCCGTACTCAAAGATAGATTGTACCAGAGCACAGTAGAGAGATTTAGTGGCAGGACAAGATGGAATTGTTGAGTATGAACCTGAGAAAACTTTGAGCGCCCAGTGTGTTGGTGAAATTGAAGAACTAGTCGAGAGAGTAAACAGAAGAAAAGAAGCTAGAAAATAAAGCAGCAGCTACAGAGGGATTTGACCTTATGGAATCTTCATACACAAAATGAGGGGGAATAAAAGATGAGGAGAGAGATTTACAAATATAAGATCAAAAAGAACAAGGATTTGATGAAAGGGAAGATTATGTGCAAGCAATAAAATCCTTATAAGACTTAAATTTATAAGTGTTTAGCATCAAGGAAAGAGTTCAGTTCATAGTATCATCAGTGTTTAGAGTAAGAAATATAATTTCATTCCTAGAACTTAAATAAAAACCGAAGTGCCAATGTCAAAGAACAAATATATATTTTGTTTTTGCTCTCCTAAAAAGTAATAAAACTGTTGCTTAACCCCTTTTGCTTGCCAATATTAGATAATCTTATTTTCTCCTTGCCTTCATTTAAATTATTTCAGGTAGACACTTAAGACTTTTTAATTGCATCCAACCTCCTTTTGTTTCCTATGTTTATTTCAATTTTTAATTCTTTCTGTTCTCATTTCTTATGACATGCCTAAACTACCTTAGTCTAAATTCTTATTTTTTTTCTATTGAAGCCACACATATACTACTTTTATGTACCCATTCCTTATTTTATCCTCTATTGCAACATAATTTATTCACCAAAGCTTTCTTAACTCTGTTACACTTATTTTTTTTCATCCACTGCTGAACACTCCAAATCATACAAACATCGCCTTACCACACTCTTATAGAACTTACTTTTTAGTTTCATTCGAATTCTTGTCTTAAAAAACACTTAATTCCATGTTTAAATAATACACGTTAAAGCCAACGGTTTTTTATAAAAACGATGTTAGGTATTTCAAACTCAATTTCATCTATTATTACTTTGTAGTTTATTGTCATTACCAATCTATTAATTAGAAATTACAATTTAAAATTTAGATGTTACCAAATTTCTGATTGATGTATTCATGTGGATCAGATTCCCATAGTTCTTGATCGGCATCTGAATGACACATAAGGGGGAATATTATATCTTGAATAATAGTTGGTACATGTGGTTTAATAATTTTCCATGTATAAGCAATAATAATGCTGAAATTATAAAGTTATTTTTACATTATAATATATGCTGTTAATAAGTTATTATTTTTTATTAGTAGTTTAGTTTAAATGTTGATTTACCATTGATTCAGATAATTTAAACCCATTTGCATAACTCTAGGAGGAACATAGATTTTATTTCGATATTGATCTAAAATCCTTAAAATAATGTCAATGACCCCACTTGAAAATGTTTTAACATAAAATGCAGCAAATAACTGATATTCTTGAGAAGAATTTCCTGGACATCCATACCTAAAATTGGTTAACAAATTAATTTCAAGTTAACAAACAACATTAAGGCTTTTGTTCAATTTTAAATATTTACCTCTCAAAAATTCTATAAATAGAGTGTAATGCCCATTTTTTAGCTTTCCACCATAATGCTTGATCATTCGCACTAACTACCGGTATTGGATTACATAATACAACACTCAATAACTCCATCCATTTTGTAAATGTGGTTCTTTCCATTAGATCAGGACTTAGGCTAAACTGTAAAATTAAAAAAAATATAATAAACTTACTTAATTCAGTATATTAAATTAATTATTATTTCTCTAAATTATGATAGTTTATTTAAAGAAAATGTGGTATAATAAAAAATTATTAGGATTAGTGTTTTAGCTTACTTGTATAAGTTTAAAATAACTTTTTACTACAATTTTCTGCAGTTTAATAGCTTCAATTGTTTGAACATTTACTATGGTAATCATAACATTATATATATTAGGAAGCAATACTTTGACTGCACCATGTATGGGAGATTTATCTGCCTTTTGATACTCAAAAGCTTTTACTAAAGCTGAAAATCCTAAAATACCAGCCATCCAACAAGATAAATTATCCATTTTTATCAATTCATCAATTTTCTCGATGACATCAGACCACCGTCCAGGAAAATCATGTTTCATCATTGTCACCAAACCTACAGCAAACTGATTCCTAATATAATTAAAAGTAGCTTTAATTGTTTATAATTTATGGTAAAATTAAACATAAAAGGACTGATATACTTCACATGATGGGTGGGCCACTATTGTAGATGCGAAGTTGGGAAAACACGGCATAGAGAATAATTAATGTATTTTTGTATGCAATGATTAATTAATCATTGCCAAATAAAAACAATTCTGAGCATAGTTCAGTTATACTCGTTAAAAAAGGCCACAATATTTACGATTTTTATCAAAATACTTGTTAACAATAAAATTCTACATTACACTCAATTTTTTTAATAGAAATTATGACTTATAATAAACCTTCTGGTAAATTGTTTACTATCTCTATTTAGTTTCACAATTATACCTACAGAGTATCTACTGAATAAAAGTAACAGGAAAACTTGAAAAATGTAAGTATCTATAAATAACTCAAAAATGGCTTCAGTATTTTAGAAAAATTACCAAGTTTAAAAAAAGCAATGATCCAAAAATCGGAGCAATGTTTCTGCTGAAAAATTGTTCACAGAAAAGAAAAAATATCATTGTAAAACTAATATAATATTCCTAACTTCGCTCAGAATCTACAATTAATAAATGGATAAAATACTCATAGCTTACTGTATTAGTTCTGGAGCTGTTACCATACAGCTTAAAATTGTATTTCGAATCCTCATTCGATCAACTTCATGAATTGAAAATTTTTCTGGTTCATCTTCACGAGTAGCCCAATGTTGTTGAATAAAATTTTTCATATAAATGGCCGCTGAAATATACAAAAATATTATAGTGTACATACATAAAAGATATAGCGTATACATATAGTCACTTCTCTTACCAGCTTGTCTTGTAGACAAATCAATATCTACATTATGAATAATTTCCATAAGAGTTGGACCAAATCCAGCTATTTTGTTTATCTAATAATCAATACAATACACATTTGGTTTTATAATAATTTTACATTACATATAAAAATATTAAATTTATTTGGCTAAACAAGTATTTATAAATTATGCTTTTTAGGTAAACTTATAATGGTTTATTTCAATTAAATTATTAAATTGAAACAAGTTAATTGGACAATTTTAAATAAATATACTTTTGGATAATTTAATAAGTTGGATAAACTTTAATCAACTTATAAGTTCAAGATCATGTAGTATAGATAATAATTAGTTCTAATGGATATGATATGCATATACCAGTTATGGAAAGACTAATTGAAATAAAATAAGAACCATGACACGCTATGGAGGTTTAACAGTCAATCCAGGGAATATGTGTTTATTATGATTAGGTACTGTGATATACTGCGTAATCTTTTGTAAAAACCTTAACGATTTTGAGGCTATGTCCCGATGGACATTAAATCCAATGAAATGTGTTACAACATAGTGGTGACACTGCATTAGTTTTCAATTTTGACAATACACTTACATTGTATTTATTGAAGTTTACAAAATGGGACAGCGAAATATAGTCCTGCTTCATTATGAAATCTCAACCTGTATAAAACAGAAGAGTGAGCTTTCCACCTCAACAACAGACAAACTGATTGATTACTACACGTACTTCATGTTCAATGATGTGACTGTGAATTATAATTTCTTATCTAATAGAGATCGTGGATTGTTCTTTGACATTTAAGAATCATTTAGAAAGTGTGCAGAAGAAGATAAGATGAAAAGTAAACTTACTATAGAAACTAGCCGGAAAGAGATGGGAATCAGAAGCATATACAACCAAAACTGCTTATCTAGCACTAGTTTATTCTACAGCAGAATATAGCTGTTGTGTTCAAATAGTCAATATGTTAAAAAATTTGAAGTACATTGAAACATTGCCACAAGAGTGATAAGTGAAATATTAAAGTCAATCTATTTCGAAATAGCTCCCACAGTAGAGTCAAATTCTAAGACACCACTTGAGGCCACTGCCCAGCACCTTATACAAATAAACTCAGCTGAAGAATAGCGTACAGTATGAAACAATCTAACACTTAAAAATGGCAACTAAGTTAATGACTCTATTTAACTTTTGGCGAAATTTAAACTTTTTACCTAAGAGTGGATGCCAATGAACCAGTTTAGAAAGGTGAAGAAAAAAATAAATTCCCAAAACAACTATACTGTTAAAAATAATTTAAAAAAGTTTACAAACAGATACTTTAGTTTCATTCATATTTATACATTTTCTTCTAATTATTGTTGTCTATATTGTTCTGTAAAACATTGCTCATAAAACAACAAAAGAAAATAACATTAGTCAGACAATGGAATATATTGTGACAGGACTGCCCAAGGGGAACATTTTAAGGAGGAATGAAGGATATCATGAAGACGACAAGAGAAGAACTAGACTGGATAAGTAATTTATAGTTAAGTTCCAGAATTTTGTAACTGAATTGACATTTATATTTAAATAATCACACAAATTTTTACACCATTTTATCAAATTTTTAACTCAAAGAATATATATATATGTTACCTACGTGTCTAAATATATCATATGATACATAAATAATTATTATCAATAAAAAAAAATAGTCATTACAAATATTGTGTAGGTAGTTTATTTATTTATAAAGACAGCATACCAAAAAAAAAAATTCATGAACTTTTTAAATTTATAGATGGAGTGTGAGATTTTTGAAAAATCTACAAAGTGGACATAAAATGAAGTGGTTGGGAATCATTGATTCACAAAGAAGGAAAACCTATAATAGAATCAAAAAAAATAATTAATTACAATGATTTATTCTTAGTACTTTTCAATGATGATATAGGAATTAAATTTTTATAAAAGAATAATATAGTCACAGTTAGTGAAATGTGTAAAAATAGTCATATAATGTCTATTAAGAGATCACAATTGAGATTCCAGAAGAGAAGTTGCTGGAAGGAAAACAGTTAATAATTTGATTACCGGATTTTAGACAGCATTACATACAATTATTATCCATTTCATAAATTGCTGAGCCTAAAAAATGACTTTATTTACATTTTCTAAGTGTGAACTGAAAATGGGACAAAATACTGTTGTCAATTGGACCAAGTATCTACATGAGGTATGTGTTAGTATAGGTAATAGTCATAATAAAGAAATTGACAGTCCTGGTCTTTTTATTGAAAAAAATGAAAGTTTATTTGTGTGAAGAAAAGTAGTGCAGGAAAATGAAAACAATGGATTTTTGGTGGAATATTTTGGGGTTTTGTGAAACTAATAGACATTTTCTGGAATCATACTTTGCAGAATTCATATGGATAACAAAATGCGTTTGAAATAATCTTAAAAGATACTTCCGAGTTCTGGCCTCTAATTTTAAATAAATTTTACTATTTCATACAATATCATTTTAAAAATTACAATATACAATTTATAATTATTTATATTTTTATTTTTTGTATTGTTTGGCAGGGTAATAACAAACAAGTATCAATAAAAATAATTTTAAATTCTGTAAGATTACCAACATTTCCTGTTGTATGTATCTGGAGACTTGTAAAAATTCATTTTTTGTATATACTTTAAACAATTGATTAAAATATGTTTCATTCTTATATTTTCTATACTAACTAACCATCAAATATTCTACCTTTACCGGTTATTGATTTTAAAATTTATTTATAAAAGTTAAATGGACTGTCTGATAATATTTACTTAATCAATGTTTACAATTCTTCTCCGAAACATTAAGGTAATTTTAAATAATTTCTCAGTGAAGAAAGAGTTAAAAAAAAAAAATTTAAATAATAATTTGCATATTTAATTTTCTTGTAATATAATGGATTTGAGGGAATTTTTATAATAACATTTATTACGGTAAACATGACAATTAATCATAAAAGTTCTAAATATATTAAGCAGAAATAAAATAGTTTTTGAAGAAATAAATAGAAAAAACTGAAATACTTTTGGAAAAACTACCCCGAAGCTTAAATATTCAAGTCTAAGTTTGATCAATCACAAATAAATTTTACATACATTATTTTTATAAGTATTTAGACAAATTTGGGGGTCTCTGCATCAAATTTTTATGCTTCAAAAATACCTAGGCTAGAGAAATCTATGCCTAGTTTTCAAATTTGGCGGGTCGACGGTTTGCGGGCAGAATTCTTCCGTGGAGGTTGATTTCTGGCGTCTGGTCACGGTATGACCATAGAATAGTAGTAGTGAAAACCTCGGTGGGATGCCGACTGCCGGATGAATTCATTACGGCCAAGAAGGAAGAAAAAATAACAATAATTAGCGCGCGTGTGACGGCCCGCATAACCTTCAACTTATGTCGTGTATGGTCGTGCGTGTGCCGCCAACCGGCGATGGAAAAAAAAAGCATGCTTACGTGATTGAGCTCTTGTTCGGCCACGGACCTGTTCGGAGAGTAGACCGTGGCTCCCAGTAGATCGGAGAGTTTCTTCAGGTCCATTGTTAATGTTTTAATGTGTGGCGTCAACCTGTTTATAATGTGGTACGTCGATGTTGTAGCGATGCGCACACGTAGCGTACTACTATCAGAAATATGTGTGCACTGTAAGTGCGTGCTCACGGATGAGTGACGACAACGATGAACGAAAAGAGATGAACTCAAGGCGGAGACGGGTGCTAAGTGCTGTTCAATTTGAACAACGAATCACGTGACATCAAAAATCGCATTCCATTTCACGATATTCAGAACCCGAGAACCGCCATAATGAAAATAATAATGGTTTTTGTGTTTATTTTTTTTATCAACAGTGCTTCCCAAATAGAGGAAAAATCGTCCGCTGATATCGCCGGAGCCCCTGTCAACCAATGAACAACAAACAACCAGTCATTGCCGTGGTACAGTCACTGTTTTCTAGTCTCGACCGCTGAACCACTTGGTGATCAACGTTGTTTGCACTGTGTAAAGGTGATCATATCATATGTTTTTCATAATTTCAATGATAATATATCGTTTTCTTCAAAACTTTTATTGTAATCGGTCAATAGAATTGTCTTGCCGTGGAAAACTATTTCATTTCATTTAAACGAATAAGTTATCTAAATCCACAAATATCCATCATCATGAGCTACTGGAGAGCCGCAGGACTAAAGTAATTCCTTTTAAAAGTAACCATTTCGTATGCATAAACTTCTATTAGTTGTTTAATATTCACTACCTATACGACTACGACATAAGCCATTCGTTTCCAGCTTCTGGATGGTTATTAATCTTTTAGAAATGTCGGCTTTGTAATTCGGTCCACATTTGCATGTCTTGTCTAACTCTTTCAAAGTTCATCATTTTGTAAACTACTAAATATTGAAATCGATATATATTTCTTAAAAAAAATCTCATTGTCTTTTGATAAAAACTATTTTGTGTCTAATTAAAATAAAAAATAATTATTTCGGTAATTTTTATTCTAATTTATTTTACAAAGTTTTAATGTTTGATGAGTGAAGTTTACTGAAAAGTTGTCTTCTTAAAATTATATGAAAAATTTCACCGATTATCTCTACAGTGTACTTATTAAGTTTTTTTAACGTTAAGAAAATACAGTCATTTATTATTTTAATAAAACTATACAAGTAAAATTAATAAAGTTTAACACAACTCAGACTATTATGTTTAATTTACATAGCTTAAAAATAGTAAACTAAAAACCATTTCATTTTTTCTTTGATTCTAGCTATGTTACATATTCTAACATAGCTGCCAAAATTGTCCGAAGGGTGTTAAAGCCGGAACTCCAAGCCAATGCAATCAAGCGTGATGAAACACATGTAAAGTTTACTCCGTGGATCAAGGGAAAGCCATCAAGTAAGTACATTTTATTTTATTATTGACCTTTTAAACTTATTAATGAATCATACATGTGTACTATGAAATTTTGTCTATCGGCATTCAGGGAAATTAAATTGATTGCTATGTACAATTTACTAACTAAAAATGAAAAACAAAATAATGAATAAATATTTTTAAATCATAATATGTAAATAATATAAAGTATACAAATTCATGATTAATACACAGCTGCATATGCCTTCTTTTTTATAGTTTAATTTTAAATATTGTGATTAGTTATGTAAGAGTTTCTGAAAATAGTTATATTTTGTCAAACTTTTTGATTTTCTCAGTTTCGCATTATTTCTGTTTATAACATAATTTCTATTAGACCTGAGTTATTTTATAAATCTTTCACTTATGGGAGCAGCAGTTTAAATTCTAAATTCCTTTCATTTCTTATAATATTATTGTTTAAATATTCCAGTATTTAATTAGATAATGGATAATACTTTATGATTAATAAATAACATGTTAGTATTTATTTATTAATTTTAAAAAAATTACACAAACAATAAATTTTACTAAATAAAGTTAATTTATGATGTATTTCTAAATAAACAAATAAATTGCAATATTATATTTCAGACGAAAAAGCTTGAAATTCTATAAGCTAACTTGTTGAACATTTTTGTAATTTTTAGTAAGTTTTAGTGTTTTTAAGTTAAAGCGAGTTCATTTTTGCATGGATATTTGTTGAATAAAATTATATCAAATAAATACATTATGTAACACGTTTTTTTTTCTGATTGACAACATTAATATAACAGTTTATAAACTATTGTAATTGTAAAATAATTCATATGGATATCAATATTTAATATTTGCTTGCAAGTTTGTTATTATTTTATAATTTATTTTAATTAATTCCATGATATTCAAAATAATAATGTTGCCTAAAAACAATCAGTTTTATATTTTAAAATTATCATGGCATTCTGTAATACATTTTTTTTCTACTGAAGAAAACAATATAATTAAAATTCTTATTAAAAAAAAATATACAATCAAATAATGTTTGAAAATTTAGAATAAATTACTATTAGACTATCTATATAACTCTATACAGTTATAATTAGAGTCTTGATTTTTTGGACTTAGTTTGTTAGGCATGCGTTTTTAGTAGACCTAATTTTAATCATACAGTTTACAGCAATTTGAAGTTATGCATTAATTTTGCTTTAGTATATACTTAATAGTGTATGAAATAAATACAATTTTTGATTATAATAATTAGTGTTCAATTTTTTTTTTTTTTTTATCTAATCAACTAATTAATAATTATAAATGTATATACAAATTTGTTTAATTTACTATTATTATTTTTTTAGAGCCAGGTCAATAGTTGATTTAACAAAAATGAAAGACTACAAGTTTTAAATGAAATTCAATGTAATATGTTTTTGTTTAGTTATATTTATTGTAATAATTTAGTTAATAAATAATTGCATATTATTTTACATCAATTATGATAAAGTATACATTTGTATCAAACCATACTAAGTTGTTTTTTTTTTTTTTTTTTTTGTAGGTCTAATAAACAATATATTTTATAAATACATACCATGTTATATGTTTGTTTAAAATATTGTGCTTGTTTTGAAAAAAAAAAATCATAAATATATTTCTTGCTAAATAGAACTAAAATAGATACAGGATGATTTATTAATTGTGGTCACCCTATTTTTTTGGATAAATTTTGCATGTAATCAAATCATATTCTAAATTTTTGAATTTTAAATGTAGTTAAAGCTGATATTTTCTATTACTTAGATTTTTCACAACATTCAAGGAGTATCTTGTAGCTATACAGGTTTATTAAATGAGAACATATATTAAAAATTCCATAAATAAGCAGAGCATTACTTTAAATAAATTATGATGTCAAAATTATTAATTTCCATAAACAAGATATTTTATTTTTAAGTTTAGTTAGAGGGAGAGTAATGAATTATGACGGCACGGTGCGCAGCGTTTTATTAATGCCCCATTACTTTCCCCCACCTAAACTTAAAAGTGAAATATCTCGTCAACAGGTTGAAGGAAATCAAAAATTTTAACATTGCAATTTATATAATATAGGTTCTCATTTGAAAAATCCAAGTATTCGATAATATTGTCTACGCTTAAAAATTTCAAAAATCAGAATTTGAATACATCCCAAATTTAACCAAAACAAACAATGGGGTGAGTACGGTTAGTGAATCACCCTTTATATAAATATCTTTTAAAGATTAATTTAAAATCAAATTCCTATGATTTTTTTTTATTGAAATTTGTAAATACATTGTTATTATATATTATTAATTCAAACCACTTCTGGTTGGGTTAATACAATCTGACATTTTAAGAAATAGGTTGATAAGTTGGGAAAATATTCATTCAGACATAAATGAACTCGTTTCTCACATAATTTTAAACATACTGTATCATTTACCTATTGGCAGGTAAAGTATTATGGTATATTATATATTATGATGAAAAAATATAATCGTATTTAAAAATTTGCCAACAAATTCTTGAACAAAATAATAAACTAGGCAAATGATGATAGTTGTGATGATAATTTCGGCGATGAAATTAGTTTTCTTTGAAAATATAAATTTTAAAAATTAAAAAAAATCTTTGCATTTGTCTTGTTTTTTCTCAATTATAATGAAATTAAAAAATTGACTTTTACTATATTTAAAATGCTTCCAATGATTTCTGGTATAAAGGTTTACATGAAAAAAAAAGAAGAAATATTTCATAAAAATATATTTGTTTCAAAATAGAATTCTAAGATATCCAATTTATTATAAAAACCGTAACTAATAATTTACCAACACAATTAATATATATATAACAATTAAAAAAATATTTAACAATGAAAATATGACTTAAATGTTCACAGTTGACTTATTTTGATTTCAAAGTACCGTTATTGTTTAACAAATGGTTATCACTATACCGTGGACCACTACCCAATTTAGTCACGATAATATATTTTAAAAGATTTTTATCTTTAGGTTCAAATCCAGGTTTTTTTAACTGAAAAATAATATAAGTAAAATTAAAATTAGTAAATTATTATTATTATTATTATATTATCTTATTATTTCACTAACCATGTCTGATTGAGTTGATACTATTCCTCGTATATATGAAGAAATAGGTTGGTCAGTTGGGAAAACTTTAATTAATTCTGACATAAATGAACTCAAGTCATTTTGCAGAATAAATAAAAATGCGTTTGGGCCAGCATCAAAAGTATACGAAACCTATAATTTTATTAAAATGGATTTTAATAATAGGACTAAAAACAAAAACAAAATATTGTACTTTTATTTGACCAGTAGCTTCATTGTAATCATGAACAAAGGATATTATTTCATGTGATACTTGATTTAAATAAACACAAGGAGGGTATGTGTCTAAACAAACAGCATGAAACTGATTACTGTCCTTCATTGTGATTTCAGCAAATTGTTCAAAATTTTTATCTTTTATTGCCTTAAACCAAATACATACATTTTTGACTGCAATAAGAATAATTTTAATTTAAAAAATCATACTTGAATGATTTGTGTTGTTCTTTCAGGAACACATTTTTGAATTCTATACTTTAATAGCTCACTAGTTTCTACTGATTTTTGCATTCCAACAGTACTGCTGGTCTTTTTTTGAGAATCATTTACCTAATAATATCCAAGAAAATTATAAATGAAAAATAAGACTAATATTATATGGATTATAAACAAATTGAAGTGTTGTCATGCAATTAAAAATTATCATACCACTAATATAATAATTCTCATTTCTGGCCAATGTGTGTCATCAGCAATTTGGACTGCAATTGAATCTGAACCTAAATCATCAATGCCTGCTTTCCAATGGACAAATCCTCCGTAAATACTTCTACATGCACTCCCACTACCTTGTCTTGCTATAGAAGATAAATCTTCATTGAGCAAGTCAAATGCATTAGCTAAAGTGTAAACTATTTGAAAAATATATAATTAAAATAATTGCAAAACTTGATATTAAGCTATGCTTAAATTAATATATAGACCTAGACAGGCATAACCAGCTGCTGATGAAGCTAATCCTGCTGCAGTGGGAAAATTATTTTCAGAACAAACCCTTATTTTCCATTTTGCTTCTGGACAATTTTCTCCTTTTCGTTTTACTATTAACTGTCTAACTAAAATTTCAAATAATTAGGTATTTATTAAATAAATTATAAAATTTTACAGAAAAATTACATTTTCTTTATAGTGTAAATGTCTACATTCACACAAAATGAATTAAGTTCAAAAATTACTATTCTGGGATTCATATTGTGCATGGTAAATTTTTGGACTTACACGTTATGCATGAACAGAAATGAAAGAATAAAACAAATTTTCAAATACAGCATTATGAACAAAATCATTGGTTTCAGAATTAATTCTAAAACTAAGGAATTACTTAAAATGTGGGCATACATAAGATTAACCATTTATAAATTATCTTTAGTTTTTAAAAAACAACTATTTAAGTTTAGGTAAGTAAATTTATTATTAAAATATCGTACTTAGATTAAAGCATTTTTGCAGACGTTCATTTGTTTCAATGGGCATAATCCTGAAATTATAAAATTTCCCATTAATTTCTATTAAGAATTAAATAATAATAATTTTACATCATATATATAGGGTGATAAACTAAGCATGCTCATCTCATTTTTTTAGTTAAATTTTACATTTATTAAAATTCTGATTTTAGGAGGAAAATAGTAGAACACTAATCAAATGTTGGGCCATGTCACCACAAAAATAATACTTCACTACTCTCCCCCTACGGCCTACCTAAACTTAAAGTAAAATATTTCATTAACAGGTTGACAGGGAAATCATAAATTTTAACACTAAAATTTATTTAAAGTATTACTCAATCTATTTTTTGAATTTTTAATATAGATTCTCATTTTAAAAATCACAATTGATATTGCCATAGAATACGCCTTAAATGTTTTGAAAAATCTGAGTATTAGAAAATATCAGTTTTAACTAATTAGACCTAAAAGTTCCAAGTATTAGAATTTAAATACATGCAAAATTTAATCAAAAAACGGGGTGAGTGCACTTAGTGAATCATCCTGTCTAAATCACATACAACAAAGATATGTTTAATACTAAAATATATAAACCTTCAATGTTTCTATGTATTTCAAATTCATATGCTATTTTGACAATGGAAATTGAGAGTAGAGTAAAACTATAACACTCTCAAAGTAAAGCAATGCAACTAAATGTAGTAATTACAAAATTATAGCACTCCTTTCTCATATTTCAATAATACTTGAAACATACTAAACATGATAAATAACAGAAATACTATTGTAACATTTGTAGACCTAACAAGGCTTTTAATAAAGTGGATTGTACGATTTTATTCAGGATATTAAGAGAAAAAGAGATTAACTAGAAAGATATCTGGTTTATTTTCAACCTATACAAGGATTAAATAACAAAAACGGATGTAAATGGGTTAGTAAAAGAACAATGAATAAGAAAAGGAATAAGACAAGGATGTCTGTTGTCGCCTTTTTTTGTTCGATATGTTAAAATTAAAATGAGTATAAGTAACAAGACCAAAGGAGTAAAATAAATGGCATATTCATCGACTGTATTCGCTTTAGTAATGATATGGTTACCTTGGCAGAATCTGAACAAGATATGAATGACATTCTAAAAATATTAACAAATGCATTTCATAAATTTAAACCAAAAATTAATGCTATGAAAACCAAAACAATGCTCATAAGTGTAATGGACCAAAGTTATATATTCTTAAAATCCAAAATAAAATACTTAAAAAAAGCACAAATAATAGAGGGGTTTAATAGTTTCCCGCTAACAGATTTAATTTAATAATACAATTCTCTAACACCACAAAAAAGATTAATAAAAAGTAGTAATGGATCGAACTGTTCGAATTTCAAAAATAAAATTTTGAACCAAACTATTTAGTTTAAAAATCGAACTTAAAAATATTTGCGAACTGATTGATTAAGACAGTTCAAATTTCAAATCCAATTCACTGTTTTTTTTTTTTTTATCATCAAATATTTTATTGTTAAGTGGTATAATATATACAATAAACCTTGTATATTTCAACAATGGGTATTGTCATGAAATGTGAAAAGTGTATTTTTAATTTAGGAAACAATAAAACCATGTTATAATAACATATACGTACATTAATTTTCTATAATGAATTTTATTAGATAGTTCATTCAGCTACATCTATAAATTGCTAGTGTTATACGAGTACAGCTTAATTCAACAACACTTAAAAATAAAAAGTAATTGTAGTAATTATAGTTGATTTACATGTTATATCTATGTACATAGTATATGGAAAAAAGGAACAAATCCGTTTCGCATATTTCTTAGTGAGAATTTAACATTCTCAACAATTTTTTTCCTAAAATGTATGATTTTTAATGCTTAATCTATTGGTATAATCAAAACTTACCTATCATACTTACTTATATAGTTATTGTACATTAACTTTGAAAAACAGCGTTTTTGGAATTAATCCAAAATGTGGTTGTTTTTATTATTATTATGATTTGTAGTTATCGATATTTTGGTAACAAAGTTTTTTCATTGAAATCGGAACAAGTCTATATCTTGTTTGGATTTAGAGTTTTAAATGTTTTAACTCTATTAATCCCGCTATCTCATTAGGTGCACCAAAAATGATTTTTCATTTTTCCTATTACCTACCTAACGTGGTTTTACATAACAAATCTAGGGATATTTTAGATTAAAACAGTCCAAGCAAATGAGTAACCACCTTGGAGTTTTAGTTATACCTATAATACATTTTCACTTTATCCTGTTACCTACCCAACATGGTTTTGAACAACAAATTGAGTTATTTTCAATTAAAATTGTCAGAGTGAGTGCAGTAAAACAGCGTGTTTGGACTTTTGTAATTCTAAATCTAATCCAGATTGACTTATTCTGACTTTAATAAAAAAACTTTTTTATCAAAATATCAATAACTACAGATCATAATAATATTAATAAAAATGACCATATTTTGGATTACTTCCAAAAATGGTATTTTTCAAGGTTTATATACAATAACTATAAAAGTAAGTATGATAGGTAAGTTTTGATTAAACCAAAGAATTCAGGATTAAAAATCATTTTGAAAGAAAAAAAATTATTTTATTTTATGTATGTACCTACAATTTTATTTAAAAGAAATTATTTTTAATTATCATTTTTGCAGTGTTAAGAAATTTAATTTAAGTTAGAGCCATTAGAGGGGGACTTTGAAACTTCTATAATTTTTGCTTTTTGAAATGTTTTTAAGCGCCTTTTTGTGAATTATAAGAGAATATAAATCCGGTGTCTACTTATAAGTAAAATATATTCAGACTAAAATTCAATATAAAACTAAACAATTAACAGTTACCATGAATCTAAAAATTCTGCTACCCTGAAAACATTATAACCACTATTAATAAATGAACACCAGACATCAGAAGAATAGCACAAGCAAAGTAAGCATTCCCCAAAAAAAAAATCAACTTTTTCCCCGATTAACTCCCGGGCTATTGATATATGAAAAGAATTATTTAAGACGTTTTTTTGGAATGTGTTGACATATGGCAGTGAAACATAGATTATGTATAAGAAAGATGGAGGCAAATTGGAGGCAACAGAGATGTGGATGTGGAGAACATGAGAAAGCCAGATGAATAAACAAGAAAAGCAATGATAAGTAAGTGTTAGAAGAACGAGAAAAAAGACAGCTGATGAAGACAATTAAATGAAGGATATTAAAGCTAATTAGACAAATCATCTGACACAATTTCATAACTAATAACAATTAAGATGTTAATGGGAAAAAATCAAGAGGATACCCGAGAAATCAATATTCTGAATACATCCATGATCTCAGTTTATTTTATTTTATTGAGAAGTGTGACGTTAAACAAAGAGAAGTGGCATCAACAAGGATTCGCATTTAATAATTGATAATGATGCCATATTAAGAATCAATTATAATTGTATAAAACTCCAGTCTTTATTATTTAATTTAAATACTGAGAACTTAAAATTTATATGAATACAATTAGTTATAAGCAATTGTATTCTTCAAATAATTGCTAGTGTACATATTAGTAAACATAAATAACACAATTTAATTAATTAATTTAAAAACAAATATAACCTATTGAATGTTTCTCACAATTAAAGGAAAGTATAAAAACAAATACTTAAGTATGAATTATTTATGGAGTAATTAAATATAATTAACTAGTAATTATTATTATTTAATAGCTTTAATAGATAATAAATATAGGGTATTTATTGTAAGATAGTTAAATTATATTTAAATATATAAATAAATAAATTAATTAATGAGTTGCTTGGAGTATTATATGTGTACGGTTGGTTTCAAATTGAAAATTCATTGTCAGGTCACAAAGTGTCAAAAAGTAAAATGCGACTAAATATGAAAAAATAAATGAAGGAATACACGGGAAAAATGTAAACAAATTGGTCATTTTACATAAAAATAATTTATTTTAATAGGAGAGATTGTTTAAAATGAGTTATTATTAGACATAGATATGTTAAGAAACATAAATTGTTTGGTTATTATTTACTATATTATTTAAAATGTATTAAAAAAAAAGATTATTATTAAAATCGGTTTGTAAATTTAAAATTGTATGAGTTATTTTTCTTTATTTCATTGTGTATGTGTAATTATTTTAAAACTGTATTAATATAAATGTTTTTTTGGGTATTTAATACTTCTAAGTCTGTATTAATATCAAAATTTAAATTATAGTTATTTTCTAAAATATGTTTTGTAAATTTAAATTTGTTTTTCTTTATTATTTTATTATAAATTATAGTTGTCATTTAATTATTACTTTCTTTCTAGACTAAACATTAATTACTTACATAATAGATTGACATGAATGCGAAGCCTATTAATATAAATATAAATAGTATACGTTTTTACATAAAAAACCTTGTTTTTACAAGGTACAAATAAATCAATTAATATTGTAATTAATGCATTCTAATAAATATTAACAAAAAGCAGGTACTGTAAGTAGTAATACATTAACACGTATGTTTAAATTAAATATTTGTATTGTAAATTATACAGGACAGTCAATTAATGTTTTTAATTAATATTTAAATTTTTTTTTTAAATGAGAAATTTAAATCATTAAAAGCTATTTTATTATTAACAACTTGTAACATATATATATATATATTATAATTAAATTATTTATATTTGTTATTATCTATTTCAGTTTATTTATCTTGATGAATGGCATTTATTACACATAAAAATAATTCTAGTAAAAATTATTTTATTATTTTTTTACAATATACTTATGTTACGTAATATAAATTATGATTTATATAAATATATTATAAAACTGACTACCAAATAAATTTTCACTAGAAGATTAAAATTATATATATAAGTCACAAATATAATATATTAAACATATTTTCTACTATATGCTAATACATAATTTCAATAAGCATTTTAGAATACAATGTTATATTCTGAAATCAATAGTGTACTTGGTTCTCTACCAAAACTTACTTTAATGTTCCAAAATGAAGTATTGATGAGTGAAGGACCTAAATTATGTTAATGAATTTAGTAGATGAGATTTTTAAATTACACACTATAACAAAAAAACTAGTATTTTATTTGGTTCACATTTGAAAGTGAAAAGAAATTATTTAAATTTATAGATTCTAATTAAATTAACATAAACAATATTTCCTTGTTATAGTTCAAATTACAATAGGTATTTAATTATTTTGAATAATGTATCTGTAAATGCATGGGCTTTTAAAAATAAGATACACATTTGAGATTAATTAGTTTGCTATTATTATTTTAGAAATTAATAAGGATGTTTTGGTTTTAAGAACATTTACTTTGGCAATTCTATTTTCAATGAGGAAAAAAAAAGAAATATCTGAACCAGTAAGTAGTACAAACACAAATTTGAAAAAATAATAATAAAATACATGCTTTGAATAAAAAAGTATACATAAAAAGAAATTTGTATAAATAGTAAAAATTATTTTAACAGTGTGTAAAAGGAGAAATTATGCCTAGACAAGATTGATTAATATGTTACTAATATTGTTTTGAAAGTAAAAGTAAACTAAATACTTACTGTCCATTTAGCCAAATACCATCTTCCTTAATAAATGGCCCTGCAATAACAGATGTCTGACTATGCATCTAAACAAAATAAATCAAATACAGAGATCCATAAATACTTAAAAACATTATTATTATAATGATGGACTGATGTATGCGCTACATATTATTTAAAATTAAAAAACCAAAATAAATCAAATAGACATTTAATCATTAAATAAGTAGAATAATTGTGAATTTTAACTCCATTGTTTACAATCAATAAATGGCAAATAGATGCGATTGATAGTAATGATGAACATGAGTAACTTACTTGATCGCAGTCCAACGTCAGACTGACCGAATCATTTAAAGGCAATATCAAACGTTCATCTCTTTTGCCCCCTGAAGAGGAAACAAAGTATGAAATGGATTTATAATACAATTTAAGGGTAAAGCCATCGGGTTTTTTTGGGGGAACTTACAGTACTTTATAGCTGCTATGTTGACGGGGGCCAGACATGTTACAACTTTGTCCATATCGTTTTGTATATTTGGTTCAATAAAAGTTAACCCGTAAACGTGTCTGAGTTGCTTGACAGATATCTAATACTAACGACCAGAAAAGTGGTGACTGACGTACACTGAGACTGGGGACAGGTATCACAACCAAATTAATAACGATTAATAAGTCATATGTCCGACAAGGTGTCAACTATAAAAACTTACTGAATAATGATCAATGGTTTCCATATCACCTAGAGACACATACAACACTACGGTCTGATCGACTTCCGGCCAGAGTGCCCGTCACCACGTTCCGTACATATGGAAGGGCTTTTTCTAAAGACAGACGCTTAGTGGGGGCAGTGGCACCGCCGCGCATTCGATGGCAGCGAACCAACTGCGCGGGCAGCGATTGGTCCATATGCTCAGGCCGCCGGTACATGTGTGCTGTGCCGGTGTGCGCCGGACCCGCGAGTTACGACGTCGTCCTCGTCCGTTTATCACCGGGTAAATATTTATCTCTTTGTTTACGTCACCTTCACACTGCATCTACAGTGTGTGTGGACGGTGGCGTGTGATGTTTGTGTGTACTGTGTACCGTGTGCGTGCGAGTTCGATGCTGATAACGTCAGCTGAAGTTTTTTCAATTCTTTTTTCTCCCCGAGTATAATTAATAATTACTATTTCATCTCCATATACATTCATGTGTATAATACATTATTAAAATAATAATATTATATATGCAAGCAAACGTGCACGCCTTTCAATAATATATTAAATTTATTATATTATTTTATTGTATAATACATATGTATATATACACACACGCACACTCGCGTATACATAAAACACATATACACACACACACACACACACACACACACACACACACACACATCAATAAGAATATATAATATTTTCCGTGTTTTATTGTTGTTGACGTAAATAATATTGAATACGCACACACACACACACACACACACACACACACACACACACACAGCAGACACGCGTAATGGCGCACTTAACTCTAGTCGATTTCGACGACAGCAATCATGTTTTGATTTAGAACTGTGTGGCACTATTGCATAGGAAATACGTTGCAGTGCCGTGAGATTGTTTCGTCTTTATTCTCAAAAAAAAAATATATATAACACACTTTTTTTCCCCCCGTTACCGTTTTTATTTTTCATGGGCGCGTTTCAATGTAAATCGTGTCAGAATGGTGAGGATGTCACAAATATATTCGGTCAACATTCTACGGACGGTGGTGAGCGGAGACGATTCATTTTCGGTAGGCATCGTGGCCGGAGTGGTTCAATTAAACAGACCGATTCTCTGGTGCTCCAGACGTTAAGTGTCATCAAGAACTTGGGACTTATCGATAAGTAAGTCTTAAAGACCCGATCAATTGTAAGTAGGTACTAATTAGTAATTCACTTGCTATACACAAACACAATCAGTAAGGAATGTACTTTGTTGTCTTGATTATCATTAAACATGTTTTTGGTTCCTTATAAAATGTCGTTTAATTTTGTTTTGGTTTTTTAATATTTATTTATATACTCCACAAATGCTATTCAAATTAAAACCATGCAATTTGTATATTACCTATTACTGTTTCTATTTTTAGAACTACGTTTTCAAAATAATTTTACTAATAATATAAAAGCCTAATATTAATAGTAAAATGTCTTTTTTCTTTATTTTTATCAGTATACTATTCAGTAAAATATATTGATGAATCTAATTAGCGAAACTAATATTTTTCTTTGTATAACATAGGTATGTACTCTATTTTACCATAAAATAACTATTTGTATTATACTTTAAATACATATCAGTTTAACAGTAGGTATTTTAAATAAATAAATAACTTAACTATGCACACATTTTTAATTTGAAATTGTCTATTATTACTTAAGTTGAATAAATATTATTATTATTATGTAGGTATCATATAGAAATGTCTAATTTCTTCTTTTAAAATAATATAATGAATTGTATAACTTAATTTTGCTTATCAAATTATACTGTTTCAGATGTTAAAAACTTTACACCAAAGTACTTTTATAGATTTTATCATAAATTATTATTTTCACTTTATAAAATTTTAATTTAACTTTTAAAAAGTATATAATACTGAGTACCTATAATACCTATTGATAATTTCAGAGTATATTTTTATTAAGATTATGTTTCAAGAAAAAAAAAACAATGAAAACGGTTCAATTGTTATTATATTTTATACCAGCAAGTAGAATTTTTTTTTATTTGTTTAATCATAATTAAATGACTTTTTCACGGTACTAAGTAGGTATTAGCAGATGTACTTACAACTGTTATTAATATTTTTTATTTTACATTCATTTAATTAAGTATCTAGTAAATTCCTTGATTTTCATTCATTAATGTCATTCTAAACTAATAAATATTGCCTAGTTATTTTGTAGTTATCTTTATCATTTCCTTAAAAATATACCTACCAACTAAACTGTTTAATATAATTTTATCTAATCAATTCATGTTCATAAATGTTTTTATTTTCAATTTAAACTATTTGAAGTTTGAAATTATGATACTAAACTGGGTATATAAAAGTATTTTTAAGATTGAAGATTTAGGTAGGTAGGTACTGAGTTATACACAAAAAACAATTAATATTTTTGGTTCAATAATATAGTTTTAATAAAGTTTAAAAAAAGAAATTGATTTTTCAGTTCGTATATGTCAGTTAAAAATATTGAAACATATTTTCCAGATTCATTTACTCAAAATTGGTGATTATACATCACGATAATATTCATATACACTGTGCGTATTTGGTATTACGGAACAATAGATTTATGTTGAACCATAGTTTTTTAAACAGTATTACTGAAACTTGACAAATGAAATCTGATGAACGTATACAAAGATGGAAAGATAGGTTTAAAGCAGACAAATAAATATAAAGACAAGAACAATAAGTAATTTTCTTTTAAAACGGGCTTTGAAAAACCTTAACCCTGCATTAATCGCATAGGTTACTATTGTATCCCACGGTTCTTATCTGTGTAATAACTTTATTGTCGTTAGTTTTTGATAAAATTAGTTTTAGATACCGGTCAGCATTACTTGCTGCTTATTATTGTCATTAATAATTTAGTTATTTCTCAGACGTGACTGTTTAAGCTTAAACTTGTTTCTGTGTAAATAACTACGCGACTAACGCAGGGTTAAACTGTTTATGGATAGAAGTAAAAAGAAAAAACTGCATGCAGTGAATAATGGGAGAAACTGCAGAATGTGAATGTGGAGACGTACAGGACGATCAACACCTACAGTGCGGAATAACCAACTCAAAATGTGAGAGAAGTAACCTCTTTAGAGAATCAAACAACAAGTTAATTAAATTAATCTATTATTGAATCTAAAAAGGGAAGTTTACAATGCTGACTGATATGACAAAGAAAAACCTATAATATTATTAGCTGTCCCGCTTGTGCCAAAATAAATAGTTCAACAATGAATTAACTATAGTAACTACTGATATTTATGTGTGTGTCTCGAGACAACGATTCCAGCACTTACACTTGTTTATTTGTGTTTTAACTGTTTTATATTTCATCTATATCACCGAGGTAACCATTAATCAACAAAAATGATTAGATTTCTGTATCAAAATACCAATAATCCTGTGTTTTAGAGAAAAAACATAGTATTTAAGTTTATCCTGGTCTAAAACTATATCTATGCAAGTTACAGCTCAATCAGTTTGTAAACGGTCGAAAATATTTTTTTTAAAACTTGATTACAAAATATTGACCTTTTTTCTTTATTTTTTATAAATATAATTAACATCTATTATATATAGTAGAAGCCACTTAATAGGAACAAGGATTATTGATACAATCGCATTATTGAAACTAAATGTTTATAGTACTGTCGTAGTGCATTATCTTATCTGTACTATATTGTTACATATCTAATATAATATATAATCTTACTGAATTCCACTTGTCCAATTATTTTGTCTACTTTTACTGTTCTTTATCATAGTTTTAGTACCTACTTAGATCTTTACTGTTATTTTTTTAGTTCAGTTTCAGTGTGCATATGTAAAGAAGTGGTTAGTGTTTCGGCTTTGAGCAACATTATTTTTGTGAAAGCATGGTCATCAAGTTACTTGACACAAAAAACAAACATCGATATTTATATACATATTTTACATAACAAATAAAATAATTCATTTTTTTTATAGTAGATATATTTTTATTAATTGTAAATTTTTTTTTTCATAGCAAATGAAACTAATCGCTTATTAGAAACAATCAGTTAATTAACTGAAAAGTGTTCCTAATAAGTGGCTTCTACTGTGTATGAACCTTCTAGAAGAAATTCACTAAAAGAAATTGAAATTTGTACTAAAATCTATTCCATAGTTTAGAAGAACAGACAGATGTAGGATAGCGACTTAGTATTATAATGGTTAATCTTTTAGAGATATTGTTATTGCCTGTATGTTTTGAATTGAGTTGTAAAACCTTATAAAGACATAATAAATTTGAAATTTTAATAAATAATCTACAATTTTTTTTACATTAATTGAAAACTTCATTTATGTAATAATTTAAATGATACAAATGTTTCAAGTATTATTATTATTATTATTATAATTTTCTGAAATTTTATTTTGTAGTGGTTCTGAAGCCCCAGAAGCCTTGCGAAAGTTACATTGGTTAGCTGATGATGGTGATGGTTGGATTCAAGTGGTATTGTCTATGATTTATGTTATTCCTCTTGATGATCCACTTAGTCCGGCATTAATAACTGTTATTCTTGACGATTGCCCTCTACCAGACAAAGTATTTATTTAAAAATAAAAAATAGATTGTTAATTCTAATTTTTTTATTTTTCAGGAAACAATATTAAAATTATCACAAATGTTAGATCTATCAAATAAAACTCCTAAGCATAAAACAGTTGACCAACATCGTAACATATGTGTAATATTAGGTATTCTTGCTGATAAATTACCTGGACCTTCAAGTATTGCTTTATTAACTAAAGATACATTAACTTATCTTTTCAATAACATGGTGGGTAATAATTAATAGATAATTATGTGTCTTGTTCAAATTGTATTTTTCTTTAAATGTTAATTTAATATTGTTTTAGGATTTACAAGTGCATCCATCAATTATACTTTTTTCATTAATTGCACTTGAAAAATTTGCACAAATAAGTAAGTGATACTAATTTGTATATTAACCATTTGTTATTGAAAAATTATGTTTTATTATTTTTATAGGAGAAAATAGATTTACAATTGAAACTTTTATGAAGACTGGACCTTTGGCTATGCTTTCAATATTTGAAAGGTTGACAGGTTCTGATCAGCCATTATACGCTCAAGTTGGATTTTGTGCTGAATGGCTACTAGATAACATATGTAATATACTGCAGTTTTATATTAATTTTAATGAATTTATAAATTTATGTTTACTATTTAGTTGTGGACAATCAAAGAACATTATCATATTTTAATGTTTCTATGGAAGGTGTAAATGCAATATTAAATCAAGAAGATGCAAGCGAATATTTAAAACTTGGTCCTTCTGGCTTAGAAGTATGAAAATCCTTTAATAATAGCCAGTGCTTGATTTTGGGGGAGGGTAAACTTAACTTTTGAAGAAGTCTTAAGTATACATTTTTTATTGCATATTGTTTATTTCTTTTATTTTCCAATTCAAGCATTATAAATATATATCTACACAAAGATCGTATGTTTTATATATTTGTATTAATTAGGCTAGGTGTGATGCTTGTAGTTTTGAAAGTGTACGCTGTACATTCCAAGTAGACAAAGGAACTTGGTACTATGAAGTAACAATATTGACATCTGGTGTAATGCAAATTGGTTGGTCTACTAGAAATTCCAAATTTTTTAACCATGTAAATAAATAAACATTATTTGGTTAATTTAATTTTGTTAATTAACTAAATTAAATTAAATTTTAGGAAGGTTATGGTATAGGTGATGATGAATTTTCAGTAGCCTATGATGGTTGCAGACAATTAGTGTGGCATGGTGCACGATGTACAAGTTGTGTATCTGGTAGACCTTGGCGAGAAGGTGATACAATTGGTTGTTTACTACGAATCGAAACACCATCTCCTACTGCAACTTTTTATTTGAATGGTCAAATTGTAGCTTCTAATGATAAAATATTTCAATATGCCAAGTAAAAATACTAATATTTTACTTTATAATATTTGTTTAGAAATAAAATTCTATGATAAATAGACTTGTTAAAAAGTCAAAAACATTTAAAATTATTTATTGAATTTGAGTCTTTAGTTTTTACTCTATTAAATTAAACTTTAAGCTAAGAATAAAGAGTTTAGTAATGTTACGAACCCTGATTCTTTAAATTAACCAAACCAAACACAGCATTTTATTTAAACTTGAACTAAACAGAACTATTCAAATATTTTTATCTAAGCTAAAACAAATTTTAAAAATTATTAAAAGGTTTTATGTTTAAAATATAATTCCTGAACTATTTCGAAAAAATATTTAAACCATTGACCTAATTTTGGGACTTGTTGACTGAGATTGGGTTTTTATTTAAACATATGTGTAACAATAGTTATAATGATTGTTAAGTATGTTGCAATTTGTAATAATATTAAATTCCAACATACCTATCAACTATTATATTTATTGTTTTGCCATCATACCTCAGGTAAAACAATTACCTAGTAAACAATTAACAATAAACTTTAATATTATAATTTATAATTGTATTAATAAGTGCAATTTAGATATACACATAAGAATCATAATTATTATTTAAATTTTTCCATTTAGGTATATTACTTTTTCTACTGTGGTAAAGTGGTGATAGCCTTTGCTCATTGAAAAAAAAAAAAAAACAAATAAACTTCATTCAAATTTTTGTCACTGCTCATCAAAAGAATTTCAGCGATTTGAATCTTAAACCTAACTTATTGAGAATGTAGTTCGGTTTTATCATTAACAATTTTCAGTCAAATACTCCAATTTTGGTTCAATTTTGTTTGACAATCAACCAGTTCGTAACATCACTAAGAAAAGTTATAAAGTGATACGCTGCAAGTTATATAATAATAATTTTCGACTTACCAATTTCATTCTTAAATTTAATTATAATATAAGTACTTATAATTTATAAAGTTATAACATTCATATAGGTCAGGGTTTTTTGCTGCTGCTAGTTTTATGACGTTTCAGCAAAGTCGATTTAATTTTGGGAATAAACCATTTAAATATCCACCAAAAGGTGTGAAGTTTAGTGTTATGAATAAACATGGACTTCTAGATGGAACAGAAAAAACTATCTTACCAAAGTAAACAAACTAATAAGACAAATGTATACAATAGATTTACAATAATAATTTTTTAGGCGAATGAGACTGGAATTATTGGGTAGGCAAACAGCTGACGAAGATTCATGTACAATTTGTTTTGATCATAAAGCTGATGTTATGTTGTATCCTTGTAAACACGAGTATGTACTTAAGAGTTTCAAAAGTAATTTATATTATTTTATAATTATCATACAGTTAAGTTATTCATTGTCAAATGATTTGTGGGAAAAATTGAATAATTTACACCTTTTTACATTCTAAGTTAAGAGAATAACAATATAGTCAAAGCATAAACTTCTATCCTAAACAATACATCAGTTAATATTTTCACTTATCAGAACCCATTCATTGATAAAGCACTCCAAAATTAAATAAATCTAGATAATTTTGTGTTTAGAATTTCCAAAACAAATATTTAAGTTTAAAATAACTTATTTTACTTCTTTTTTAGTTACACACACTGTTAGTTATGACACCTCTCAGACTCAAAGAACACATGCAACAACTACAGCAATATTCATATATATGTATATCAATATTGTTGAATTGTTTATATTTTTATCTTTAAATAATTGAGATAGAGCGTTTAGGTTCATACTCAAAATTAAATTAAAAAGTTAATGTACAAATTTCATTTTAAACAATCTATATGAAATAATTAATGAAACCTTTTTTCTTGGCAAACAAATATAAATTCCTAATTTTAGACTGGTTTTTAAATCTACAAATATAATTATCGGTATCAATTAACAATATTGTGAACTTCACAAAGGTACCCATGATTCATTTATTCATGTAAGTCATGTATATTACTTTAAAATTAAATGAAAAAATTAACTTCTTTAGGCTATTGAACAATAGTCAAGTGTATTGGGTCTCCCATTGATAATTATTGTCAAAGAGATTGCATTTAGCAACCCAATAACCCCTCCCCTTCGATTAGAATGTAAATTGTTCAAAGACCCCCTTCTCCTACTGGGATAATGCAATGCAAAACTTTGATATTTTGATATTTATAACAATTTAAAATCTAAAGCAGAAGTTTAAGGAATAGTTACCAATATATCATGTTTATTTCTCTAGTTTAAATTATAAATTTATAACTATTGTAAATTTTGTATTATTTTTCATAATTTTAGAAATTTTAATCTCCGGTAAGAGGGCCGTAGAACAATTATTGTGTATTTAAAAGTGGTAATTGCTATTTTAAAAAGTGTTTATTCATTTAAGGTATGAAAGGTAAACAACTATTAATAAAGGTAAAAATGTTAGGTAAACATTTAAAATAGAGCTTAAATTATTTCATTATGATTAAAACGCAGAAATCAAATTCATTTTAATCTTCCAAGAAAATGTATTCTATATATTACATTTATCAATAATAAATATTATATAAAATAACCAAATGGCCTACTTTTTATAATAACAACAGTTAATCATCATATTAAATAAGATAAGTCCATATATAATGTTAATATTTAATACTTATGATTTCCCAATTCACCAATATAATAAATTATTACTAATTATATATAAAGACTTATTCATTTAATACATTTACTGCCACAACCTAACCAGTATCATATAGCTAACATTTTTAATTGGTTTATATTTAAACTACATCTAAGGTTCTTGAGTTTTTAATGATTTGGAAATTGGATCAGCCGATAACTTTTTTATCAATTTCGATTGTTTAAATATTATTTTAAATAATTTTGTTAATATATACTCAATTGCATACATTTTTACTGTGATCAGTGACCATGTGGGTACCCACCTTGTACATAATATTTTATAATTGTAAGAGGCAGTTATTTTTGATTTAAATTGTTTTCAAAATAATAATTATTTTCACTTGTTCACAGCAACAGTATTAGTTTTAATTATTGTGCTAATAATTTTTTGTGTTTCAGAGGTTATTGTAAACACTGTGCACAGCAACTAACATTGTGTCCAGTTTGTCGTCAATTAATCGATAGGTATCAGGAGAGCATTCAGCTGTATCAACCACTCCAGTCGCTCTAGTCAGTTAATCGTGCTGTGATCTCTTCCATTTTTAAACATTGATATGTTATACTACATTTATCTATATTCTATTATATACATACATAATCGTATATTATTTTATTGTGTAAGTCTTGATTAAATTTGTGTACAGAAAACTAAGTTGTATAAAATAAAATAACAGTCTTTCAAATTATTATTAATATTATTTAATGAAAGGTTTTCAGAATGGATGGCTGTAACTGGGTCTTAATTTGGTTAACTAACTGAAGGATTTGAAGATACTTGATCCAATTGTGTTAGTAGGTGAAAATAATAACAAATAAATACAAATGTAATATATATCTCAAAAATAAAATGTTATTTATCTGTGTATATTTATATAATATATCTATCTATATCAATTAATAACAAAAATAATAAAATTTTATAATCATTAAATTTATTTTATGATTGGCACAGCCATTATTTCAATTAAAAAAAAAAATGTGATTAACTGTAAAATTAAAAATATATTAAATGAATCTCTTCTACAAATAGACTAATTGGCACTTATGCCAAAACTTCGGTTGCCATCAGCAAAGTAACGTACATCTCTATCTTCATCTCTTCTTAACATTGTTAGTGTGTCTGTGAGTACTTTATGTTGAGGATTTTGTAAGTCCATAAAAACAGCTATTTATAAAACAAACAAAATCAGTTAAACTTTTTTTAAATAAAAATTATTATTATATAATTATTTTAACTTACGGTTATTAGAAACTTGTGTGTAAAGTGTTTTGGCAACCATTAACCGAACATTTGGTACACGATCAGATGCCAGATTTAGTAAACAGGGCAATAAATCATTACTAAAATCGATTGTAGATAAACAACTATCACCGTAGTTCAAAATATACGAACATATTTGTGCGTATATTTGTCTTCTACTCCATAAGTCTGATCGACCAAAACGTGTTACTAGCTCGTTAAGCATCAACCTTTTTAAACTTAGATTTTTATTAAGTACTAATAATAGTTCAGGAACCTAGTAATATTTAAATAAATAAATATCAAGTTTAAATAAAATTATGAAAACAAAAACTAGTTACCAAAGACAAAGCAGACTGACGAACTGAAGATATTCTATCCATGAGTAATGACAGGCACACCTCATGTATGTGATGATACATGTCAAGTGGTGTGAACAGGTGCAAAGATTGAGCTAATTGTTCACAGAAATTTTGTCGAAAACGCCAGTTCCATTCATAATCCGTTTTCAAAAACCGGCACATCATGGGTGCCAAATCACTACGAACGCTTACTGATAACATCTAATATACAAAATGTGATGATTAGTTTTATTGTAATTTATTTGACCACATTAAATATAAATTTGACAATTTAATAACAAATCAGAAATTATTTGGGTAAATGTTCATCACTGGGATATCAGATGAAACACGGACCATTAGTTTTTCATCATGATAAAAGTAATTATTCTAATTCTAATAGATTATTTCATACACAGTTCTAACGAATATAAATTAATTAATTCAAAAATGTCATAATAGATTATTTCATACACAGTTCTAACGAATATAAATTAATTAATTCAAAAATGTCAGAATAGATTATTTCATACACAGTTCTAACGAATATAAATTAATTAATTCAAAAATGTCAGAATAATTTAGGTACGATTTCATCACTAGGGTATCAGATGAAACACGGACCATAAGTTTTCATCATGATAAAAGTCATTATTTTAATTCTAATAGATTATTTCATACAGTTCTAACAAATATATAAATTAATCAATTTATTAAAAACATTAAATCAGAATAATTTAGGTACGATTTCATCACTAGGGTATCAGATGAAACACGGACCATAAGTTTTTCATCATGATAAAAGTAATTATTCTAATGAATATAAATTAATCAATTTAAATATGTCAGGATAATTTAGGTATGATTTCATCACTAGGATATCAGATGAAACACGGACCATAAGTTTTTCATCATGATAAAAGTATTTATTCTAATTCTAGTAGATTATTTCATACACAGTTCTAACGAATATAAATTAATCAATTTATTAAAAACACTAAATCAGAATAATTTCATTATTGGGGCATTTGATAACATTGAAAAAACAATGTTTCTCTCAACGGAACTTTTCTTGAGATAAAGTGATAACTGTATATACTATTGTGCAAGGAAGTATGTAAGTTATTAGAGATAATATCAGCTGTGCTGTTATAAAAATTTGTGTTTAATGTTGTATGTACCCATAATAAATAATTGATAGGCCATATTCTAGGGGAATGGAGTTTCTAAAAGTAATGGTCCTCCAACCAATATCTGTGCGTTTATCATATATTTCTTAGACGAATGCGTCTTCTCACTAAATTAAATAATAAAACAAATCATCTAAGTGAGACCAAACATTTTTAAGAGTAGTTTAGAAATGCTTAATTCATTATAATTTATGGTACCCATATGTTTAATATTTATGGCCAGAATGTCTATATATTGTGCATATCAACATTTATGGATTTGCTTTAATCTTAAGCTTGTAAGATAATTTTAATTTATGGTCATTAATAGAACACATATTTAAAAGAATATTTTGAAATAAGGCACTGATATGAATGATATAATTTAATAATTTATCAGAAAATGTCACTAAAGTATTAAATGAAACATGGACCCAAGAGTTTTTCATAATAATTGAATGAAGTTCACACAGAAATATCATAAAAAAAATTAACAAAACAGTGTTTAGTTTTAAAAATAATAATTCCACTTATTATAGAAAATTTAGTTTTCCCAAGCATTACCTTGAGAAAGGCAGCAAAATTGTCTATGGCACCAGATCTCACTTCATCTAAATCCAACACGAAAGACTCAAATATTGGCAAGAGATCTCTTGATGTAGCTTCTTCACCGATGTAAATCGCTAATTTGTGTATATAGGATGCAGCCTTTCTTCTAACTTTCCACTAAAAAATGAAAAACATATTAAATTAAATTAATTTTAAATATATTAATAAGAAATACCGATCTGTGTGATGCGAGAACATAATAAGTGTGTATGAGTAATGGCCAGTGAGCAGGACCTATAGTAACAAGCACTGCAGGTAACATACATGCACATTGAGATGCAAGGTCACTATCATCAAATTCATCAACCATGTTAGTGTAATGATCCAACAGTGATGAAGGTACAATTAGATTGTGACGGCCATTAATTTCAACCAAGGGTTTAGAATCACTGTTAACTTCTTTAATTGGTTTAACTTCAAATTCAGATTTTTTCATTTCGGTGCAATTTAAATTTGCTAAAACAGTTAATACAATTTAAATAATAAACTAATAAATTGAAATGTAATTATTCATATTAAACTTACAACTGCTATTCATTGGCACATACCACAACTTATTTGGTATCATTGTTTGAAGGCGCTCATTGTCAGATTCTCTATCATCACAATCATTCTGTGAATGTAAATAATTTTAGAAAAGTACTTAGCTAAAAATTAATAAGTGTTTACTTCAAAACTAAAAGAAGATTTTGTATCACAGATAGGTTCTCTCCAATAAGCAAAAGTACTGTATAATTCTTCCGACTCAGTCTTTACATTATAATCAGCAACCCAAAATCTAAATACAAAATACATACATAGGTACGTAGTTAATAAAATGAAATTATAAAATACATTATCTAATTGCATAAATTAATTATACTAATATGATTTCAATTAGCCTTTCATTGGTGAAAAGTAATTGTGAATAATATCGGCTTAGTTAATGTAAGCCTACTAGAACACTCGTACTACTCAAGCATTTTAAGTACAGAGGTAAGCAAATAGGCTAGAATATAAAAAAAAAAAAATTGCCAAAATTAATTAAGTGTATCTAATACATACAATACAGGTATTTAATAGTTTTTTGAAATACTATTCAACTATATTATTTGTTGGCAGATTATTTTATACCAATATGGTTTCAATTCACCTTTCATGAATGAAAAGAAATTGTGAATTTACATTGGTGGATTAATATAAGCCCACTAGAAAACTCGCACTACTCAATAATTTAAAGTACCGAGACAAGCAAATAGGCTAAAAAACAAATTTCCAAAATTGTTAGATTATATAATACATACAATACGGTATTTAATAGTTTTTTAAAACACAGTGGTCGCTGTTTATAGTGTTCACTAGTTACAAAAATCAGATGCTTATAGCAATCAGAAATGCCAAGAACGGAACAAACAGTAGTTATCAGTACATCTTTCGTCCCTTACTGTGTTCAGATTTTCGGTTATAGTGATCATAAATAGAAATTATACAATAAAGAAAAATCTGACGATTATTAATTTACAAACCTAATCTAATCTAATGTAAGTTTAACCCACCTAAAGGCTACCATAAACTGTCAGTCTTGACCGTCAATTATGTTGATTGTCATTCAAGACTGACCATATATGTGTATGAGTGATAATGACTGACACACTGACAAACAAATTGTATAACTGATATAATTCAAACCAGTAAGTTGAAAAAGTGAAATTTTGGGGTCTTAATAAATCTATACAAAAAAAAAAAAAAACAGGCAAACATCACCAACTTTTTTGAAAGAAACTATAAACCTTATGTATTTATTTATGTAAAATTATTTATTTTTACGAGTTTTCGAGTTGCCGCTTATAGTGATTAAAAACTTTCGGACAAATGTTATCACTATAAGTGGCAACCCCTTTACTATTCAAATACTTCAACAGTTTCAATAAAATCAAAATACATTATTTGTTGACAAATTATTTATACCAATATGGTTTCAATTCACCTTTCATGAATGAAAAGTAATTGTGAATAACATTGGTGTATTTAATATAAGCCCACTAGAAAACTCGCACTACTCAATTATTTAGAGTACCGAGACAAGCAAATAGGCTAGAACACAAAAGATGTATTTTCAAAATTGCTAAAGTCTATCTAATACAATCTAGAAATTTGTTTTATAAATTTCCTTTGAAAAATAATTCCAATATAAAATAAAGAAATTTGTTGGTGATACCAGTTCAAAATTTTTGTTATACTGGTGTAGTTTTTCTGACCTACCTCATGACGGAGGTCAAATATTTTATATTGGTATAATTCCCTCATTTCTAAATGTTCCCATCGCTATCCTTCCTTTGCTTCATCAAATTATCACAACATTTATGATTGAATTATTCTTTCACATTGATATTTTTGAATTATGAAAAATAAAGATGGAAGAATCAAGTGATTACTTGTATATAAATTTGAAGATATGTGTATGGTGTGATAACAAATAAGTATAGACCACGGTTTAAGATATACCTTAAATTGTGGTATGGACTATGGAGGTGAAAATGATATTAAATATCAACTACAAGTTAACAAATTTCTTAATATACTGGTATACCGGTATAGTTAAACAAATTTCTGAAATATTTTTAGAATGGTTTTCTGAAATATAATTGTAAATTATATTAACATGTTATTTAATAAATGTTTAAAAGAAAACTGACAGAACCTAAATAATTTAGGTACCTTGACAAGCAAGCAAATATACTAGAATGTAAATATACTATACTAAACACGTTAGATGTGAAAAATCAATTTTATACGTTACTTATTATCATTTTTCATTGTTGTTTCATTTGACCATGGTTTTTCGCGATCCATTAATAATTCAGTAGCTTTAAAGTATTCTTGACTCGTTTGACATTTCATACTGAAATTTATTTTGAATTATAAACATGGCACAATAAAATATATTCAACAAGGTTTAAATTTTGAATAATTAAAAAAAAAAAACATAAGATGATCAATGGAAATATAATTAAGTGTTATCCAAATGCTAATAACTGTCAACATTGTTTTTAGATTCCGAGTGGAGCAAGGAATGTGGATTGGTTTAAAAAAGATATTTTTTTTTGAGGAGGTACTTGAGTGATGTCATTTTTTGATTTAATATTAAAATAATATATAATGCATATGCAATTATTTTACCATAACATGACATATATATATATTGTTGACAAACCAACACTATTAACTGAACTACGCTCCTAATCTCTGTAGTGTTGGCTATGATTAATTGTTGCATAGTTATACATTAATTACCTTTTTACTTTCCCAACTTCAACAATGGCCAACCCATGTGTGAAGTATATCAGAATTTTTTTCTATTCTAATTTGTGTCAGTAGGACACAAATCAAATGTAGAGAAAAAAAAAATATTATTTAGTTATTTAAAAAATATATTATTCTAAAAATTGAATGATCATACATTTATATTCAATCAATAGTCTTAAGTCATAGCTGTTTTAATATCTATAAAAAGTGTGAAAAACAAGACTAATACGTAACGCGATAGCCAATCATATTAGGAATACAAGATAATAAAACTGTCAGAAGAAAAAAATTTTTACAATAAGCAGGCTTTCATTAGAAATTAAAACAGCGATTACTAAGGAACTATTGATAGGATATGAATATACATTCAAATTTTTAGTATTATAAAAAAAAGTGAATATTATTAGTATCCAGATAACACTGTATAAAATGGAATTGGTATTATAGTAATTAAAAATAGGTAATTATTAACAAAGTTCAATCTTGAAAAAAAAAAAATAATCAATACTGTTAGCATTTACACAAATGTTTTGATTGTGATTTAATTTTATATAGTATGAAAAAAGTCAAGATTGTGGATTTTGTTTCAAGATTTTTTTTTTAAATTTAAACACATAGAATTATATTAAAAAAACATACATGCTACGTAAATAATAATAAACCGATTGTTAGTTGTAAAACAAATCTAGTGCTAATTATTATCAATCAATTTTTCAAACAAAACATATTTTACATAGTTGTAAAACATTGTTAAAAATAACTTTAATGATGAAGTGATTTTTCATGGTGCAAAATTGAATACAAGTTTAGAATAGATCTAATATACAATGATATAGATAAAACAATAACTAGTAAGTTGTTATAGTATAATATAATAATGTTAAAAAAAAAATTTAATAAGTCTGTAAATTGTTGTAATCAATTAAATACTAAGATGATCACCCAACCACTCCATGCATGCACGAATAGTACATACCTGAAGCATCATAATCCAAATCTGAAGTGATTTTTAACCAACGAGTAGTTGAATCAGATAAATTTGGATAGTTAACCATCATAATGTTTCAGATGAAACACGGACAATGGTTTATCATCATATTCAAATTTATAATTTACTAACAGTGTATTGTTTTCATGTAAAAAAAACCAGATGGGGACTTTTCTATAGTTAGAAATATAAAGCTATGCATATTCTGTGTACAAAATATTAAGAGATTGAAACTTACGTCATGTAATGTAAATCATCAGTGAAATTACTGACCATCATTAGAATATATGTACGAGTAGTAACTAATGATGTAACAGCAGGAGTAGCGTAGGTAGTAATCAATGGACCCAAGTTTTCTAAAGCTGTTTGGCGTACAAATTTGCAACTGTCACCAAGTAACCGGCCAGCTGCTTCAGTTATAGGTCCTTGTCTAAGAACATCATCACAACATGCTGATAATGGTGTAATGATGTCAGCGCAGGTTTTTCTAATAGTACCCACACGATCATTACACATCTCTACAAAACGAGGCAACTGAAGAAATCAAAAATTAATAAAATACATTATAACATAGAAAAATATTAACAAAAACATAACCATTATATCTGTGTAGTGACAAAAACAAATAATAACTTACTAATACTTTGGTTTTATTTTCAATGTTCAATGCATGACCAAGCTCAGGAAAACTTAATAAAGCAGCCAGTCGGACATATATACAATCACTATGACTCTTGTTAATTAAGAATGATAGCACAGTCTTGCACAGCACATCATCACTTACTTTAAGGACAATTTTCCCTACTAACTGTTGAAGAAAAAAAAATAACAATTAATAATTTAGCAGAAAATCCAAGTAAAACTTATTATTTAATGAATACTAGTTGATAATCAATAAATCATATAATTCTTAACAAAATAATATATATTGACTGTAGAAATTGCAGCGCTCATACAAAGCTGGCTGTGATACGATAATATAGTTTAATTTTAAAATGAAAACCAGAACGTGTCACCACCACTTTGACGAGAACCGCAATTCCTTAATAATCAATGAAATGATGACACTGCTTCGTGAAGTAACCTCAACTCGTAACGCTCATCAAAGCTGGCTGTGATATGGCTAACATATCAAGCATTTCACAGTTACTTTGTGAGCATCTCAAGTCAATGAAGTATTTGAAGATTACGACTAGCCGCCAAAATTGTCAAAAACGGCTGTGATATGATTTTATTTATCAACACGTCACATCCGATTTGACCATTTAGACGCCGCCTTCGAATTTATGTCACTCTGAAAAAATTTATACAGATCAACTTATAATATAAATATTTGCTTTAGTGTAATATAAACAATGTATTAAGAAAATAAATTATTTGGTTTTAAATTAAATACAATACTAATTTCACAAAATTTGTTAAGAGGAAAATACTAAAATGTAAAAAAAAAATATATATAATATAAATTAAATTTATTATAATCTATTTTACTTCTTAACTAGATTTATTAATAATTAATTGGCTTTTCAAATTTTTGAGTGCCATATACCTGATTATATTTGAGGCCTATAATCTAACACCCAAAGAAAATTTTTTTTGATTTGTTCAATATTTCCTTGTAATAATTGTGACGAGGTTCACACTACGGATTCTTCTACTTTTTATAAATATATTTTGAAACGAAAAAATAAATCATTATTTTCTAAAAAATATTTTTAAGTTTACAAACTGTTTTTAACAATACTACTAAGTAATATTGATTCAACAAATTTAGAAAATTTAACAATTCACCATTAATAAATATTTGTAAAATAATAAAATCAATGATTTTTAGTTTCAAACAAATTTCAGGTGCCAGACCAAGACCTACTACCATTTTATTTTAAAGGTTTTATCCTTTGAAACAAAATTCATATTATTGATAATATTAATACTAATTAATTTTACAGCTTTCATTATAAATAAACAATATAATCTATTTTAATGTTATACAAAAAAAACATTACTTAAAAACATATAAAAGTAAATATAAGTAATAAGTTAAACAAGTATATTATGTACTTAAAAGGACATAATATTATTACATAAATAATTTTATTCTAACTTAGTATGTAAGATCTTTAGTCGATTGTACCAATCACATCGGCTCATCAAAGTGGCTGTGATATGAACATAAATAAACAACACTTCACATCCATTTTGACGGCCGATGTTGGGTATCATGCAGATAGGCAGTTGTTGACCAATATCAATCCGGTGCTCATCAAAGCTGGCTGTGATAGTCAACGGAAATCAACACTCTACGACAGCCCGCTTTGACGGCAACAGATCAACTTCAAATGAATATGAATTGCTGTTGATTTAAATCGATGCAACATGAAAGACAAGATAGTGAGACAATATTTAAAACACACAGCATCTCACTACCCATGTCTTTCAATAGGCAACGACCATTATCCTGTTATACTTAAAATTATAGCATATATTTAAACTCACGAACCAATAAATTAAAAAAAAAGCAGACATATAATAAAATTAATTACCGTAACAATGTTATTTTGTACATGGAGATCATCTGTGGAATTGGCAGCTAATATAAGTGCTGGACACACTATTTGTTCGATAGTTGTGTTGTCTATCACACCTTTACTTATGATGAAAGTTAGAACCATTTGAGCACGCATAACTACCTATAATTATTAACAACAAATAAAAATAATAATTCTAAAAGAACATGAAAAATATATAATTATTTATATCATGCAAAAATTACCTGTTCTGCTGTGTCAGATAATGCTCTAATAATAGCTGGGAGTAAAAAAGAATGTATGTAAGATTTGAGATTGTTATGCTGGTGAAAAACCGTGCATAAATAACCAACAGTACTGACTGTATCAAAACGCATTAACTTGTCTGAAAAATAAATTTTTTTAAATTTAACTTTATAAGAAAAATTAATTAAGTAAAGTGAAAACTGTGTAAAACGGAACTATAAAGGATAGAAAAGATATGTATGTTCGTGTCTTTGAGTACCCATATGGTAATGGAAAACCTTTTTTTTACAAATTATATGATCATAATTTCAAATACTGCATTATTGGATTAAAAAAAATAAAAATAACGGTTTAAAAATAAATTTTAACCATAATTATATAAAAAAAATTTTGAATTAAAAAAATAACGGGCTAACACAAGTTTTTGTTTTACACATATTTATAGCTACATCTGAAATTCAATATTCAGACTATATATTCCGTATTACACAGGTTTTACTGTATACACTCAATATTATTATCAAAAATACCTTCATCTTTTGTCATTTTTTCTATCACAGAAAGTATTTCTGGAATCATTTCTAAATGATCCTTTATCACAAATTTTATACAGCATGATATATATTTTGCTGTGGTATTCCTATAAACAATAAATTTAAATCAATATTATGGTTCAAGGATAGGTACCTAAAATAACTCATCATATGAAAAAATTATTATTATTATTAAGTTGTTATAACAGGTTATTTCAAAATATTAGTCATTACAATTTCCCATTTGTAATTTAAAAATAAATTAAATTATTCAGTGTAAAATGCAATATGTCAAACATTGTTTAGACTACAAGATTTCCATTGAAGAATTAAAACTATTCAAATTGAATTTATACAATTGAAACTATTAAATAGGTAGACAGATATTCATAATTCCAAATTACTATACAGCTATATTTTAAGTTATAAAAATTATACTATACAGTAAATTCAAAATATTCAAATGATCAATCACACTTTGTTAAAAAAGCATAAGAAATTACCATAAAATTTGTGTTTTACCTTTTATTTAAACATATGAAATATTACACAAATTTTGTTGACGTTAACTATTATTACAATTTAGATAAATCGTGAGAGCTGAAAAGATATCTCAAACATAATGAACTTTGGCCCAATAATTGTTTCATAAAATTCTCACCAGTCTTAATTTTTTATAAAATATATAGGTATATATATAAATGGTTAAATCGTCTATTCATCATTTGATGTTTATGCGTAACATGTCATGATTGAATGGTTTCAAAATATTGTTAACTGCCTACTAAACTTCTTATACAATGTTTTTTTTTTTTTTTTGTGGGAACCCTTTTCATTAAATAAAATTTAAGACGATTTTTGAACAAATGCCAACTTTAATATCCTCTGGTGTGTTAAATAAATAATAAAACGGACACATCTCAGTGGCGATGTATTGGGAGGTTTATCGCCGGCCTCGAATAATATGAAACACATTGAAACTAAAACAGATATTTTCAACAAACAAAACAAATGTCTGCCTACGGTTTTCTATAAATCAGGGGAGAAAATACTATTATTTCGTAATTTCGACCGATGGGCGGAACAGACTAGCACAACCACGCTGTCAGGTCGATATTATTATAGTGCGTCATGTTATAGGTATGAAAAAGGATATAAATTATTTAATTTTCGCGATGGGAAACGATGACGACGGCTGCTGAATTTTCCGGGTAATAAAATACAAACCAGCTATTTTCGATAAATATATTACGAAGTACGAACCACAATCCGCGTTTGAGAAGCGATTATTGTTATAAAACTACGACATCGTTTAGAACCATGAGCAAATTTCGATAGTTATCGACATAAACCGTGGCGGAATAATATATAATATTATTATTGTTGTTTTACTATACTTTTTTTTTTTTTTATATTTAATATCCTACTACCGAAATCACGGTGTATAACACACATTGAACGTGGGGTGTGCGCGAGTGTATAATATAATATGGGGGGAAGCGAGAAGGGTGAGAGTGCGGCCGTGCTGCGAGCGAAAGAGAAAAATGTAGTCGCATTATAACACAACGTCACGGCGTTTATATTTTTGGGGTGCGGCGGGCCTTCAAAAACATAATAATAATAATAATAAAATAGGGGTTGGAGAGATGCTAGTGTACGTTGTGCGCGTCCGTGTTGTCGGCGGTGCGTTCCTGCCGTTCGTCTCGTAGTCGAATCACATGCACACGCACGCACACACGCACACACACACACACACACACAGGACTACCAACCCATACAGGAGTGGCCCGTGCGGGTTGAGAAGACGCGCGAGTGCACATTTGAACCGAATTACATCGAGAAAAGGGCAGCACACCAAGCAACGGAAAACCCGGGGGGGGGGAATTAGATTATGTCCCGCCGACGGTCCGGTTCAAGGTCAACCGAGTTCTAAATTAAACGAGACGGTCACACGTGTGTGCGTGTTATTATTTAATAATAACAATATTATATTATGAAATATCAATCGACATTGTAACAAGTATTCTATTATCCGAGTCATCATCGAAGGAGAACGTCGCGATGACGGCGGAAAACGCACAAGTGTATTTAATTATTTATTTTTTTTTTTTATTCGCATAATATTGAAACAGAAATGCACGAGAACTCGACAAGATTGTGTGCATAATAGTAGTGGGTGGCAGGTAGTTGTAGTAGTACAGACAGACGCGTGGTCTTTGCTGATCACATTTCAAGTTCAAAATCGCGGGCAATTCACGCTCTAATGTAGTGGGCAATAGTATTTTCGGCAGTTTATTCAGTTTAAATCGCTCAAGATTACCGGAGGTTTTTACTCCCTCGTTATTATTATCATCATAAACGAAATATTGGGTGTTACGATCAAAAATAATAATAAAAATGTTTTTTTTTTTTTTTGAAACAGTAATATAGGTACCCCTACGGTGATGCCACTAAGAGCGATAAAACTTTCGAGAAAAAAAAAACCGTCGTGTCTTAACGACGAAAACAACATAATAATCACGGAATGTAGCCCAAGCGCAATCGTAACTATCGTCGACGGCGAGGACGAAGGGAAACTGGTATTTATGCGGGAACTCGAAGGTCAATAAACGATTTACGGTATACAATAATAATAATAATAATAATAATAAAAAAAAAAAAATAGTCGGGGCGGGCGTCGTAAAACGTACCCGCCGCGCTGCACAGTCACTACCGGCGGGATGACACTGGCACGCGGAATCCCGCGCAATCGATAGTTATTTTCTCCCTCCCATTGCGTCCGATCCACCCACTACTACTACTACTACTACTACTACTACTACTACTACTACTACTACTACTACTACTACTACTATTACTACTACTATACAACTCGCGGCTGCCGACCGTAGTACACGAGCTTTCAACGTGGGTAGCCTACCGCCCCGTGCGTCACCGCCGCACACGTTGGGCCACTACACGACCACGCTCCGTCTCGACTTCTCTGGTAGCGCGGACCGTTGAACGGTGCAGCATGGAAGGGGCCACACCAGAATTTTACTATGCGTCCGACCGTACTGTGTATACGGGTTCCTTCGGAGAACCGCCGACCCACGTGGTGTTTACGCTTTTAATCAGCGCCAATTCTGTGACGACGATAGCAGACGATAAAACATACTGATATTTTAATCAAAAGCAAAAGCGGGGCCAACATTATTTCTGACGAGATGAGCCGAATTTTAACGGTTTTCCACCTTCCGGTTTTTGGAAATGTTATATTTTTTTTCCCCGGCCGAGGCAAGAAAGCGACAAAAAGGTCAAATTTGTCTGCGGCGACGGCGATGTGTAACATGTGTGTAGCTAGTAGGTCCCCACCACGGACCGTTGAGCACGCACACACACACGCGCGCGCACGCATATATACGGCGGTTCATTCATGAGATGCACAAACAACGAGGCGCGTTTTAGAAGGGGTCAGGAACGTCACCGTCGCATGTTATTGCGGCGCAACGCACACCGTCACAACAAACCACCACCAGGTTCATTGTTGGCCGGCCGTGCTGCTGCAACTGCTAACTGCGTAGAAGGCAAAAAAACAAAAATTATACGAAAATGATATTGGGCCGGGGACGATGACGGTGTAATTTCGCGTCCGAGGTGAAAAAAAAAACGTGCGCAGCGGAAAATCGATACACAGACGCCTCGTACGTAGTACGTGCGCATGTAAACTGCTTACACTGGGAGTAAATAGACGGTCAGAGAACCGGGAGTGGGGCAACCGAAAAAACGCGGGAAACGCGGTCCGAATTGACTATTAGATTTATGACGGATTCTTACCTAGCCGGATACGGCTATCGTGGTGACAGCTATCGCTGGCCGTCCCTTGTGTAGTTTTCTCGGCGAATTGTCACAATTCATGACCGG